GTAGACATGGATTTAAAAATCAAACATGAAAAACAAAAAGCAAAGTTAAAACGTCCCCACAATCATTTTCTCTCGTTGGGAGCAAGGACGAGCACGGAGGATTCCCCAGACCCTCGCCTCCGCCTAGACATGGTCATGTCGCTGCCTGGCCACCCAGCCGCTGGTCTCTGCAGACAGACAGACAGACGGATCACACTGTCCATTTGTGCTTTTGACACCAGAGGTTGTCTTAACCTCGGCTTATTGACACCTTCAGCCCCTCTGCCAGGGAATGAGCAGGTCCGTGCGCTAATGACGGCCCCATCCGGCCTCAAGCCATCCCCAACGGGTGGACATGAGGGTGTTTCCCTGTTTCATCAGGACAGCCCTGCTTGGGTCTGCTCCGGTGCTGATCACAGGGGGGCCGGCCTCTGTCCCGACCAGAAACCCACCCCCGAAGGTCTTGGGGCTGCCGATGTCTCACACACACACACACACCCCACCCCCACCCCCGCTTCCCAGCAGGGTGTGCTAAGTGCTGAGGAACAGGCGGTGGCTGTGTGTGTGAGAGTGTGTGTGTGTGTGTGTGTGTGTGTGTGTGAGGGCCGATGAGGACTTGCAGAGAAGGGAAGCCCCAGCTGAGCTGAAGGACCAGGGGTTCCCAGTGGGAAAAGGATTCTGGGGAGAGGGCCAGACCCTAACTGCTTGGAGGCCCGGGAGTCTGAGGAAGGGAGACCAGAGACCTGGGGGGGGGGGGGAGCCCGGGGCTGGAGCACTGGCAGGGCCCGGGGCTCCTGGGAGCCCTGCAGCGCAGACCCCTCAGCCCCCGCCCGGGGTTTGGGCCTTAGCAGCACAGCCAGCCCCGCCAGCCGGGCCCAAATACCTGCCGACGACTCCGCAGCGGAGCGGAGCACAGCGTGGTCCCCAGGCCCGCCCCTCCCCGGGTCCTTCCAGGCAGAGACTCCCCAGCACCAAATCCTGCCTGGACCTCCCTCTCCCCACCCCAGGGCCCGCCTCTGCCCTGCACAGGGCTTCACCCTTACCTGGGCCCACGCTCCGGCCCCATCACCCACGCCCACCTCCTGCTCCCGCCCCGACGGAGGGCTGCTCCGAGTTGCTCAGTCCCAGCCAGGCTCCTCTCTCCCTGACACACCTTCCCTGGCTGGCCCAGCGTTCCCGGCGCCTCGACACAGCGGCCAGCGGGCCTGCCCTCCTGTGGCTCCTCTGCCAGGAAGATGGGCACAGTGTGGTCATGAAGGGCAGCTGTGCTGTGTGCTGAGGGCTACGTGGGGCAGGCTCTCGTGGGCAGCTCCCCCCACCCCCCCCCCCGCCTTTCCAGCTCTGCCTGGGGCCCCACCTCCACCTCCCCCACGGCAGCCCCAGCACAACCCCCTCCACTGTGCCTACCATGCGAGGCCCTGCTCAATGCTGCCTCCCTCCACAGAGCACACCCCGCCCCCCCACAGCCCGTCATCCCCTTCCTCCAAGCTGGTCCGCATGGGGCCGGGAAGGCTCTTGAAGGCAGGAGTCTCCCCGGTTCAGCTCCGTGTCCCCCAGGGCCTGTGTGCAGCATGCGTGCAGTACTCGCTGGACCCCCCGCCCGGTGAAAGCGTCAGCACACACACCAAGGCCTCACCACTCCCCCACCCCCAACACAGCTGCCTCTGCAGGGTTTTCTCCCTGGAAGAGGCCTCTGCTCTCACCTCCTGTGCGCACGCAGTGACCAGTGACCGGGCCCAACAGCCAGGGAGGACGCGGCTGGAGGTCCCCTTGCGCCTGGAGCCTTTCTGGCCCCAATGGTGAGGAGCCCACACTTCCCGGCCCAGCTCCAGGCCCACAGCAGTGTCCTCGGCCTCCACACCCTACTCCCAGCTCCTCAGCAGTTTCCCACCCTGAAGCCCATGTCCGCGGTGTCCCACTGGCCACTGCTGTTACACACCTCCTCCACCGGGCACCCATGGCTTGGCCACACGTTTCTCTGAAGTAGACCCAGCACAAAGCAGAGGTGCCCGGTCTGCCTCCCTCCGTACAGGGGACAAGGATGCTCCCATCAGGTCCCGTCTGCTCCTGGGTCCCTCCCCGCACAGAACGCAGCGTGCACACCAGCCGGAACATCACTCCCTCCGAGCCTTTCTGACCTCGAGCCCCCACTCTCTCCCAGTCTGGTCTCTGCTCCTTTAAAACAAAGCTCAAAAGGAAGGGAGTGTCCATCCGAGCTCAGCTCTGCCACTCAACTGTGCAGCTCAATCCCCTGCCTCTGGACTTGGACGGGCAGGGCTTCCAGGACCCTCATTCCCCTCCCTCCCCTCCTCGCCCAGCTCCCCTGCCCCTCCCTGGCTCCTCCTCAGGCCTCAGCTCTCCAGTCCTCCAAGGTGCCTTTCCCAGCCTCTGTAGCTCAGTAACCCCTCGCCGCCCTGACTGCTATTATTCCTTCACTAGTGGCCCAGTGCATGGAACTCGTGCACATTAAAGGGGAATTAGAGGAAATATTTTAATATTGCTATTTGCCCTTTATAACAGAAGTGTCAGAGATGTAAAAAAAAAAAAAAAAATTAGTAAAATGTGCCGAAACCGGTTTGGCTCAGTAGATAGAGCGTCGGTCTGTGGACTGTAAGGTCTCGGGTTCCATTCCGGTCAAGGGCATGTACATTGGTTGTGGGCACATCCCTGATAGGGAGTGTGCAGGAGACAGCTGGTCGATGCTTCTCTCTCATCGACATTTCTAGCTCTCTATCCCTCTTCCTTCTTTTCTGTAAAAAATCAATAAAATATATATTTTTAAAAATAGTAAAATGTATATGAAAATCTTCCTCCTGTCAGTCTGGGGCACACTGTGGGACCCAGAGTCAAGTCCCCGCCCACCCGCGGCACCTCAGAATTGCACGAGACCCAGACCCGGCCTGTCCCACCCACACTGGGTGAGATCCGGTGCAGGCCTGACTCCCGAGCTGGGCTCCAGGACAGGGACCCTCGGTGCTCCGGCGAGACCTCTAAGGCCAGGAGAGACTCCGCTCTTGTCTTCTGAGAAGACTCGCTGAGGACAGAGCCGGGAGGAAGGTTGAAGTGTCTGAGAACTCAGGTGCAGCAGCCGACCCCAGCTCCACCGCGATGAGACAGGCGCAGAGGGAATAGAAGCACCCCTTAAAACTGCAGGGCCCCTCTCCTAGCCAAGTCCAGTCCCAAGGCTCCCGGGCCAGTTTGGGGCTGACCCAGGAGCCCCAAGGGGCTGCTTCTCCAAGACGGGCCACAGTGAGCCCTGGGCATCTCTGTGCCAGTCCCGGGTGAGGACCTCACAGCCTCCATTCACCCGGCAGCTGCCCTGGGCCTGTCCCCGTTTTACAGATGAGGAAGCTGAGACTCAGACCTTAAAGCTGGAGTGCAATCAGGATTTGAACCCAGGTCTCCACTCCCAGGCCTGAGTGGGCGGCCGTAACATGTCCAGCGCGGCACCTCCCACTGCCAGGAAAGTGTGTCCCCCCCCCCCCCCCAGCGCAACAGCTCAAACCCTCGACTCCACGGCCAAGGGGAGGGGCTTGCTGGGGGGACGGTAGTTTGTGGAGATGGAACAAGCACGTGACATGGAAAGACACAGGTGGCTTGGTTGCTGTGGCTCCATATGTTGAGTGTCATCCAGATGCCGAAAGGTTGCCGGTTCAATTCCAGGTAAGAACACGTGCCCAGGTTTGGGGGCTGGATCTGAGTTCTGGGGAGGCAGCTGACTGATGTCTCTCTCTCTCTAAAATCAACAAAAACATTATTTTTTTTTTTTTAAAAAGACACAGATGACAGGTGCAAAACAGAGGCTTTAATCCGAACAGCAATGAAGGCGCCAAGGGGCTGAGTGGGCCTGTGGGGCACAGGAAGGCGGTGTCGGACCTGGAGGGAGGGGACACTGATGGGGCCTCTCCTGGGAAATTATTTCTGTGACGCTAGTGACTCCCGTCCCAGCCTCTGCCGGGCCACTGACCCAGATCCCAGGTCAACCCTGGGTTGTGCTCCTGTGTGCTCCCGTTCCCAGAGGGGCAAGGCGTGGCGGGTGCTGAGGGCAGCCTGGCTTGGGCAGGGAGGGTCTGCCAGAGTCAGCCTGGGAGCAGCGCTGGAAACTCTGGAATGGACACGCTGCTACCGGTCCCCCCTCACCCTTTGTGGGGGCCTGCCCATCCTCAGAGCCAAAGCCTGGGCTCGGGGGCCATCATGCCTTCCTCCCGAGCAGTGAGCCAGGGAGGTGGGAGGACCAGGGAGCAGGCTGAGCCTCCTGCAGCCACTCACCACCAGCCACAGGGGCGGGAAGCACGGCCACGGCCTGGGAAAGCAAGCGCGGAGAGGAGGAAACAAGTGGTCGTAAGAATGTACAGGGGAACCTGGGTTCTCCAACCACAGCTGGCCAGCGCCCCTCCTCGGTCTCTGCCGCCCCCAGCCCCCTGCCCTCCGCCCCTGCCAGAAAGCTGAGAGAAGGCCTCACCAGAAGCCCAGCCCACACAAAGGGAGCAGACCCAGCAAAGCCAAGGCCAGAGAACGGAAAAAGCCAGGACGAGGCACTGAACACAGGTACTCGAAGGCCCAGCGCAGCCAACGCCTCTCCCTGCCCCCTCAAGCCAAGGGCGCCACAGCCTCCGCCTCAGCCTCCGCCTCCGGCCTCACACACCCGCCCCCACGCTCAGCTTGGGAAATGGACCCACCCGTGGGAGCAACTGCTCCAACCCCGAGAGCAACAAAATCAGCAAATGCCTCCATCCCACCTGCACAGAACAGCCTGGATCTCAAACAGGACAGCAGGGGAGGAGAGGGGCTAGGGTGGGGCAGGGTGCAGGGACCATCCACTGGGCGGAAGTCAGGAAACTGGCCCCACTTTGGTCACGTGTCTCAACCTGGGTATTTCAGCCTTATGCCCTGCCTTCCCCACCCCGCACTCACACCCCCGGCAAACAGCCTCTCACCGAACAAAGAACAGGGGAGGGGGTGGGAGGGGACATGGCTGGGGGGCGGACACAGGAACGCTGCGGCTCCGGCTGCTCGGCCTCCTAGCACAGGGAGACGGGGTGGATGGGCAGCAGGCTCCCGAACTTGAAGTGCTGGATCACGGGGAACTTCTCCAGGCACTGCGAGGAAGGAGGCGAGAACAGAGTGAGCGCTGCACGCTCAGGCCTCCAAGGGACCCAGAACTCCAGAGGCTCAAACCACCGGGCTCAGCCGCAGAGCAGCCCCTGGCCTGGGGGAAGGCAAGGCCTCCTACCTGTGCCTGACCACCCTCCTCCCACCCAGACCCCCTCTCCAAGACAGTCACCCCCACCAAGGAGAATGGGATTGAGGGGGAGAGGGAGGGCAGGGGAGAGTGAGAGGGAGAGGGAGAGGGAGTGGAGAAGAGGGAGAGGAGAGGGAGAGGAAGAGGGGGGAGAGGAAGAGGGAGTGGGGAAGGGGTGGGGAGGGGAGGGGGGGAAGGGGAGGAGGGGGGGTGGGGGAGGGAGAGAGAGAAGGGAGGGGAAGGAGGAAGAGGAAGGTGGAGAGGGAAAGGGGAGAGTGAGGGGGCAGCCCAACGCCCCAAAGCAAAAGCCAAGAAGAGAGGCAGCCCAGGGCCATCCCTTGGCCCAGAGGGAAAGAAGCCTCCATCCAGCTCTTTAAGGCCCCTTAGCCCAGGTCCCAGCCTGGACAAATGATGTGGGGACACTGGAATCCAGGCCCGAGAACGGTCCAAGGCCCACTTTTTCTCATTTTCAGTTCTTTGGACTGAAAAAGGCATCTTGGCACTTCAGGGAGAGACAATAAGAACCAGCTGACAGTCCCCCCTCCAGGGCAATCCCAGGAGCCCTGTGTGGGGCAGAGAACAAGGGCATGGGCAGGGGGATGGCACTACTCCGCAAACCCAGGCTCTGGCAGAGGAGAGGAGAGAAGAGGAGAGGAGAGGAGAGGGAGAGGGAACGAACAAGCCCCCCAGAAGCTGGTCCAGTCCGCAGGCAGCCCCAGGCCGGCACCCCTGGGCTGCAATGCCTCAGAAGCACAGGCCAGGAAGGGGAGGGGCCAGGGCCTCCCGCACGCAGCCCTGGTCACCCGCTGGTTCTCACAGGCAGCAGCTCCAGGCATCGGAGGCTCTGCCTCCCCTCAGAAACAACCAGAACGTGCTGGGCACTTCCTGGCTGGAGTGGCCTTAGGGGGGTAAGCTGCCTCTATGGCTGTGGCTGCAACTTCCAACTAGCTCAGAGGGGACAAAGGCTTGCCAGGTCCCTCACCTCCACCACCAGCTAGAGATGAGGCCTGCAGCTGCGGGTCAGAGCCTGGAGGGAGGCCGGGAGGCAGCAGGAAAGGGAAAGCTCTGTGGGGTGGAAGGACAGGCAACCAGGCTCAGAGTGAGCAGACCTCCGGGCTACGTCAGGCTCCGGGGCCTGGGGCAGAGAAAGTGGGGAGCAGCAGCTGGGGGTGGTCCCTGGGGGGAGGAGCAGCAGCAGATCTAGGCCAGAGGCAAAGTCAGCTGCCATTGTGCTTATGTCATGGAGGAAGTGGTGGGAGTTAGTGAAAGGGGGGAGCAGGAGCAGGGCCCTGGAATTTAAAAAAGGGTCAAAGGTCAACCTGCTTCTCCCAGCGAAGGCAGGCGGCTGGGGGGAGGGGGTGGAGCAGAGAGCTCTCCACGCTCCGCTCCGCTCAGGGGCCCTGGACAAGCTTCCTCAGGCCCGGGGAAGGGGGTGGGGCTAAGGCAGAGGCTGCTGGAGGCAGACCCAGCTCCAGGGTGACAGTGAAAGGGCGCCCTGGCCGCCTTTCTCCGGCTCACCTGCCCGGCACGCCTCCGAGCTGCCTGTCCCCGCCGGAGGCACAGGCCAGCAGGCCCTTCTGGGCCCGGGGACTCAGGACGGAGCAGAGGCTCTCTGGGCCTGGCCAGGCCCCTCTGCAGCAAGAGCCAGCACAGGAGGGACCGGCGGCCACCGCAGGGCCCTGGGCCTGGGCTCTCCAGTTCAGGAAGGCCGGACCGGCAGCAAAGATGCAGGCAGCCCTTCCAAACCCTGCCGCCGCCCAGCGGGCCTGTGACAGCACGGAGAGCTGGTCTCTGGGCAGGCGCATGCGTCCCAGACTCCCAGGCACCAAAGATCACGGGCCACTCTCGGCCACACCAGAGACTGGTGTTCCTAAGGTCGCCGAGTCCCGCAAACAAGGCCTCTGCCACCCTGTGCCCTGCAGGCTGCCAGCTCGCACTGCCCTGCGTGCACCCGGAGCTGGGCCTTCCCGTGTTTTCTGCTCATGCTCCCATCGACCCTGAGCTGCAGGTACGGTGGGTCCCTGTCCTCCTCGTGTTCCACGTCCACAGAAACTGCCCCTGCCGCCGGGACTGTCCTCGCAGCACTATCCCCTCTGGTCTGAGTCTGCTCCTCCCGCCTCCGCGGTCAAGTGAGAAGGTGGCAGGGTCTCCTGTTCTCCCTTAAGGGCCCAGGGCAAGATGAGTTTAGTTAATCAAGCAGGAGCCTGCAGGACGGCATTTTAAGAACCCAAACAGGAAAGGCTCCCGAGTCCTGCCTGTAACAGGCGGGTCCCGGGGGGGGGGGGGCGGGGGGGCGGTGAAGGGCCCTTCGCCCCTTCCATTCGGCACAGCCCCCAGCAGCGGTGGGCCCAACAGGGGGACAGAGTTCCCATCAGCCCCCACTGAGACTGGCGGGCGGAGGGCAGGGGCCAGTCAGGAACAGTGCCCCCAGAGGGCGGTGCTCTCAGGCAGAGGCTGCCCTGCCCGGAAGGAGCCTGTGCAGCCCCAGGAACCTCCTCTCAGATTAGGGAGGTATGTGGGCTGGAACCTAAACACAGGATGTGAAGTCCAGAGGAAAGGGACTGGAGGGGGAGGGGCGGGAAGGAAAGAGAGGGCCAGCCTGGTCAGTTCCAGTGCCGTTAACCCCTTCAGGGCCATGCAGGGGGAGCCAGGCCGCTGGAAGCCTCTGCACTTCCAAACTCTACCACCCGCTGACCGCTCCCCCTCTCCCTGCCTGTGATGGGCTCAGTGCCCGGGGCCATGCAGTGGGTCCAGAGACAGACCCTCCCTCGGAGGAGGCAGACGGATGGCCAAGGGTCAAGGGCTGGCACCACAGACAATACCTCAGACCCCCGTCTAAGGCGACAGGACCAACTGCTCTAGGGGGACTTCACACCCAGGCCCTTCCCCGGCCAAGGCCCAGCGGCTCAGACTGGTCTGCCCAAGATGTGGAAGGAGCCAGTGGAAAGGACTGAGCGCAACTGAAATGGCTCCTCCCTACGTGCAAGGGAAGAAGGCCACCCCGTGGCTGGGAGAAGGGTGTCAAGGAGGACAAGCAAGAAGGCAGGGACACCCTTAGGAGCCTGCAAACTCTAACTGGGGGTGGGGGAGGACCACCTCAAGTGGGCATTAAAAATGCCAGCTCTGGTCGGCCAGCATGGCTCAGTGGTTGAGCATTGACCTATGAACCAGGAGGTCACGGTTCCATTCCCGGTCAGGGCACGTGCCTCCACAGGATAAAACCTTTTCCAAGCATGTCTTCATTTTTGTGTCCCTATGGGTGACAGCTATGAGGGGCCTCTGGCCACCTGACAGGCAGGAATGGAGATTTTCCCCTCCACCCCCCCCCCCCAGCAGCAGGGCCTTCCCTCCCTCACTTCAGAGCTGGCCCTCAGTCCAGTGCTTTCCTGAAAGCCCATCCCACAGAGGGAGGTGCTAGGCCTCCAGTGTCCGAAGGGCTGGCCCAGAATCCGGAGCACAGCAGTGGGGCGGGGTGGGAACAGCGGCCCCTCACCTCGGCCTTGTACATGCGGATGAGGCCCTGGTTCACCTTGGACCAGGTGGGGACAGCGCTGATGTTCCACAGCTGGTTGGAGTGCTCGGCAAAGGGGCCCGTCTTCATCTGGAAGAGAGTCCGCAGCTGGGAGCCCACGCCTGCTCCCCATGGCAAGGTCAAGCATGCATACACATATACACATGGAAGCATGCACACACGCATGCACGCACGCGCGCACGCACACACACACGCATACACAAACATGGGCACCAGGCCACAGCAACTGCCTGTGGGGCACACACACATACGAGCACACTAACAGACAGAGACAGGGTCCCTCTTGGCCTGCGAGTCCTACTGGGCAAACAACCCTACTCAACCTCTTCTGGTGCCCACCGCCCCCCAGCCCCTGCAGCCTCAGAGAAACAAACCTCCACCAAACTCCCGGCGCCTCTCCCTCTGCAGCATGGGGACCCACTCCCACTTAGACAAACAGCAGCCTGGACCCCAACTTGCCCAGCCCAGCCCCCCACACAGGGAGGGCTCTGCACTGGGCACCGGGCCTGCCGTTGGCAGAGCTGGAAGCCGAGGGAGGGGTCGGTCTGGAGGATGGCACGGTGGGTGAGACCAAACCAGGCCTCGCCTGCAGAGTGGACGAGGGCGCCTGTGCGGACTCAGGAGGAAGGTCTGTTTAGAAAACCGCCTGACTGGCCAGAAGGAGGACAGGGAGAGCGACCAGCAGGAACAGGCAGGAGGAGCAAGGACAGCTCCAGGCCTAGGCTGTCCTCGGGCCAAAAGCCTGGCTGGGGGAAGGAAGGAATTCTGCATCCAGCACAACTGTCATGGAGTTCTTGTGGCCTCAGAAACCACAGCACTGAGACGGGACGTCTGTGTGCTCGCGTGTGCCCCCTGACAGCACGAGGCCAGCACGCTGGTGTTTAACAAGCACTCAGTCCCTCAGCACTGCCCTCCTTGGCAGAGGAGCAGCAGCGATGCTGGGGGAACAGGGTTCAGAACCTGAGCCCCAGGCTTCAGTAGAAAGAGTTTAAAAAGCAAAGAGGCTAAGCTGGCAAGGAAACATAGACTTGGATCCCAAGAGTGTGGAAGATTACAGAAGAGGCTGTGCGAGGAGGTGGGGCTGAGGGAGAGCTATTCTAGGGAGAAAGGAGGGGTCCAGAGCTCGCCCTGCAGACTGGGCATCTCAGAATGAAGACCCAAAGCACAGCACCACCTGCCCTCTGGCTGCGTCTCTGCCGGTGACCTTCCACTTCTTTAGGAAGGACAGTTCCTACAGAACGGCTGTTCGCCCCTCTGATCCCTCTCCCGGCCCAGGTCCCCCAAAGCCTATCTCAACCCCCAAATTCAGGACAACAGGCTCTTTCCTCCAGCTGTGAGGCCGCAGCCAAGGCACCAGGCAGAGAGAGAGCCACCCTGGTGCCCACAGGCTTCTCCTGGGCCAGTTCCTTCCCCCAGAATCTCCCCTCCTCTAAGGGGAGCCAGGGCCCTGGCCTTCACGGATCTTTGTTCCAATGGTCCTCCTCAAGCAGGCTCCACCCCAACCTCCACCTCCCCTTGGCCCCGCCCCCTCTGCAGGCTCTCTCCCTGGGGACCCGGGCTGGGCTCCCGCCCTCTCTTGCACATTTCCAGGACCTGCGCTCAGGGATCACAGGAGAGTGGGACCAATTTCACTCTGTTCAGGGTGCCACGAGCACACCTCTCAGGAGGACCCTGCTGCTACCCTGCTGGCTTCGCCCCACTGCAGCTCCAGGGGCCTGCTCAGCAAGGGCGTTCAGGCCAAGACAGGCAGATGGACGCTGGGAAGCCAGAGGCTCTGCTTCCTGCTTTCTGGGCCAGCCTCACACTAAGGGCTTGGGAAAGGGGCCCCAAAGGCCTCTGGCTGCTGGCAGAGCCCCGTGGCCCTGACTCCACCCAGGAAAAAGCCAGAGCTGCCCCCTCCACCCCAGGCCTTCAGTGTCCCAAGGTCTCCCCAAGTCCCTCAAAAGGACTCTGTGACTCTGGGAAAGGAAAACAGAGGAGGGAGAAAGGAATGGGGGCAAGGAGACAAAAAAAACCAGCTCCTCCTAGCCACAAAGGGAGAAGAGAAAGAGCGAGAACAAGCGAGCAGGCTGCAGTCCCGCAGTGACCCCAGGGGAATCGTGTGAGTCAGAGCAGCCATATTGAGCAGGAAATTACTCACAGACGCTGCGTTCCTGCCTCTCCACTCCCAAGAGAATCGGCCTTTTGTAAATGGTTCCTCTGTCAGTAACTGAGGGGGGATGGGGCGGGGGTGGGGAGCTCTGCACAGCGCCTTCCTGTCAGCTCCTTCCCTTCCAGCTGAAATCTGATCCCTCCCTTCCCAAAACTCCAAATTTAGAAGCCAGATTGAAACTGAAATCCTTTTCCTGCCTGCCCTGCTCTTAAAGGCGCCAGGGCTGCATTTCGGATGCCACAGCAGCTCTGCCAGGGGGTCCACCCTCTTCTGGGATGCCAGGGCTAGCAGGGCAAGTTGTGGGCTGGCTCCTCAGCCCCGCAGGAGGCTATGAGAGGAGGGGCCGGTTCCATTTCCCACTTCCCGTTTTGTTCCACCTCCTCCCCACGCCAGCCCTACCGAGGGAACGCTGCCCTTCCAGACCAAGCACACAGACCTGCACACCGGCCTCCTGGACCCCCGGGCCAGTGCCAGGCCAGGCAGTTCCTCATCCATCAGGGGCTACAAAATGGTGGTCTGAGGTGGGAGGGGGAAGGGCTGGGATAATGTAGATGCTGCAATCAGCAGCCAAGCCAGTGGGTGAAACAGGCCCTTGCTGGTCACCTCAGCTCTGGGCAAACCCCTGCTAGCATCCCATGTTTACCACTATGCCCCAGCACCTGGACCCAAAGTGGAAACCAGTCTATGCAGAGAGCGTGCAACCTCGGAGAAATCCCCCTCCCAGTTCATGCCTCTCCCCCAATTAAATGTTAAAACCATCTCCAAGTTTGACATGCCTATAGCACCACCTAGTGGTCATTGTAGAGCTAGGTCCCTCTGAGGCTGTGGATGAAATTTGTGTGGGCGGGGGTTCCTCTCAGCCCAGCCTGCACCCTCTCCAATCCAGGACCCTCGGGGTATGTCCAGCTACTGGTTTAGGCCCAATCCCCAAGATCAGCAGACATCCCTCTCACAACCCTGAACCACTGGCTCCTAATCACTCACCTGCCTGCCTAACTGCCCCCCCCCCCCCCCCCGCCAACCTGATTGCCTCTCACTGCCTCTATGTGCCAGCCTGATTGCCCCTAACTGTACCCCCTGCTGGTCTAGTTCCCCTAACTGACCCCCCCGCCAACCTGGTTGCTCCAAACTGCCCTCCCTGCTGGCCTAGTTGCCCCTCACTGCCCGCTCTGCCAGCCTAATCGCTCCCAACTGCCCATCTGCTGGCTTGGCTGCCCCTAACTGCCTCCCACCCGCCGGCCTGGCCACCTCTTACTGCCCTCCCTGCTGGCCTGGTCGCTCCTCATGGCCAGTCTGGTTGCCCCTCACAGCCTGCTTGTTCAGTCATTTGGTTGTCCCTCACTAACTCCCCTGCTGGCCTGGTTGTAAGCAGCCATCTTGTGAGGGTGTGAGGGTTAATTTGCATATTGCCTCTTTATTATATAGGATATCCAACAAAAATACAAAGTTTAACCTGAGTCAATTCCCATCCTCCCTGAGGCTTGGCCTCACTTTCTTCCTTGTTAGTTACTGACAGGGACCCAAGGGATTGGCCCACCACGAGGGGGAGCCAAAACAGTTTAGTCTGGCGGTTGCCAGCCTTTTGGACCCACAGTCCAGACACCAGCTGGTGACCGCTGCTCCAAAGGCCCCAACCAGCAGGTGCCACCCTTTCAGACCGGCTGGCACCTGCTGGTCTAGCCCCCGGCCTCACGTGAGCCAAGCCCCGGTCAGCATAAATGTGCACCCCTTTCCCCCTCCCTGCTCCTCAGCTCCTCCTGGGGTCCCCAGGCTCTGCAGACCCTGCATGCCACTCTGGAGGGAGCAGCACGTGCCTGGCTCTCGCAGCAGTGAGCCAGGCTGCCCGCAGTCCTCCCGACCTTGGGCCAGCCACACTGCTGAAGGCAGCAGATCTGAGAGGGAAGTGCGGCCGCCCAGCCGTCAGTCCGGGTCCATTTGCTGACGTGGAAAAACATGTCGTTCCCCTCTGGCCTCTGGAGCTGGGCAGAAGCCTGAGCCGAATGCTGACCAGGAGCCTGGAGCCCCAGCTGCTTAACCGGCTTCCCCTTCTTCAGGGGGCTCAGAACGGGCAGCCAAGTCAGCAGCCCCCACAGGTAGGGGTCCACAGGTGTGCCAGGGACAACACCGGGGCCAGTAGACCTGCTTGTGGGCATCCGGACAGAGAACGGAGACAAGACCCTCTGCAGACACAGAGCCAGGGCCCCTTTGGCAGCTGGGGGAGGGCCTCCTGGAAGAGAGGCCCTGAGAGCAGCAGGCAGTCACCCGAAAAGTGTGTTTAATACACAGCTCTGGCTCTCGTCCTCCAGACTTTGACTCCAAAAGCTGGGGTGGGGCCCAGGAATGCGCTTTTTAAAAATCCTCACCTGAGAAGTATATTTCTTCAATTCTTTTTTTTTTTTTTAGACACGGTGAAAGGGTGGAGGGTGGGTGGAGGAATGAATCACACTGATTAGTTGCCTCTAGCTGGGGATTGAACCTGCAACTAAGGTATGTGCTCTTGCCTGGGAATCCAACCCGAGACCCCTTGGGTCTAGGGCCACCATTCTAACCATTGAGCAAACCAGCCAAGGCAAGGGACGTGCATTTTAACAAGCTCCAATGCGATCTTGGGGAGCAGCCAAGGCTGCGCTGTGAGAGGCTCAGTTAAACAGTCCTGCTGTGTGGGCGGGTCCAGGCTGCTGTTTTCACCAGTGGCTCTTCACCTGCCCGTCCTCAGGCCCTGACAGAGAAATCTGTCCTGCCATCCACACCAGCATCTCTCCACCTCCCCAATGGCTTCACCCACCCACCCACACACGGAGCTCAGACCCTCGGGCCCCGCCTGCAGGATGCTGACACCCCCACCTTCCACCTGCTGCTCCGGTCACTGAGTCCGCTGATGAGCGAGGCCTAGTCTCATCCCATGTAGACACCCAGGTGGCCATTCTAGGGGAGGGGTCCTGGATGGTCAGGAGCTGACTTCAGAGGGGCCTAGTGGGCTGCCTTTTCAATGGTCAGCCTCCGGGGCAGCACTGCCATCTCTGGGCTTCTCCCTCTCCCCCTGCCCCTCACCTCGGTGATGAACAGGATGCACTCCAGGAACATGAAGTCCTTGTGATTCTCGTTCACGGCCTTCTCATCGACAAAGTGCCTGGGCTCCAGATACGGGTGATCTGGGAACAGCAAAGAGCCCCGGGGTTCAGAACCAGGTGCTCACACCCCCGGGCACCTTGGCCCACACCCACCCAGGGCCACAGTCCTGCCTGTGTGCCCTGAACACTGGACCTTACAGGAGCAATCGATGGCCTTGTGCGTGTGTACATGCCAGTGTGACGAGCTCCGGCTCTGCTTCTTTCTAACCATGTGACTCAGTCCCCTCATCTGTGCAATGGGGGTAAGAACATACCACCTGACAAGCACAAGCACAGAAAAGCGCGTGGCGGGTGCCTGCACAGGGGCAGTTGATGGTCGCCAGGCTCACAGAGAAGGCTTGGGGAGACACCTACCTGAGCTCTGAGCAGGGCCTGGCAGAGCACGTACTCAACAAATGGTCACTCATTAATATTCACAGTTATCACCACACACCCACTTCTGCTTACCCGGGGGAAGTGGGGTCCACCAGAGCAGCCCACAGCGAGGGGCCCACTGCCCAGCACCTGGTGGCAGTGCCCTGAAGGGCCCCTGGCACACGGCTCAATAATGACAGTGGATGACATTGGTCACAGAGTAAAGAGCCCCTGATTTTCAACATAAACCCCACAGCTGCTGCCAGGAGCTGGGGCACATTTCACGCCAGGCCATTATGCGCCAGGCGGGGCCACTGCGCCAGCCCATGTCACGTTCCGTTATCTCGGTGGAACTCTGCCTCCGCCTGCCACGCTGGCTGCAGCAGAGCGAAGGCAAGCAGCCTCCATGAACAGCCAGGCTAACGTGTGCTTTCCCAGATGTCACTATCTGGGCCGGAGGAGGCAGGAGGGACAGAGTGCACGCTGGCGGGGAGGGGTACGTGGAGAGGTGGGGTCCATGCCCCACTTCAGTACCTATCAGCTGGGAACTGCCCCAGATGAAGGGCAGAAACTGGAAGTCATCCAGGCCCCACACGCCCTGGCTGCCCGCTGGCTCCATCCGGTATGTTTTCTGGAGTTTCCGCATCACCTCAAGGTACCTGCACAGGAGCGGGTGGGGGAGAGGAGAGGTAGCGAAGGTAAAAAGGAGTCTCAATCCTTCTGCCTCCCGGGAACTCAGGGAGGCCAGCAATGACCACCTAAGACCACAACTGGTCTCTATTTCGGTGAAGCCACACCCAGTCAGGATCAGCTGATGCTCTCAAAGTAATGTCGCTTTATTTTCCTCCCACACTCAACCTTCCTTTGGCCCATGAACGGGCAAAAACCTCCTGGGAAAGGGAATTGGCACCATCAATTCCCAATGCTGTGCAGAGCCAGGCCGGACCTCAGCTTCTCCGGCCTCGGCATGCCAATGCTGTCAGGGGCTGCGGCCTCTCCGGAGCGCCTGCACCGCGGCGGCGCTGGAGCGGCCCGGACGGACTCGGCCAGCGCTCCGGAGACCGGACGCACCTGCGCTCCCGGCGGTGGTTCGCGTGGCGAGGGCACAGGTCAGGGCCGGAGCGCCTGGCTCCCCTGGCTGTGTGGCCGCAGGGAGAGACCTGCTTCTCTGCCTGTCCTCATCTAACAACGGAAATGGCAGGGCCATGTCCCAGGGTTTCTGGGGGAACTGGCCATGTGCCGCTGAACGAAGGGCACACATCCTGAGAAAGGTGCCATGAGGCGGCTCCGTCGCGGTGCAGCCATCTCAGAGTGCACGTGGCCAAGCCCAGGCCCTGAGCAGGGGTGCAGCACTCTGCCCGCCTCCACAGGGGAGCACTCAGAAGCCTTAGCAATCCTGAGGGAGCATGTCCTTCCCTGGTTTTCACTGGGATGGCCCATCTGCAGCCCCAGCTGTTAGGACAGGACCAGAGAGCCACGGCGCTCCGAGAACCTCACCCCCTGCCCCAGCCTGACAGGGAAGAGGAGAGACCCCTCGTCCCTCCTCCCACGGCAGTTACCCTCCTGCCCTCGTCTCACTCACCGATTGAACACCTTAAAGACAATAGCTATCTGGTCGTCCACCCGGAGCACCCCAATCTTGCAGAGACAGCAGAGGAAAGCAGCAAAGGCTGCTTCGTGTCCTGAGGGAGTGAAAACAGCCGAGGTTGACAGTCTTCCAAAAAACAGAGCGACGGTCTTGGTCTCACCAGTGTCCCAGTCACCGAAACTGCCCTCCCAGGAGGAGGTCAGCATGGAGGGGACAGGTTCTCTTCCCTGCCCAGCAAGACTGCGGCCTCTGAAGAACCACAGCACTGTAATTCTCCTCCCAATAGGCCCAGGCTATGAAACAGGCATTTATGTCTTATTATGTAAGTTTAACTCACTCACTAACCCCTGAACACCTATGGGGGTCCTCCCTGTCCATGTCAGACAGTGCCTGCCCTCTCTGACAGTTCATGACAGACATTAAATACACAATCACTTCTATGATCCTAGCTCTGAAGGGGAAGGAGAAGGCGAAACTGTCACAGGGGAACCCTGACATACGGGCTCAAGGTTTCCCTAAGAAAATAATATTTAATCTGAAAGGTGGATAAGAATTGGCAAGACATGGGGGTGAGGAAAGCAAAGAGAGCGTTCTAGTCAGAAGAAACAGCATGTGCAAAAGTCATGAGGCAAGAAAAAAAAAAAGTGATATGTTTGAAGAACCCTAGGAAGGCCAGTATGGCTAAAGCAGAGAGCAAGGGAGAAGGCGTAACAAGATGAGGCTGAGATCAGATAGGCTGAACGGCCATCGTAAGAGCTCAGACGTCATCCCCAGAGCAATGGGGCCACTGAGGGCTTCCGAGCAGGTCACGTTCTAGGCATGATCACACTACAGTCCAGAGGCACCCTCTTCCTTTCTGAGTCATGTCAGGAGGAGTGGTCAGCAGGTCAGAAAACACGGACTGCTGTGGACTGAATCCATGTTCAGAGTCAGAAAACACATCTGGAGGGAGGTGGAGAGAGTATTTCAGGGACTTCCTGTCCTCCTCCCGAATGAAGGGCCCTCCAAGGACAAAACACTTGTGAACTGTTGCTTTCACCTGCACAGTTTCTGATCATGACCAGCCAGATCCAAGCCATCATCATTCAGGGGTGACCATCACTCTTGCACATCTAAGCGCAGCTGAGAAAGGAAGAAAACCCCACCCCTGCTGACCTGGCCCCTCTCCCCTCCAGGTCTTCCCCTATTAGTCTCAAAGTTTCAAAACTTGATACACCTGTTCCCTAGCAACAGGGGAAGCAGACCCAGGATCCAGGTCCAAGGGGGCCCTTCTGCAGGCCTACCTCTATAGCCAGGCAAGGGGAGGGCCCAAGACAACAGCAGCGCTTGCATTTGCCTGCTTTGAGGTGGAAGGGGAAGGAAAGGCAGACCCTCCAAAGCAAGCATCCTTCTCAGACACCCCTGGCCTGGAACACACTCCCCCATTAGTGTGTCCACATGCTCCATGTCCTTGAGAACTCAAGGACATGGGGAATGTGGCTAAGAGCAGGACATAGGGAGAAGGTGGCCACAATGCTGCCAGAGGCTCCTGAGCTCTCTCATTTCTCAAGGCTTCTGTAAGCCATTTCCTTGAGATATAGTAAGTGCTCAGTAAATCATTTTGGTGATGACAATGAGCTCAGAGAGACCATTTTTACAAAGAGCAGGAATCAGCTCTGCTCATACGGCAGCAGGCATATGGCATCAGCTCCTCCTGGTGGGTGGAGCCAGAGCTGCAGGCATAGCACCAAGCCTCCTTGCAACCAGCAGTGCTGTACTGGGCCCAGCTATCCCCGTCAGGCTGTTGCTCAAGGGTCCCCAGAGACAACCCGGAAGCAAAGAGGAAACAGTCCAAGGAAAGGACACAGTTTAGCCAAGTCAGTGCCGGAACGGCGGGTACCTGTGCCATAGTCGATGCGCGTGGAGTTCCCCACTGACTCCTTTAGGTAAACGGCCACCTCAGGCACAGCAGCTGCCAGATGGGTGGGGACCACTGTGGCCACCAAATTTTCTGCTTCCTGATAACACAAGAGACACAAAGTGGTGGCAGCAGATTATGCAGCACCGTGGTAGGCAAGCGTCCAGGGGCAGCATCTGGCTAGGACCCAGGCTGCTCTGCCAGATGGCCTGGCCCCTGCTCTGACGGGCCACAGAAGGAAAAGGAGGGAGAGCCTTTATTCTTATAGAACAAAGACTACTCTGGGGTGGCTTTTCATTTGCTGACCCTTCCAACAGATGACAAGGTTCTGGGGGCAAGATAGCAGGGATCTGAAAAGAAGACATTAAACTTTCCCATCTGGTGTCCCATCAACACATCCCATAGATGTCATCTTTCTTCACACGCCCAGAAAGGGAGTTTGTGCCATGTGTCCACCAAAAGATGTATGCAAGGATGTTCATGGCAGCACTGTTAGAGCAGCCAAACATAAAAACAACCCACGATTGAAATGTCCATCAAGAGTAGAATGGATAAATTGTGCTATGTTCACACAATGGAATACTATGCAGCAATGAAAAAGATCCACTGCTATACACGACAATATGGATGAGTCATACAGACATATCATTGAGTAAAATAAGCCAGACATTTATATGAAGTTCAAAAAATGTTAAAATCTATCTATGGGACAGAAATCAAAAGAGCTAGGGAGATATCAACTAGGAGGGGCACAGGGCCCTGCTTAAGTGCTGGAATGTTCTATAGTTTAACATGGGTGGTGGGTGAAAGGGTAAATATACATTAAGGGTAAAAATACAGTAAGGGCATAAATACGTTTCAGTTATAACTCTGAAAGGATCTAACAAAACAACTCAAGCCCAGGTGCCATCTGAGATCCCAGAGGCAGCGGAGCCTCTCTTAGGGAAGGAGAGCATCTGGCTGGGTCCTTGGCGGTCCCCTCGCTCCATGTGCCAACACTGGGCCAGAGAAATGAGAACCCGAGCGCCTTGCGTTCAGTGTGAACATGTGGTGTGAGAATCTCCGGGAGACCCGGTGAAAAGGTGGGTCCTCAGACCCCACGCTGGACCTGCTGACTGCTTTTCTAAGGACAGGGTTGCAATCCTGCATTTTGTTGGTTTGTCTGCTTTAAACAGGTACCACCTTCATGTGATTCAAAAATAAACAGGTGGTAAGAGGGCTGCATGGAGAAGTCCCACTCCACCCTGTCCCCATCCCCTCTTCTCCCTGCCCCCAAAGAAACTACAGCTTTGCCTTTTGTGTCTCCTCCCAGTGATGTTTCCCTATGCAAACTGGGCAATGCAAACACACTTTTATTTCTGCCTCCTCCTAACCAAAAGGCAGCTTGCAATATGCATCACAGGCCTGGCTGCTCTTCAGCCTGACAGTGGACTCCTCACTCTCCTTACAGCTGCACACGCTCCATTTATCTAACTGACCCCCTGCAGAGGGACACCCAGGGTGTTTCCATCAGTTGCCTACTAAGAAGCCCTGTGCAGAGAACTGTGTATCCACATGGCCATCCCCAGAGGACGGCTAAATGCATGTGTACTTCTGGTAAATGGAATGGCCGTTTTAACAAACTCCCAGAGATTCTGATATGCCTGAAAGCTCCCTCCAGCCCAGCCCCCAGCCTGTCTGTGGCAGCCTCACCTGGTCCAGTTTGGCATACCAGGTCCTGAAGGCCTTGTTCCCAAATCGAGAGGGCTGGTCCATGGGAGGAGTCTCGTCAATCCACCTGTCCAGAGTGTTGAGAAGAGCCACCAGTTTCTCAATGGCCTGTGGGCACAAAAGAGAGGCAGCCAAGACACAATGACCAAGCGAGAGCCAGCGGGAAGTCCCAACTGTTGCTGAACAATGACCCCAAAACATGGTGCTAACTGGCATCCTCCTTGCTGTCCCCTTTCTTGCCAACATGCTGAGTATGAAAAACAGGCCAGGGGCAGTGAGCTTTCCAGAAAGGGACAGCATCAGGCTGAAGGGACAAGTGTGGCTTTGGCAGCTGGTTCTCTGGCTGGCCTCGAGGAGCTGTTGGACAAGCACGAACTGCAGCCCTGCCTTCCTTTTTTGTGTTTTTAACATATTTTTATTGATTTCAGAGAGGAAGGGCGAGGGAGGGGCACAGGGCCCTGCTTAAGTGTTGGAATGTTCTATAGTTTAATATGGGTGGTGGGTGAAAGGGTAAATATACATTAAGGGTAAAAATACAGTAAGGGCATAAATACATTAAGCTGTACAGTCAGCTTTCAGTTATAACACTGAAAGAATCTAACAAAACAACTTTTGTTTTGACAAGAGAAAGACATCAAAATGAGAGAAAGAGTCATTGATCAGCTGCCTCCTGCATGCCCCACACAGTGAGGATCAAGCTAGCAACCTGTGCATATGCCCTGACCAGGAATCAAACTATGACCTCCTGGTTCACAGGCTGATGTTCAACCATTGAGCCACGCCAGCTGGGCACACCTGACCTTTTTCAATAGAATCAGTGGGGTCTTCTGTTTAGTACATAACACCGCCTCACAACAGAAAACAGAAATGTGAAAGGAAGAAAACAAAAATCACCAGTAATCCTAACACCCAAAATAAGCATTATTGACTTTTTAACATATTCTTCATTTCCCCCCACTTTTTTCCATTGCTTATCATGGTGACAATGTCTAAGGCAGCCGGACTGATTCAAAAAACACCATTTAGTTGCCACAAGACCTGGAGCCAGTGACTTTAACTCTCTGTGCCTATTTCTTCATCTTAAAACGGGCATGCTGGTTAACACCTCTCGAGGCTGTCATGAGAACTAAACAACCACCCGTGAAGGATGCCTAGTGCAGAGCCTGGCACAGGGTGATGGCGTGATTATACACAGACTCTGCCCAGGGGCACAGCACACACTGCTTTGTAGTCTATTTCCTCCTGAACCTCATTCCACATCAGTATGTAAGCATGACTCCAATAAGTGACTAAGACTTCACTGTGCCAGTGAACTATAATTTATTTACCGAACCCCTCACTACTACCGTGTTTCCCCGAAAATAAGACCTAGAGCATGGAAAGATAAGACATCCCCTGAAAATAAGACCTAGCACAACTTTGGGAGAAAAAATTATTATAAGACACTATCTTATTTTCGGGGAAACAGGGTAAATGTTTGGGTTCTTTTCAACTGATCCCTACCCCAAATAACACGGAGATAAGCAACTTAGCAACTCGTCCTCCTTTGTTAGGATTCTTTCAGAGTTATAACTGAAAGCTGACAAATCACGGGCTGTACAGCTTAATGTATTTATGCCCTTACTGTATTTTTACCCTTAATGTATATTTACCCTTTCACCCACCTGGGTCAAAGGTGTAAACGTGGGTAATGCAATTACACTGTAGGACCACAGGTGTTCAGATCCCGTCCCTCATCGCCACCTTTCCCACAGAAGGTAGGGCTGAGGAGTGGAATCGGTGTCACAGGCCAGGCCAACATGAGCACACAACATGTTACTCAACACAGCCATCAGGGAGGCGGCCTAACCAAGACACAGGTCTGTGAGGACAGAGAGAAAAGGGCTTCTTGCAGATGATGCTGACAGAAATAGTCAAGTGAGGGGCAACAAGAGGCCAGGGAGAACACGATACAGCAGACAGTACCAGTCAGTGCCCTGGGAGGAAGGACCTGCCGAAAGGAGGATCATGCCTGTGCCTACTGACCATAATCGTCCAAGGTAGCGGTCACCAACCTTTCGGACCCCATGGACCACCAGTGGTCCACAGACTACCGGTTGGCAACTGCTGGTCTAAGGAGATGCCTCCAGAGCCCCTGGCACCGGTAGGAACCAGCAGGGTGGTGCCCACAGAAAAAGTTGTGATAAGGAGGGCAAGGCTTGGTCAGGTCTGCCATGCAGAGACGCGTCCCAAGAGCCGTGTATGTACTTGGAGGTGGGAGGGTAGGGGGGGCCTGAGCTAATGATATACATACTACCCAATGCCCCCCCCTGTACAGCCCCAGGAGGCAGGAATCACATTGCTATCCATGCAAGCAGTGCCTCCTGTCATTGGGCAACATGACAACAGCCCTCATCACCCCGTTCCCAGGCTCGAGGTCCTGGAAAAGGTAAAGGTCCTGCGGAGCACTAGGCTCCCTTCGTACTTGGCTGAAGCAGCGGCCTGGTGACCTACGTCTGCGTGCCAAAATGTGGCGGAAAGTGCTGTGAGAACCTGTCTGTGAAGAACCAGGTCACCAGGAACACTGGTAACAGGGACAGAGCAACGACTTCATGGAGCATCTAGGACTGAGGAGGGTGCTGCAATAATCCTGGCCAGAGATGTCAGTCTGTGGTGACATACCACGGGGGACTAAGAAGATGCTCCAGCCGCAGAAGCAGGCTGACCATGAATAATTTAAAGGCTCCCCGCTCTGCGATCTGCAGTCGGGTGTTCTCATTGGGGGTGGGAGGCTGCCTCTATTGTTTGGCTAGTTGGGAGGTCCCAGGAGGGAGAACTGTGGGCTTGAACCTGAAAACACAGAGAATACATTGAGCTGCACTCCTTCTCCCTAATCCAATGCTTTCTTTTTGGATTTCATGAGCAAGTACAATTTTGGAGACATTTTTTATTTTGCTCTCATTTTAAAAATCAAACAGAAAAACAGTAAATAAAGAAATAAGACTCGTATCTACTATCATCTTTATTTTGCAAAAATTAAAAATTCTAACCCAAAGGACAAACATAATCTCAAAACGAAGGCGAGCCTTCTAAACATGGATGTGGACAAGCCCACACCGCCCTTGCTTGTCCCCTTTGCTACAGGCAGCCACTCAAGACCACTGTGCCCTCTCCCCAGCTGCAGCTGCCATTCCGACAGCAGGGGGCAGCAGTGAGTAGCATCAGGAACCCAGCAGAAGACAGCTGTGTGTACTGTCCGTGAGAACCTGGGCCCCTTCCCAAGCTCCATTGCACCTCCCACCCTGGCGTCCATCGTGAAGACCATCTGTGAGTGTGCTGGGGACCTTGGGAGCCGGCCAGCTCCTCAGAAAAGGAATGGCCCAAAAGAAGCCGTTACCGGATGTGAGCCCGGATGGTTAACAGCTGGCAGTTTTAGCTCAGCTTGCCATCACCCTGTTTGCTTTGTTTTTGTTTGTTTGTTAATCCTCATCTAAGGACTTGTTTCTATTGATTCTTTTTAAAGAGAGTGGGGAAGAGAAGAGAGAGAGAAAGAGAAAGAGAGAGAGAGAGAAAATACATATTGATATGAGAGACACTCATCTATTGGTTGCCTCCTGCACATGCCTCCCTGCCTGGGCATCAAACCTGCAAACCAGGTTCATGCCCTTGACCAGGATTCAAACCTAAGACCCTTCAGTGGGTGGGCTCTCTAACCACTGAGCTACTGGCCAGGGCTGCTTTGTCTTCTGTACTCTACGTAACCCCATACTGACAAAACTTGTGTTGCAGAGACATCACTGACAGGCCGCCCCGGTACACACGTAAATCCTAATAAACCCATGTCGTTTACAGCCAGTCCTCTGGGTCTTTATTTGGAATTGGTAAGCAATATGCTGAGGCCTCCTCGGACCTCGGCTTTTTGCAGAACACAGCTCCCATCTGTGGGCTGAGGCCACTTGCCATGAGCTGTGCCTCCTGCTGCCCCTGCCAGCTGTGGGCAGAATCGGGAGCCCTCTGGAGACCATCACCTCTGTGCACTGAGTGGGGAGCCGCCCACCGCCCCGGAGCTGGGATGAACCCAGCTCAGGAAGAGCCTAACTGAAGCAATAACACTGTTCAAAGATAGAAATGCAAAATAGTTAATGATAGCAATCCTAATTATAAAAAGCCAGGGGCCATCACAACCAAAATAACCGGACAGACGACAGAATACAGGCTGCATGGGGCGACAAGGCTGGCCAGGGGGGTTAGTGAGGAACGACCAAATGACTGAACAGCAGGCTACTTGGGGCGACCAGACCGTCAGGGGAGCAGGGACTCCGGAACTGCGAAAGGGCGCAGGCCCAGGCTGAGGGACCCCCCCCCACACACACACACACACACAAAGTGCACGAAATCATGCACTGGGCCTCTAGCAGCCAATAAAAATAATGTCATTTAGTAGGTGCCACGTACTGTGCAAAACCACCTGCATGTGGGATCTTAGCAGGTCCTCCCCAGGGGCCATGAGTGCTCTGTGGCTCTTCCCACTCCACAGATTAGGACAAAGGGTCACGGGAACAAGGCCACTCAGCTTACAAGTGAGAGGTTATCAAAACCCATCAGCCTGACTCCAGAATTGAGCACTTAACCACACTGCAGTTCTGCCAAAAGAGCAGCTCCTGTGCTAAGACAACACCTGGCTGGTGTGGCTGCTCCCATCCGTGTCTCAGGGGCAATTCAGGGACCTGGGAGGCATCTGGCAGCTCAGAATCTGCTGGGTAATTATAACATTCCCCTTTACCTGGCCTCCCCAACCCACTGAGCAGAGCAGAGCATTTCTGCCACAGGCTCGGAGAGGAGCCCTCTCTCCTACCCTCTGCACCTGTGCCTCAAGCCCCGGAGCACTGAGGGGGCAGCTCCCAGGAGACTGCTATCCCCAGCACTGCTATCTCCCCTCAAGTGACAGAAGGACCTCGGCCACACAGCAACCAGTTAGGGCCAACGTGAGCCTCAGGACAGGTGGAGAGACTGGGCCAGGGCCAGGCCAGGGTTTACACAACAGGCCCCGACCACAGCGAGAGAGCTGGGTAAGACAAGACATTGAGAGAGGCTCCTCAGGCCCTGGCTCCTGAGGTAAGAGGCTCTCGGTGGTTCTGGGCCAACTGGGACAGGAATCCAAGAGGCCACTGGAGGCCTGGGACCCAGCCCTGTAAGATGGCACCCAGCAGAGCAAACAACTTGCAAGACCACACCTTCCCACGGTATCAGCCTCCCTCAGCTCTCGCCCTCCCTCACAGACAAGCCTGCCTCTGAAGCCCAGCCAAGGAGCACCACCTAGCAGTGTGCTCTTCAACGCACCATCCCCACCCCTAGCAGTGGAAACAGTGCCCATGCATGCAGGTGCAAGGATCATCAGAGCAGCAATGTTCAGGGAAACATCCTCAAAGTCTGCAGCGAGGGGATGTGTAAACATGAGGGCATGGCTCGGTGAGGCAGCCATTCCCAGGCGGGAGAGGGCTCACAGGGCGGGGCAGGAGGACACCCCCACACTGTTCCCAGGCAGGTCTGAGAGGGAAAAGGGCAAGAGGCCAGGATTGGGACATTCATACACATCTCTCAGCAATCTCTTCAGCGAGCATGGTAATTTCCTTTGTGATCTCTTCTGACTGAAAACGTATATAAAGATACCAGTTAGCAAAAATGCAGACTACAAAATGGCATCTTTACCCTGATCTCAATTTTCCATTCACAGATTTTAAGAAGTATTAGAAGTATAGATACAAAAACGCCAACTGCACATGTGCTTGGATGATCTGGTTCTCTGCACTGGCCCCGCTGTGGGCAGTGAGCACACGTGACTCCGTGGAGCTATTTCTGGAAGGCCTGCCACAGCAGGCACCCTGCCCAGCCTACCTCAGAGACTCTGTACTCAAAGGTCAGCTTCTTCCCCTTCACACCTTCGTTGAGGGTCAGGATGAATCCGATGTAGTCGGCGTATGCCTACCAAACAGGAGAAGGACCGTGGGATGTGGAAAGGGCTGTCGGCTCCCACTGTCCCCTAGCCCAGCCAGCCCCCAGCTGCACCCGGTTACCAAAATGCTCCCAGCTGCCCCTGGCTCCCACCTGGGTAGCAGGAGCAATAGAAATATAATGCCAAATACCCCACCCCTACCCTCCATCCCACACCACTGGCAATCCAATGACACTGGGCCTCCACCAGAATTTACTGTGTGCTCACTCTTGCTACCAGCAGTTTCTTGACACAACAACCCGCGAGCCAGACCCTATCACTGACCCCGTTCGTTCTACAGAGGAAGCCAAGGCTTCAGGAGAAGTGACTTCCCAAAGTCTCCTAAGACCGAGCTCTCACTAGATGTGGAACAGGACCAGCCAACCAAACTCCAGAGCAGAGTGGCTGAGGACTCGACCACTGAACTACACCACCAGGCTCCCGCTCCCCTGCTGACCTTCCAGATGGTTCCCCACCCGGCTGTCTGCCCTGGTGCAGCTGCCTGCTCCAAGGAGAAGTGTTTTCTGCCTGCCCATGGCCAGGGCTCTCGGCACACCCACCCCCCCCGCGTCCCGCTGGACACTCCTGCCCCTGTTGGGCCGAGGGTGGCACCCACAGGGATAAAAAAGCACTGAAGTACAGGCCCTGGAGGGGCAGTTCCTGGGAACAAGTGACTGATCAGTCTGTGTCATCATCCCTTTGCCCCGTGCTTTCTTCTTTCCTCCTCATCTAAGCCTAAGGACACCGGCCCCAGCTGAGTCCTGAGAACCAGCCACTCAGGGTGGAGAAGGGCTATTCCTACAGCAGGTCCTCTTCCAGCTGTGAACGGCTGCAGGTGGGAGAGAGGGACAGTGCAGGCCCAGGGAGCCCACCACAGCAACTCTCCTGGCCCAGAGCAGGTCTGAGCCCTCCTCCTGACTATGGCCAGTGTCCACAGCTGCCTCTGCAAAGTACATGGGTGCAAGGACAGGAAGTAGCAATGGGCAGGGTCACCCTCCACAGTCCCTGCTCAGAGGCGGGTCTGAGTCTCTTGGTGACTACAACTCAGGACATTCTTAGGGAGGTGCCTGTGTACAAAGTCTCTACAGATGCCACACCACCACCATCATCATCATCACCATCAGAGCGTAAACATCACACTTACTGCTCAGTAAGGCTCACTGCATGCCTAGCACTGACCTGGGGCTTTATGGCTTTTAAATCATTCAAGCCTCCAAAGAGCCCCATCTCATAGTAGAGGGAACCGAGGCCTGGCCAGGCGTGACAACTGGCCTAAGTCACCGGAAGAGACAAGGGGAGTCCTGGGCTTCCAGCCCTGACTTCTCTGCCCCCAAGGCCACGCCCTCGGCTGCTGCTCTGCTTCCTGGTGAAACACTGTCTGGCCACAAGAGGTCCACGCATCTCCCTGATGGGCCTCAGAGGGAGGCTTCCACCAGGGATCGCTCCACATGCACATCGGACGAGCGAGTGGCCACATTCCCTAGGAGTGCTGGTGCCGAGAGCCTACGGGCCAGAGGAAATGCTTCAGGCTCCCTGGACCTGCAGTCTGGTTCACAAACTCTCAACTCTGCCCTCGCAGTGTGGAAGGAAGCAGCCATGGACAACAGATACAGGAATGAGCGTGGCTGCACTCCAATAACACTGTATTTACAGAAACAAAGCGGAGGGCCAAATTCGTCTGGCAGGCAGCGTTTGCCAACCTGTGGCCTAGACCAGTGATCGGCAAACTCATTAGTCAACAGAGCCAAATATCAACAGTATAACGATGGAGATTTCTTTTGAGAGCCAAATTTTTTAAACTTAAACTTCTTCTAATGCCACTTCTTCAAAATAGACTCGCCCAGGCCGTGGTATTTTGTGGAAGAGCCACACTCAAGGGGCCAAGAGCCGCACGTAGCTCGAGAGCCGCAGTTTGCCGATCACGGGCCTAGGCCAATGTAAGAACAGCACACTCCTCACAAGAAACCTGCCAAGCCTGCCAGAACCCCAAGCCTGCCACATCTACAAGGGACCTTCCCCATCCCAGCTGACCAGACCAGGTAGGCACCAGCTGGAGCTGGACCCACGGCCTTCCCTGGGAACTTGAACTTGGCTTTCTTTTTCTCAGTCCGTCTTTCCACAGCCTGACCATAGCCTGAGGGACTCGCTGTCACCTTCTGCAGCACAGAGAGCTGGTCTGCCCCAGAGTGCTCTCCGAGGCCTAGGTTTTCATGGAATAATCTCCTATCCCTTTAAGACACTGGCTCCCCTACTTGCTGGTACTTGGAACCACGAATCAAGTCACACAGTCCTTCATTTAGGACCTCATGTTCGGCCAATACAGCACTCAGGGGGCGATGGTGTGTGAGAACCAGGAGAACGACTCTGTAGGGCTACTCTGGCCCCGACCCCCAGAGACCTTCCCACTTCCTGGCTTCTAAGTGCTTGGCTCCAAGGGCGTGAGGGCCAGGAGCTCACGGCCCATCATGTCTAGAAAACCAGTGTCTTTGAAAAAGCCCAAGTTTCTCCTCTCAGCTCGGAGCCTGCAGTGTAGACCCCGCGGTACCTGAGACCGCTTCCATTTCCCCATGTCCGGAACCGTGTGGATCTCCTTCTTTGGAATGATAAAGTTCTGAGTGGCTGCAGGGGTGTCCTCCGAAGAATCTTGACAAAGAAAATGAAAAAACAAGCAAATAAATAGAAACCCTTCCCAACACATGCACACGCGCGCGCACACACACACACACACACACACACACACACACACTTTTAAACCAAGACTCCAACACCCAAACCTTAGTGTATACCAGACACAGATTCCCAGGACAGAGTACTGGCTTATTAACCAAACCCACTGGCCTCCTGACTCTCCTTTCTCTGAGGAAAACAAGCTGTCAGCTGTTGAGGGAGCAGTGCCAGGGGCCTGGGGACCTAAGGGATAGGGCAGGGAACATGAGATAAGAGCAAAGCAAACCTCTACCTAATTCGGAATTCAAACCAGGGCCCAGAAAATTCAAACCAGAAACTCTCTTTCTCCTCCCATCTGTCCTACAAGCCTGTTCCCAGAAGCCAAAACTGAGACCCCTACTATTAGTAAATTGCTACTCTAAGATGCTAAATAAAAAGCTTTGTGCCCTAACCGGTTTGGCTCAGTAGACAGAGCGTCCCCAGGTTCAATTCCCATCAAGTAAGGGGTGTGCAGGAGGCAGCTGATTGATGTTTCTCTCTCATGGATGTTTCTAATCTCTATCCCTCCCCCCTTCCTCTCTGTAAAAAATCAATAAAAAAAAATTTTTTAAAAAGCTCTGTGGCTCAGGCTAGTAACCTAACTACATTGTTTTTATGGGGAAATGGTCCACATTCCAAATAATCAACTTGCAAATGACATTTGGGAACAGAGCCCCTCTGTGCATCAGAGGACTGTTCCCTGCAGGTGGCCGGTCCCCCTGATGTTACTGCTCAGAGGAAAAGCTCCAGGCCAGGCCGGTGACCGGGGGAAAGGTTGCCCTACAGGAAGCATTGCAACAAAGCACTGGTGCAACACACAAGCTGCCAGGTCACAAAATCCCAAATCACAAAAAGCAAGCCTTCAAACACAGGGCTGGGACAAGCCAGGTCAGACCCGCTCTCTCTCAGCCTCGAGACTCTGCCTCTGACAAAGGGACCACCAGGCAGCTGGACCCCCTAAAACCTCTCGGTGTAAGATGGAAACACCTAGGGTTATAGGTGCTCCTCAACATCCCCAGAGAGTGAATGCAGTGTCATCTACCATTTTGGAACTGTCCACGGGTTCAACCTATACCCCCTGTGAAAAGGGTAATAGGAACCCACACTGACGTCACCGCCGTGTCCCAGGCGCTGCCCACATTCTCTGCGGCCCCGTGAAGAAGGGGGAGCCTCCTTTTTAAGAAATAAGGGAACAGGCTCCCGGAGGCTGACTGGCCAGCAGGGCAAGGTCTGTGTAACTCCCTAAGTCCAGGTGCCCACCACACTGAGATAAGTAGTTCGCTCTACTTGCCCCAAAACATCCTACTTCACACGCACCCAGCCATACACAGCTGACCCCTGCCTTCATCTCTTCCAGTGCACAGGTTCTCCCTCCCCCACCACCCACCTCAGGGACACATTTCAGGGGAATTCTTATGGAGAACGCCTTCTGGCTCCCCAGGCCATTACTTCTGAGGCAGCTTGGAGGGGGGGTGGGGAGACATTCAGCCCAAGGACCATATAAGGTCCAGGAAAGCATTTGGTCCGGCCCTGCCAAGGCATCAGGGGTGAGTTAATTAAATGTCTGACCAAATATAGCAGACTGATTTTAAGTTGATAATTTTGTTATAAACAGCCAATAACCCTCGGCAGAAAAAAGGTTCCCCACCCCTGTTCTAAGGGCACACGCACGGAAGTTTTGTGTTAAAGTAAATGTCTGGTTTCCAGTGCCCTAGGAGATCACACCCCGGTCTTTTCGGAGGCGGTGTGTGTGTGTGTGTGTGTGTGTGTGTGTGTGTGTGTAGGAGAGGGATTCTTTTGATCTTCAAAACTTCTGAGACCTTCCCAGGGATCACAAAACGTAAGACAGAGTGGAAGGAATAGCAAATGCTTTGCAAACACTAGCTGTGTGTTTGGCTAACCTATGTGCTCCTGACATAACTTTAAAAGTGGTCTTAGCTCCAGGTGGGGGTGAAGGGGTGTCCGCAGCCCCCACCTCGTTCTCCAAGTTGCAGGTCTGTATCAGATCCTTTCTCTAGCACCTCCTCCCCCCGCCACCCCGGTACTGGAGAGGAACTTAAAAGAGGCCGCGGGGTAAATAAAAGTTACAGGCGGTGATGCCAGGGAGAGACTCATCTCCTTGCACAACCAGCCTTCTTAAATTAGTGGTTTAGACGACCGAGAGCAGCTTCTCTCAATAAATTCTCAGCCACCGAAACTCCAGAGGCCGGCCTGGGGGGGAGGGGGGGCAGGGCGAGGAGGAGGCTGGGGATGGGGTCCAGCAGGCCCAGCCCCGGACACCCCCCACCCTCCCCGCCGCCGGGCAGCCCCGGTCCTCGGCGTCTCCCCCGCCGGATCCGGGCTGACCTCGGCACGAGCACCGCGGGCGTGGAAAAGGCCTCCGCTTCGGGGCAAGGCCTTGCCCACCTGACCCTCCGGCGGCCCGGGCTCCCCAAGTCCCGGGGTGGCGCCCCACCCACCAGCCTCCGCCGCAGCCCTGGGTCCTGGTCCTCCTTCCAGGGCCCCCAACGCTCCTTCCTCCGGGGCCCGCCCTCTCTGGCCCCCGCAGGTCCTCCATCTCCCGACCCTCCCGCGCCGAGCCCAGCACCACACCCCTTCCCGCCCCCGCCCCCGGCACCGCCCCCGCGCCCCCACCGCGGCCCGGCCCGCCGGCGCATCCTACCTGGCGGCGCCTGCCGCTCGCCCTCAGCCATCTTCTTCCCGCCAGGAGCCGGCCCGGACGCCCGCAGCCCAGCACCTTCCACCCCCGCGCTCAGGGCCTCCTCAGTGGAAATGAGCGCCGGCCGGCTATACCCGAGAGCCGAGACTTAAAGTCACCCCAGTGAAGACAAGCGCCATGTCGGTGCGGGGCACTCAGGGAGCATGCCCAGCAACGGCCGGCTCCGGCGGCGGCGCGGCCCGGGCGGCGGCGGCCATGTTGGTGCGGGGCGCCCGGCGCATGCGCACCAACGCCCTGCGCATGCGCGCCAACGCCCGGCGCATGCGCACCAACGGCCGGCTCGCCTCCGGCGCGACAACGGCCCGCGGTCCGGGGAGCGCGGCGGCCATGCTTTTGCGGGGCGAGCGGAGGTCGTTGCGGCGGCCATGCTTTTGCGGGGCGGCCCCCACCTGTCATCTTCGTGCGTGGCTCTGGCCCTGCCCCGACGGACTTTAGAAGACACTGCCCGTCAACAGGGGTGTGTTCTCCTGCCACTCGGAGAGCAGCGCTCCTGGACACCGAGCGTCAAGCGGGCTGAGAGGGGGCCACGCCTGCCCCCAAAAGACCGGACGGCACCTGGGGTCCGGAGGGAGGCGTCCCCCCCGCCGACTGCAGACCGCGCCCCCGCCCCGCCCCGGCCCCGCCCCGCGCCCGCGACTAGCCTCCGGGGCTCGGAACTGGCCGGTGACCGCCGAGAGCCCTCCTCCCCGCCGCCTGCCGCCACCCGCCCGGCCGGTGGGTGGGCGCGGGGCCGCCTGGACCGCTGGCGGCGGCGACACGGCGACCTTGGCCCGGAGGCCGCAGCGGGACCGCCAATCGCGGCGGCGGCGGCGCGGACTTTGCCCGGCCGGGCGCGGGCGGACTGAGCCCGCGGGGCGGCCGCCGAGATGTTGGCATTCGCGGTCAGGACGGCGGTGAGTGCGGCCGGAGCGGCCCGGCGGGCCCTGGACGGCGCGGGCGGGCGGGCGGGCGGGCGGGCCACGGGCTGCTGTCAGGTCCACAGGCTGTCAGCGGCCCCCTGTCCAGCCTGGCCCGCTGCTAGCTGCCCAGGTGGGATCGGCAGGTGGGCTTCCGGGTTTGGCAGAGAAAGAGACTGAGGTTCAAGGTCAGAGGCCGATCGAACCCACGTCCTGTAGCGCTAAATGTCAACTGGAAAAGTCAGTGGCAACCCGGCTCCGCTCCGGGCAGCGCCCGAACCCTTAGCCCTGGGGCCAGGGAACAGGCTGACATGGAGCCTCTGCCACGGTTGTGCTCTGACTCACACACCCTGTGCACGCTCAGCCCAAGCCGTCTCTGCCCAGGCCAGAGCCACTTCTCCAACCCCAGCCAGTTGGTCAGCTTCCTTGCACTTATCAAATGGTCCCTGTGGGGGTTGTGTAGCCAGAAAAACTCACGTGGAGGCATCAAACTGGGCTGCCCAGAAAGTGCTGAGAACTGGCAGGAGGTGGCAGGTGGTAGTCCCAATACCCTTCCTCTCCACCAGGCCCTCCCCGGACCTGTCCACACACACACACACACCAATCCTCCCCAGCGGGCAGCCTGGAGCAAGAAGCGCCGTGCCCTGATTTGGATTCCTGTCCTCTCTGATCCAAGCCTATCTTTGTTTGCATCTCCCTCCATCTGTGCCAAGAAGAGCGCTCAGACAGACATGCCAGGCCCAGAGAACTGACAGTCCCCAAGGCTCTTCCAGGACCCCAAGGCTCTGCCACCTGCGCTGTGTCCCCATCCCACAAACAGCCTCGGGGTCACTCTCCGGGACTTGCCGAGTGATCACTTTACCGCCAGAGAATCTGATGCGAGGAGAGACCTGGCAACTCAGATCTCGTCTAATCCCAAAGCCAGTGTCCTCTGGTTTATTTTTAATGCCTGTAGTGCCCCACTCTTTTATATATATATATATATATATATATATATATATATATATATATATATTATTGATTTTTTACAGACAGGAAGGGAGAGGGATAGAAAGCTAGAAACATCGATGAGAGAGAAACATCAATCAGCTGCCTCCTGCACACCCCTACTGAGGATGTGCCCGAAACCAAGGTACATGCCCTTGACTGGAATCGAACCTGGGACCTTTCAGTCCGAAGACCGACGCTCTAGCCACTGAGCCAAACCGGTTTCGACAGTCCCCCACTCTTGACCCCCCGCCGAAGGAGCAACAACCCGAGAGAACCAGGCTTTGGGGGGAGGGTGGCCCCGAAGGGCTGCCGGCAGTTCTGGGGGAAACGGGATGGCAGGGCTCTAGTGTCCACTGTCCACTGTGGTCTTTCCCGGGCCTGCTCTCCTGTGCCAGTCCGCTTTCAGGGCTGTGGTCTACTTAGCAGCCCGGCAGTTTCTGCCCTCCAGCCAAGGCTTCCTTCATCAAACAGACCTCCCGATTCTAGCAGGTGGATGTTTTAATACCTCTTGGCCTGTCTCCCTGGCTCTGGGCCCATCCAGAGAAGAAAGGAGGAAGTCTTCCAGGATTACTCCTACTCTAGTGCCCACCCCCAGCCCTCTCACCTCCTCCCCATCCCTCCACTTCTGGAAGCTAGGGCTCCTGCCATAGCCACAATCCCAGATGCCACCACAGCCACCATAGCCATCGCCACTGACACCTCTGCCTCCCCCCCCTCACCCCTCTGAATCTTGGCTCTTGTCTTCTCTTTCCAGCCCAGGCAAGTGGCTGCCTCTTGCTAGGTTCTGCTCGCCCACTTGGTAGCACAGTTAGGCTTAGGCATCCAGCCCAAGGCAGACAGACAGGGCTCAGAACCTCAGTCCTGCCATGGAGGACGGGCAGCAGAACGAGAAGGTACGGAACAGAGCCTCTGCCTACTGCCTGCCTACTGCCGCCAATAGCCCAGACCCTCCCGTTCTCTCTCTCTCTCTCTCTGCCGGACTCTCTCTCTGCCAACTCTCACCCTCCTTGCCAGGCCACTCAGCTCTTTCTTGCCCCAGTGCTGCCCCCATGCCGCCTCCATCCCATCCCACAGACAAGAAAAAAACCTGTGGCTTCCCCCTCATCCAGAGCTGCTGTAATCATCTGGCTCTCTGATTTTTTCTTCTTCCTCCTGTTTCTCAACCTGGCAAGGGTGGGAGAAGAGGAGGCGGGAGCTCGGGGAGGGGGCAGGCACCTCCCTGCTGGCTGGTGCCTGGTCCCAGAGCGAGAAAGGCGGGGCCCTCTGACCTCAGCAGGGCCACTCACCTAACTCGGTTCCCCTGAGCCTGGGCAGGATCCGTGGCCACGCCCCGCCCTCCCCTGCCCATACCTGCGCCTCCAAGCCCGGGAGAGATGGAAACGCCTATAGCTCGAGGGCTGGGAAGCCGGGGCTGGCACCACCCAAGAGGCTGTCTCTGGTCCCGGAGATGGCACATAAGTGCCCAGGACTGCAGCCTGGGATCACCAGGACCCCAGCGCCGGAGGGAGGATGAGCAGGATGTTCTGCTGCCTGCAGGTGAAGCCCCTGGGCTTCCTCAAGCCCTCCTCGCTGACCAAGGTCGCCAGCCGCTTCAAGGCGCACCAGGAGTCGCTGCCCCGGCTGCCCGTGCCCCCGCTGCAGCAGACCCTGGACCACTACCTGAAGACCCTGCAGCCCATCGTGAGCGAGGAGGAATGGGCCCACACCAAGCAGCTGGTGGAGGAGTTCCAGGCTTCAGGGGGCGTCGGAGAGCGCCTGCAGAAGGGGCTGGAGCGCAGGGCCAAGAAGATGGAGAACTGGGTGAGTAGGAACTGCGGGTACACGGAACCCCCAACTCCCACCCGGGCTAAAGGGAACAGGGCCCCCCAGGCCCCCAGAGGGTCATTGTGAGAGTCCCGCAGTGAGGCCTGCCCTGCTGCACACAGAATCTTCCATCACGGCCGCTCTGGCATTCACTGGCGCCAGCTTCATGGGAACTTACTCTGTGCCTGGCACTAGGCAGAGACTGGATGAGCCAGAAAGACACCGTTGATGGCCTCAAGGAGCTGGCATTCAAGTAGGAAGGGGAGAGAGGCGATCAAACAAGACATCTGAGTGGTCAAGGTCATTTCTGTAGAAATGGAAAAGGGTGATTGTGCCCTGGCTGGTACACTCAGGTGGTTGAGCATTGCACCAAGAGGTTGCCGGTTCTATTCCCAGTTCTCTCTCTCTTCTTCCTCTTCCTCTCTCTCTCAAATCAATGAAAACATTTATTTATTTATTTATTTATTTATTTATTTATTTTTTATGGGTGATGAGAAAGAGGGGTGGAGAATGGAGGCATCTTCATTCTGAGTGGTCAGGGAAGGCAGGGAGGAGGTGGTGTTGGGTCTGAGATGGTCGGAGCAGCACCAGCAGAGGCAGCAAGCCTGGTGAACCCAGGAGCAGACAGAGGTGGAGTGGAGTGCCAGAGGGGGGAGCTGCAGGCAGAAGGAACTTGGACTTGAGCTCAGTGGGAAGAAGCTGCAAGCTGGCTTCAAGCAGGGGTTGTGTTCAGTGACGGATTGCTCTGGCCTGTGTCAGTCGGTCACACAGGTGCGTTCACCTCATGGGAGTGTGTGCATTCGCTCCGTGCACTTTTCTGTGCGCATCTTAGATCTTAACCCTGAGTTCAACGTGACCGCCCTGGCCACTGGGAGGGAAGAGTGGGAGCAGGAGGCGGTGGGAGATGCTGGCAGGGAGAGGGGGGAGGTCAGTAGGTCCACAGTATGTCTGGGAGTCAGTGGTACTTGTTGATTGGACTGCTGGGAGTGGGACAGTCCTGACCTAAATCAACTCTGTGGGGGATGGGGGAGAGGAGGACTTCCGGAGAAAGGGGAGATGAGGGAGAGAGCTACAGAAAGCCCCATGAAGGAGGAGGTGCTCTGAGGGGCTGCACAGAGGAGGCAGGCCGAGGGGTGGCTGTCCTGACGTGGGCAGCTCAGGGCCCTGGACTCCGGAATCAGGAGCTGAGAGTCTGGGGCCCAGCAGCTTGGAATTCCTTTCCGCCCGCAGTTCCTCCAGGTCCCCAGCGTTCTGTGCACCTGAGCACGGCACACCCCTCGCCCCTTGCCAAGGGCCTGAGGCCGATGGCCTGGTGCCACAGCTTCCCGGGGGGTCTGTAAAGAGGCACATCCTGCCCACTGCTCCCCGGGGGGTGAGGAGGCAAGGCGGGGGCGGCCTCCGGGCGGAGAGGCGCCTTGGGCAGGCCTGGAAGGGGCGTAGGCGGACAGGTTGTAGTCAAGCACATAAGGCTCAAGGGGGACCGTCCGGGAGCTGCACAGCCGTGACGGCCTTCCCTTGGCCGCGGTGGCCCGAGAGGCAGTGCTGCCACGGCTCCGCCCGTGCCCCGCCATGTGCATCGGTGTACCCTCCTGGCTCCCCCAGATGGCTCGCCCTGAGATCCAAGAAGTGTCCACTGCCCCATCCGACACCAACAAAACTCAGGATCTCCAGTTTGGCATTGAACCCAGGGCCTCCGCTTTCCTGGAAAATGCCCAATGGGGATGAGCAAAAACTCATTCGTTGGACTTCCTTTTTCTATATTTCTCTCTATTCTATCTATCAGGAATACATTTTTATTTCAAATAGTAAAAATCATTGACCAAAATTTGTAAGATAAAGAAACATGATTCAACATGTTCAGTGGTTGAGTGTCAACCAATGAACCAGTAAGTCATGGTTCAATTCCTGGTCAGGGCACATGTCTGGATTACAGGCTCCATCCCCAGGGTGGGGCGTATAGGAGGCCACCGATCAATCATTCTCTCCTATCATTGATGTTTCTCTCTCTCCCTCTCTCTCTCCCCCTTCCTCTCTGAAATCAACAAAAATATATTTTTTTAAAAAGGAAAAGAAACATGATTCACATTTCTGCCTCTTTCCCCCGCTCCAGGTTTCCTGCCCGCCTTTTCTCCACATCTTTCTTTGGCCAGTGGGACACTGCTGGTGGGGGCAGGGAATTGGGCGTTCTGGGTCTGAGTATTCGCTTTAAGGTCTGTGCTCACAGAGGGGCCAGAGGGGCCCCTTGCCCTGGGGGAAGGGTCACCCAGTCCCCACCACCCTCCTGACAGGCTCTGGTCCTTTCCCCAGCTGTCCGAGTGGTGGCTCAAGACGGCCTACCTCCAGTACCGCCAGCCCCTGGTCATCTACTCCAGCCCCGGCCTTGTGCTGCCCAGGCAGGACTTTGTGGACCTGCAGGGACAGCTCCGGTGAGTGGCTGAGGCTGGGGCAGGGCCAGCAGGGGGCAGGGCCCGAGGACCACTTCCTCCAGGAGGGTGGAGGGGCCCCAGTCCTGCTCATTATCTTTCACCCCCACAAACAGCTTTATGAAGTAAGGGATGTCATTCCTATTTTACAGATGGGGAAACTGAGGCTCAGAGCAGGGAGGGGCCTGCCCAAGGTCACCTTTCAGTGTTGGCTGAGCTGGGGCAGGCAGCAGGGTCTTCCCGGCTCCAAAGCTTCATAGCTTTGCACTGAGTCCTCCCCCACTCAATCCCTAAACCTGGGGCCACCCCCCCTCCTTTCCTCTCGCCTGTGGCCACGGGACGACCTTTGTACACAGTCCCCTTTTCCACATTCGGCCATGTCACTTGCCCTGGCCTCCGGAGATAAAAATACCAGGGGACAAGCATCGCCGCCCAAGCACCGGCCATGGCGGTCGCCACCTGCTTCTCTTAAAGGCACCAGGGCACCCTGGGACGGTCTGGGGTTCAGGCCCAGGAACTCCAGATGGTGGTCTGCACGTAGGGGGCCAGGGGCAGCCCAGGCGCCGGGTGTGGTTGTGTAGCCCACAGCTCGGGGAGGAAGGCCAGGGAGAGGCGGCCTGGGAGAGACCCAGGAACAGGTGGAGGCCGAGGGGAGGGGACACCTCGAACCACTGTCCTCCCATTCACACTCCCCCTCCCCTGGTCCCGGTCCCTCTGAGAGAAGGGTGTCCTCCTGCCAGACTCCCAACTGTGATTTGGGCTCGGGCCCTATGGGTGGAACCAGCTGCCCTGACTCATCTCCGCACCTGAATCTTGCCGGCACGTGGCCAGCATTTCTCCCTGCGCCCTGTGCCCTCCGCTACTCCCTCTGGGCTCAGAAGGGTGAGCTGGGACTTGAACTCAGACCCACTCCTTCAGGTTCTGCAAGCCCTGAGCGAGGAGTGAAGCAATCAGTGGCTCCCTTCACCCCGCAGGCGCCCCTGACCCGGGGCTACACAACCACGCTGCTCTTGGCCCCCTACATGGGATCACCATGTCCATACCTGCGCTGATCTCTAATTGTTCCCTCCAGGTTTGCTGCCAAATTCATCGAGGGTGTGCTGGACTTCAAGGCCATGGTTGACAAGTGAGCAGTCCGGCCCGCCCCTACCCTGCCTGCCCATTGACACAGTCACTCCAGCTTGACCCAAGCCCTGGTGCTGGGCAGCCAGAGCTCAGCTGCTTTCACTTCCTGTTGGCCCAGCCTGGGGATTGGGATGCCTCGTCCTGCTCCAGCTGCCGGGACTTCCTCCTGGTGCCCCTGTCCCAGAGGCCCCTGCAGTGGCGTTCCAGCCAAACAGGCCCCGGAGGCCGTCTCCCCTTGGCAATCTGAAGCCCGGAGCAGGGAGGGGAGTTCCAGGGTGACTCATGGCGGGCCTCCTGCCCCAGCCCAGCACCAGGCCCCGCGTGGGCTCAGGGGAAGTAGGGACATGAGGAGGGCAGACGGCCACTGCTGTCAACCCTGACTCAGCTCTGCCAGCCCCCTCCCCCCTGCCGGCGGGCCCAGCAGCTCCCTTCTCCCTTCCTACTTGCCCAGCGGCCCCTCCCTGTCCCCCTGCCTGCAGCGAGACCCTCCCCGTGGAGTACCTGGGCGGGAAGCCGCTGTGCATGAACCAGTACTATCAGATCCTGTCCTCCTGCCGTGTGCCAGGCCCCAAGCAGGACTCGGTCATCAACTTCAGCAAGACCAAGAAGCCGCCCATGCACATCACCGTGGTGCACAACTACCAGGTGGGGGCCCCACACAGGCCCCTGTGCCCCAGGAACAGGATGCTCTGGGCATCTCTACCGGGTACCCGGCTAGGCCCCAGCCTCCGGGATGCCAAGGGGCCTTGGCCTGCCCAGCTGGGGAGAACAATGCAGGGCCGTCCTCCTCCCCCACCCCCTGGCCTGACCCCGTCCCCTCAGCTGGGCCCGGGATAGCACTCCTGCGGCCTCTGGGTGCCAGGGCAGGAGGCGGCAGCGGGGGTGGGACATGACTGCGGGGCCTGAGGTGGTCACTGGCCCCTCCCCGCCTGCCCGGACAGTTCTTTGAGCTGGACGTGTACCACAGCGACGGGACGCCCCTCACCGCCGACCAGCTCTTCGTGCAGCTGGAGAAGATCTGGAACTCGTCGCTGCAGACCAACAAAGAGCCCGTGGGCATCCTCACCTCCAACCACCGCAACTCCTGGGCCAAGGCCTACAACACCCTCATCAAAGGTGCCCGCGGGGCGGGGCCAGGCCGCATCCCCGCTCTGCCCTCCCCGCCCAGGTGCACGCTCCTCACTGAGCCTCTCAGCCGGAGCAGGTGCTCCCAGCTCAGCTCGGGGAACAGCTGGGGCCAGTGTGTTTCCCCAGTGTAGCCAGGAGCAGGTGGGATGAGCCGCCCCTGGCTGAGGAGCCCTCTGCCGCCACAGGCCCCCGAACCCGCCTGAGCCAGGGACTTGGGGGACCTGCCGCTTCTACAGTGGGCCGGGCACTGGGCGCTCCTCACAGAGGCTTCGGGGCTTCAGCCCTGTGAGTGGGAAACTCTGAAGCCCGTCCCAGCCCTCGGGAACGTTCTGGGGGCCCGGCCGCCCCAGGCCTGACACCCCCATTTCTGCGCCCCTCCGCCATGCCCCTGCAGACAAGGTGAACCGGGAGTCGGTGCGCTCCATCCAGAAGAGCATCTTCACGGTGTGCCTGGACGCCGTCATTCCCCGGGTCTCGGAGGACATGTACCGCAGCCAGGTGGCCGGCCAGATGCTGCACGGCGGCGGCAGCAAGCTCAACAGCGGCAACCGCTGGTTCGACAAGACGCTGCAGGTGAGGCCGCAGGGCCTGCTCCCACCGGACACACCCCCACCTGGTCCCCTGCCGCTCGGACGTCCTGTCCCCCGTGTCCTGGCCTCCGGCTTGTAAACAGACGGAAGCCATCAGGAGGACGCGGCTGTAATTACCCAGCAATTACCCACCCCAACACACCCCTCAGCACATCAGAGGCCGGCCGAGGGGGTTTGGCCATGCCTTTCCCTCTCTGCAGCTGTAAAACGGGCTGTGGTAGGACTCCCAGGTAGAACAGAAGTAGGGGGTGCGTGGTGTGGCCTAGGATGGGTCCAGGGACCCCGTGGGTGTCAGCGCCTGTTAATGACTGTAATCAGTCAGCGTAACTCTGAGGGGACTTCCTCTGGGACCAGCCAGAGAGGCTGCAGGGATGGGTTAACAGGTCCCCACCCCCCACAGTTCATCGTGGCAGAAGATGGCTCCTGTGGGCTCATCTATGAGCACGCGGCCGCAGAGGGGCCGCCCATCATCTCCCTCGTGGACCACGTCATCGAGTACACGTGAGTGTGACCCCCTCTCCCCCACTTCCCCAGGCCTGTGAGGGCGACGCACAGGTGAGGCTGGCTGGGAATGGCGTTTTCCCTGTGCCCGGCATCTGTCTCTTCAAGAGGAGCCAGGAAGCCACGTGGGCTTAGAGCCAGACAAACCGGTTTGCTCTGCACTTCCCAGCTGCGGGGCCGTGGACCAGTCCCGTCCCCGCCAGGCCTCCTTGCTTTGGCCGCCTAAGAGCTGGGGGGCTTCAGAATAACTCCCAGGCGTCTCCCTGGGCTGCCCCTCAGCTTCAGGGACCCATCCTCCCACCCGATCCCCAGGCGGGCCCCGGTGCCCCCGCACCAGCATGAGCCCAGCCCGTGTCCGTGCAGGAAGAAGGCCGAGGTCGTGCGGTCCCCCATGGTACCCCTGCCCATGCCCAAGAAGCTGCGGTTCAACATCACCCCCGAGATCAAGAATGACATCGAGAAGGCCAAGCAGAACCTGAGCATGTGAGCCCGGGCGCTGGGGGGCCAGGCCCTCGAGTCTGGCCGGCTTTTGTGTGAGGCGTCACCAAACCCGGCTGGGTCTGAGCCCTCTCCCCCGGGGGTGGCAGGGTGGCAGGTGCCCGCCCCTCACTGCCTCGTCCCCACCCCCAGCATGATCCAGGACCTGGACATGGTCGTGACCGTGTTCCACCACTTCGGCAAGGACTTCCCCAAGTCAGCGAAGCTGAGCCCGGACGCCTTCATCCAGATGGCGCTGCAGCTGGCCTACTTCCGGTGAGCCCGCCGCCCGCCCGCCACCGCTGCCCGCTGCCCACCCGCTCGCAAGGAGGCGGAGCCCGGGCGGAGGCGGCCTGTGCTCACCCCGTCTCCCACGCAGGATCTACGGGCAGGCGTGCGCCACGTACGAGAGCGCCTCCCTGCGCATGTTCCACCTGGGCCGCACGGACACCATCCGCTCAGCGTCCACGGATTCGCTGGCCTTTGTCAAAGCCATGGATGACTCCGGCGTGCCGGTGAGAGGCTCAGGGTGAGGGTGGGTGAGCTGGGCTTGGCCATCTCCCTTCCTGTCACTCTGTCAGGCAGAGCCATGGATTTAGCTCTGAGCTTCCTGGCAGCCTAAGAGAAAAGGGAACTTTTCGTTCACTCACTCATCAGCAGTGAGCATCTGCCCTGGAATGGTGGTAGCTCCACTTCCTCTTCACAGAGTGCAGTGCTGGTGGGAGGGGGCCGAGGTGGGCGGCAGGAGCAGGGAAGAGACAGGCCTCAGCTCCCTCTCCCCTCGCCCCGCAGGAGCCCCAGAAGGTGGAGCTGCTGCGGAAGGCCGTGAACGCCCACCGCGCCTACACGGACCGGGTGAGGGAGCCGTGTCCCTGTTTGCTAGACCTCTGGCATCTCCCATGTCTGTCCGTCTGTCCGTCTGTTCCTGCAGCAAAGAGCTGCTCACCCTTAGCTCAACGACCCCTCCCCTGCACCCTGTACATCCCCATTTTAAAGTTGGAGAAACTGAGGCTGGGCAGTGACTGCCCTGGCCCCCGGTTCCAGGTGAGCTTCTGGGTCTTGTGTCATAGAGCCAGGACGCTGAGGCTACACACAGCGGGCCATGTGACAGCTCAGGCTGCAGCTGGCAGCGGGAGGCCTGGATTCCCAGCCTGACCCTGCCTCTGAGCACCTGTGTGCCAGGCTCTGCCCATGTTACACACAGATGTCCATTTAGGTCTCAGCCACCCTACAAGGGAGGTCAGTGACCGTCCCCGTTTTACAGACGAAGACACTGAGGTTCCAAACGTATATGTGCCAAGGTCCCCCAGGCAGGATGGGCTGAGCCACCAGCTCCAGGCCTGTGCTCCTAAATCCTACACTGTCCTGCCTCCCTGGGCCTCAGTTTCCCCATCTCTGAAGTGAGGGCTTTCCTGCCTGGCTGCTTGGGTCTCATGGTCTGAGGGGCCAGTGGAGGGAAGAGGCGTTGCTGCCACAGGCTCTGCGGAGGGCAGCAGCCCCCTAAGTTCCGCAGCCCCCCCTCCTGACCGCACCTCCTCTGCAGGCCATCCGGGGGGAGGCCTTCGACCGGCACCTGCTGGGCCTGAAGCTGCAGGCCATCGAGGACCTGGTGAGCATGCCCGACATCTTCATGGACACCTCCTACGCCATCGCCATGCACTTCAACCTCTCCACCAGCCAGGTGGGCGCTGCCCCTGCCCTGGGTGCCGGGGTGGGGGGAACAGGACCTCCGGAGCTGGAGCAGAAAGCTGCGCTGACTAGAGCCGAGCTCTAGGACATGGTCAGACCTCGGTGGAGGCGTGGCCCCGGTCACCGGAGGCCACTGGGAAGAGCTGAGTTCTGGCAGAGGGTCTGGGTCCGGGGCTTCACTACAGCTCAGGCTGAGGAGGTGGGGACCCCCCAGGGGAGAATCACTCATTCATTCACTGGTCAGACACGAGGGAACACGTGATCCATGCCAGCCTGTGCTGGGCACTGAGGCCCAGAGTGACCGCCCCAGCCCTGCCCCGGGCTCTCCGTGTAGGCTGGCAGCACAGGAAGTGCTGGGGTCAGGAAGTCCCCAGGAATGGAGAGGAGGCTCCACGGAGGATGAACCATAACTGCATGCGGAGGGCAGAGGGAGGAATCGCCTGTCTGATGGAGAAGAGGGTTCCCGGGGAGCACACAGGAGCAGAGCCGCGGGGAAGCAGCTGGTGCCTGAGGAGCTGGAAGGGGCCTGGGGGGGTAGGGCGAGTGCCTGAGTCCTGTGCCCCCCTCCCAGGTCCCCTCCAAGACAGACTGCGTCATGTTCTTCGGGCCGGTGGTACCCGACGGCTACGGCGTCTGCTACAACCCCATGGAGTCGCACATCAACTTCTCGGTGTCGGCCTACAACAGCTGCGCCGAGACCAACGCCGCCCGCATGGCGCACTACCTGGAGAAGGCGCTCCTGGACATGCGCGAGCTGCTGCAGAGCCACCCCCGGGCCAAGCTCTGACCGCGCTCCGGCCGCCCGCCCGCCACAGCCAAGCGCTTCAGATGGGCCTCCACCAGCTCCCCTTGTCCCTCCCCCGGGCCTCCGATCTGACCAAGCCAGGGCCGGCCCCCCAGGGCCTGCAGGCCACGCCAACTGCCTTCCCGGGTCCCCCAGCGCCATGGACTGTGCTCGGAGGCTGAGCAGCCGGAGGCCTGGGCGCCCCACGCATCGCCCAGAGCAGCTTCCCCTGGGAAAGGGAGTCGCCTCCATCCCCACCAGCCACCAGCGGACTGGGAAGTCCTCTGAGTTCAGCTCTGGCCAGTCCTGCCCTCGGGGCTGATCCATACTCCAATCCGAAAACGCCCAACGGCCTCAAGACAGGACTCTCTGGGGGGACTCCAGGCCTTCCCACGGCCGAGGCCAGGGTGCGAGTCTCCCGGAGGACTGCCCTGCTCTTGTGAGAACATGGCTCAAGAGCCCCAGCGCCCTCGCGCCCTCGCGCCCACACTGATTCCTGAACCTCGTACCTGGCGGTATGAGTACCGTGCCAGGTAACCAATAAAGGGAAGTATCTTGGTGAAGAGGCATTCCAGCTGCGAGGCAGGCCGGTGGGGGGCACCTGGCCTGCTCCCGGCTCGCCCTGCCTGGGAGCTTGTGGCCAAGCAGCCAGTGGCCCCAAGGGCTCCGAGGAGCCGAGAGGAGGTGTCCTCAGACACCAGATCCCGGACCCCGTTCTCAGACAACTCGCCCTACCTGGTACCACGGGCTACACAGATGGGCAGTTCTCCCAGGGGCAGTAGGACCCTGTGGGCCCGGGTCTGGTGGGCCAGGTGTGGCTGCCACCCGAGCTAAGGCCTCACCCTGCAGCCCCCACGGAACCCTACAGGAGTGACGCCCCAGATCACATGACCACCTGATCAGAACCTACCCCGCCTGTCTGCACCCCCAGGCACCTGGCAGAAGCTGGGTGTTGTGCCAACGTCAGTCCCCACTCCAGGGGACACCCTGGCCTTGAGGCACGTGTCAGCCAGAGCAGATGCCTGGGTGCGGGTGGGAGAGTTCACCGAGCCCGAGGGTGCTGGCCTGGCTGACCGGCGACAGTCACGTGAGCTGGATCCTGCGGTGGTCTCCTTTTCTCAAATGAGGAAACAGGCTCAGAGAGGTTAGTCACCAGGCAACTAAACACAGAGTCCCAGACGCCGTCCTTCAGGTCGGTATGGGAGCCCCGGTAGCCAAGCGCCCAGGCCCATGTCACACCCGCCCAGGTGACCAGGCAGGGCAAAGGGGAGGCCATGGTGGGCATGGAGGCCTGGAAGGCACAGAGGTGTTGGCTGGACTGGGGCACTGACCTTTTGGGCCTGCTGGGTCCTACAGAGTCCCCCACAGCCACGAGGCGGGACTCCAAGGAGGCGAGAGGGTGTGCCACTGCCCGAAGTCCCGGCAGCGAGAGGCGGGACCCACACAACGGGGGAGGGGAGGTGTGGCCCTGGGGGGTGTCTGTGGTCCATGGCACAGACACCAGGAACTCCCAAACTCGAGTTCTAAGACCCACACGGGGCTGAAGAGAAGGCAGGTTTCCCCAAACTCTCCTCCGGAAGTGAGGGCATGCCCTGGCACTGGTGTTACCGGCTCACTCAACTCTCAGAGCCGGAAGTCCCCGGGGAAAGCCAGTTGGCACCTGAACAAACCGTCAGTGCGAGAGGGACGCCTAGAAGGTCCTGGTGGCATGGGGGGGGGAACGAAGACATTGAGTTATTCCTCCCGAGGATGTGACTGTGACTCCTCTGGGGAGTGCTGGGTGTGTGCCAGGCAGGCGCTGAAAGGGCTCCGGACGCAGGGAGGGATATTGGGGAGATGGCACATCTGGGGGGCTCTTACTCGTTTCAACGTTACGCCAGGGGGCACTTGGGGCATGGGGTAAAACTCCCAGTGACCGCATCGCGCGTGAACCCCAGAACGCGCTGCTGGGTCTCGCCATCCGCTTGGGTCCACGGGACCGCTGACCTGTCAGAGCCGCGATGAGCTCAGCCAGCGGAGCCGGAGAATTCGGTCAGCGGCCCAGAGGGGCCAGGACAAGACCTGATGCCCATGACACAGGTGAAGAACTTGGTTTTTTGTGTGTGAAAAAGAGCTGTTCTAAAGAATATATTTTGGGCAATATATTACTTGAAATGTGCCTATGTGATAAGTGAATTAAAGATCACTGGCTCTTACCTAGATCCCCTACGTCTGTCTGTCCAGGGTGGCCTGGGCTTGACTTTGGCTGTTCGTGGGGAGAGTCCAGAGGCCGGAAGTGAGGGCAGGCCTGCAAGGGGGCGAGGGCTGGACAGCGAGAGCCACACAGGCCACGTTAGAGACGAGTGCTTTATCCGAGAGCGGGCATTTGGGAAGATGCCAGGGCCTGACCGTGGGGAGCTGTGCAGCCTCCAGGCAGACTGGGCTGGCGTGTGAGACTTGGTGACCAACCGGAAAAGGAGTTGGAGGGTGGATGTGGGTGCCCGCTGAGGTGAAAGCAGGGAGCGGCTGGGGCTTCCTCCCTCAGTTTACTTTCCCTTCAGCTGAAACCTACCTGTTGAGCTCAGCCTGTGTTTCAGCGACTGGACTTTTCCATTTTGATTCACTTAAGTCTTCCAGGTTCACCTTAGGTTCTTGTTCCTAAGACATTTTCAAGTCTGTCTTTTTTTTCTTTAAAAACATAACCTTTACAGCTTGTGGCTGACCATTCCAGCACGAGGTATTGGCAGGTGTTTCCCGGACCCGTTTCCTGGTTCTCCCTCACGGCACCATGTCCTCTGGGCTAGCTTTAACTACATAGTATTCACTGTAGCTTAAAAGCTGTCCATACGAGTGAATGGAGTCTAGGATGGAGGTTCCTTCCTCCAGAGATCAGCTTGCTCCTGCCTCCTATCGGGTAAGGTCTCGTTTACTGAACGTCAAGGCTCTGTGGACCACAGGGGCCCTGCCCCACAGCCTTGCAGCTCGTGTGGGGACGGAATTCTTTCTGACCCCCTCACTCCAGGGGGCAGCCATTCTGCATCTCAGCTGTGAATCGAGGACGGGTTAGATTCCGGTCCTGGCCAGCCCTTGGATCGACTTACACTCACTCACTCCCAGTCTCCAAAAACCCCACTGTTTGCAGCCATTCCTTCCAGAAGACTGATTACATGAGTGGAGGTGTCACCTGGAGAGGCACACACCTGGCTGTCCTGTCCCCAGGCCTGCCATGGAGGAACGTGGCTGAGACAGGTCCAGAGCAGCCAGGACCACGCAGGGAGGCGGGGGACCGAAAAGGGGGCACTTCCAGCTTCCGGTGGCAGAGAAGCCTCCTCAGGGGGCAAGGTCACCGCACCATTCACAGTGCGGCCCTGGGGGCTGGGAGGGACTGGAGAGCTGAGATGCTTATGATCTTATGTTTTTATGGTCTCTGCTCCTCAGGGTCCTGGTCTCCAGCCTTCTCCCTGAGCTCAAGTCAACAGGTGCTCAAGCTGCCAGAGTTCAAGATTTTATTTTAAAACAATAGTAAACAATTTCATTGATTTTTCTTAAACCACCTCACACTTGGCTTGACTCAGGCAAAATGTAAAAAATAAGGAGGGGAGGGGGGAGAGGAGGAGAGGCAAATGTGGGGACTGACCAACCTTCCCCAGAACCAGGCCGCCGGCCTGGCGTCTGGAACGGCTTTGGACACTGTCTTAAACAACCGGGAAAAAGAAAGCACCCGAACATTGTGCTTCAGCAGCAGGTTACGAACCTCCACGGAGAGAGAGAGGGGGCGGGGTTCGACACAGGTCCCGAGCAGCCTGGTTCAGTTCTAGAACCTTCCAAGAGTCTGGAAGCATGTCCACTCCCACATCTCCACATCACAGAGACGGAGAGATCAAGTCCCGTTAGGAGGAGCCGTCCTCTGAGCTGGACAGCGGGGCTCTGTGCCACACCCCAAAACAGGCTCAGGGTGCCCGCGGGCAGGTTCCCGGCCGCTCGGAGTGGGTCGGGAAGGGTAAGGAATGTTCAGAGCGAAGAGAGAAGGGAAGGGCGCGGGTGCCAGGCGCCCACCGGCCCCTCCCCTCACCGGCTCCGGTTCCTCTGCGTTTCGTTCTCGTGGAGATGAAGGCTAACCGCTCCCGCTGGCAGGACCAAAAAGAGCTGTAAACAGCTTGGGCTGCTCACCCACATGTGCAGGCTCTTTTGCCAGCAGGGACCGCTGACCGGGGGACAGGGGACCGGAGAAAGCCCTTGTGGTGGAGGGTCAGTGCGGGGAGGACACATGATAGCAGCCGCCGCCGAGCGCTCTCTCTGGGCCCTGGCCCCCAGACTAGGAAACACTGAATGAGGTTCTGGAATGGCAATGGTGGCAGGGAGGGCACAGGGGCGCCCTCTAGTGGGCCCCAGGCCACCTTTCAGGGAAAAGCCCTCTGTACGCGGGGCAGCCAGCCAGCGCAGAGCAGGCTCTTCCGGCCCCTCTCCAGAATCCTGCCTGCCGTTAACAAAACCAAAAAATAAATAGTGTGTGTTTCTCACGCCCCTGGGTTCCTGCCTGCGAGCGAAGGTGTGGGGCCGCCTCTAGCCCAGCCCAGCCCAGCGCCCCCCACCAGCCGGGGCTGTCGGCAGCACAGGTGCGTCTCCGGCCGAGCGGCCCCGCCAGCAGGGGCTCCAGGACCCTGGCCGAGGGCTGGCCCGGCCCCTCGGGCCACCTTGTTCATGGAAATTAAAGTAAGAAAACAAAAGGCTCCGCTGGCGACGGGTCTGCTGAGGTCTCCGCTCCAGCCCTCGGCACTGGCCATCCGCACGGCATGGTGCGGCCGGATCTGGAGGCTGGGCCAGCCACTCCCCGGTCACTGCAGCTTCGTGCCCAGCTTGCGCTGTCTGTTCCTGCAAAACGGGTGGGAGTCTGGAGTGAGGATGCCTGGGGCTGCGAGGAGGGGACACCTGGCATTCGGTGCCCCCCCTCCCCCCCCCGCTGTCCCCTCCCTACCCATAGTCCCATCAAAACGGGTGAATGCCCACCCAGTAGCCCAGTACCTGGCTCACCAAACTGCCTCCTGCTGGCAGCTCCGCACATGCTATTCCCCCTTCTGAGGACACCCTCTGCCACCCCGACTTCCTCCCTCCACACGCGGCTGTCTCCCCGAGCAGCACCCAACCGCCGGCCCCGCCGGGTGTCCTGAGCGCTCAGGCCCAGGGCGCCATCGCGCAGGGAGGAGCCTTGTTCTTCGCGGCTCCCGACTGCCGTGGCCGTGTCTCTGCCTCCCGGCACACCGCCTGGCACAGAGCAGGCCAATGCAGAAACTTCGGGAAATGAAGGCAGGTGTGGCCATTGAGCCAGGTGGCGGGGGAGGGCCAGGCAGGGCAGGGCCTGGGCCAGGACCATTCTGCGAGTCAGGTGGAGCCGGGGCCAGCTGGGGGCTTTCCAGTAATGGGATTGCCTGCCCTCACACTCAAAGCCCTTCCTCCCGGACCAGGGCTTTCCCCTTAGGCTCATAACTGGGACCAGGATGTACCAGACACGTTTCCAGACGCCCTGCCCTGCCCTGCCCCACCCCATGACCCCGCTCACCACCTCCTGGGGAAACCTCAGAAACCCGGAGCCTGGCCTCACCTCAGCTCCCCTCTGAACCCCGGCTGGCACCGACCCATGGGAGCGAGAGCTCAATCAGTAGCTTCAAAGCCCAGCTCTGCACCAACTTGCTGGGCAGCAGCACCTGCTTACCCAATTATGGGCACGTGTCCGGACTGAGCACCCTGAGGGTCTCTGGTCTGGGCCGCTGGGGTTACAGCGTGGCTCTGGGTCAGACGGCCCGGGTTCCCAGCCCGGCTTCCCCACCCACAGCCTCTAAGTCACCCAGCGACTCCCCTCCTCTCAGCCTGTTCTCTCAGCTGTAAAACGCGGCCCAGAGGAGCACTGAACGAGGGCGTGCAAAACAGCGCTTCGCTAAGTGCCTGGATCGCGGGGAGCCCCTAAGAGCTTGAACGGTGGCGGCCCCACTGAGAGCTGAACCCTCACTCACCTGGCTTCTGCCCGGGTGACTGTGTACTCAAACCAGAGGACGTTGGGAATGAGGCTCGTGTCTCGAATTAGAAAGAACTCGGAGATCGGCCTGCAGAGACAGACACCCAGAACCCGGACCTGTCAGGGCACAGGCTTGTCAGCAAGCCAGAGTCCCCATCAGTCCTGGAGTCAGCCACGCGCCTTCCCCCACTGCTCAGAGGCCTTGCCCGGACTGGCCTCCCCCCCCCACACCCCCCACCCCGGCCACTGGGAGAACTGCAAGCCCGCCTGTGACATGAGGCAGGGCTGCCCACAGCGCACCCAGTGGCGGGCCTCAGGCCGCTTTCTGAGCCCCTGAGCGCCCAGGCGGGGACAGAGAAGCCACCGTAGCTTCCGGCGTGAGGAGAGCCCTGGGCAACAGAGAAGCCAGGCAAGCAGCCTGCAGCCTCAGGCCCACCGGAGGCTGGACACCGGGGCTCCCCCAGGGAGACGGAGGCTGGGGAGGAAATCCCAGGCCCTCCCACCGACGGCCCTGCCACCAGAGGGGCGGGACCCCGGGGCGGGGCAGGTAAGCCGTTACCAGGACGCTATCCTGGGGAACAGAGGAGTGAGGACCTCCTGGGTGATGATGAACCAAGCGATGGCCATGAGGCTTCCGGCGACGCCCCCGTACAGCACCTGGCTCCAGGTGTGATAGCGCAGGTAGACCCTGGGCCCAGGACAAGGGGAAGGTCAGAGAGCCGGCCGGACACAGGCCTGCACAGTCCCCACGCCCCGTACCAGCTCCTGGGACCTGCGTGCACACAGGCAGGGACTCCAAAAGAAGGCGGGGGGGGGGGGGGGGGGGATACAGACCGGAGGGGAGGGGAGGGAAGGGGAGGGAAGGGCGGATCTCCTCCCCTCCCTCCTCCTTAGCCCTGGACTCAGGGTGCCTGCCAGGGGCTCCTCCAGGACGCTAACGGAAGGCTGATGTGTGGAGGGGTCCCCGGAACCCTGGACTTGGTGGGGAGGGGCAGTGGAGCCGACCCCACAAAATCAGAAGCTGGGACCCTCTCCCCGTCCTCCCCTACAGGCTCCGAGACTCAGGTCTGCAGTGAGGTCCAATCAGGACCAAACACCCAGCGGGCCCCAGCGGGCAGGGTGGGTGGTCCTCCCTCCCCGTACCTGCTGTAGGAGACTAGGAAGGCCGCGGTGAGGAGAGCCAGGGAGAGCACGTGCCTCCACAGCAAGTCCAGGAACCTGGCGTTGTTCGTTTGGTGCATTCTGGGAAGACAGGCCTGTCAGCTGGCCTCAGCCCACAGCCTGGAGCCCAGCCCCCCAACAGCCCCTGGCCCCACCCACAGGCTCCCTGGGCGCCCTCTGCCCTGGCTGCAGCGCCCAGCCTGGAGGAGGCCGAGCCCCGAGTGGCATCGGAAGGATTCACATCGGAAGGAGTCCCCGGCAAAGGCTGGCCACTCCCGCCCGGAGGACGCTCACCTTAAATACAGGAAAAGGAAGGAGTAGACGGAGAAAAACCACATGAACTGGGAGTGGCTGGAGGGCATCCCGTACTTGGTGCCCACTGAGCCGTGGAGCCCTGCGGGGAGAGGACAGGGATGGCGGAGGCTGCAGGCTCCCCACAGCGCCCCCACCTGGCGGACCCCGGTTCCCGCAGCGGGGCCTCACCTCCACAGGGCCGCGGCTCCTGGACCACGTGCTTGATGAGCCAGTTGAGCCCCTCGTTCAGCGCCAGGCCCCCGAGGAATGAGATCTGTCGGGAAGATGTCGGTCAGCTGGTGCCTGCCGGCCACCGCCCAGCCCCAAACACCATGGCCCGACTGAGCCTCCAGCCCAGCCAGTGGGTAACCTGGAACCAGCCAGGAGCGCCACACCTCAGGGAGGGCGGAGGCGTGGAAGGGACGGCGAAGCACGGCGATGAGCGGGTGCAACCCCCCTCCGTGGGGTGGGGGCCGTGGGGAGCAGTGGAGGGCCTGGGGGCTCGGGGGGACAGACTTACTCACCGTGTGCAGCTCCCGCTTGAATATGATGAGGGTCACGAAGCCGACGATGACAAATACAGGGCTGAGGCTCAGGTAGGCGAGGAGGTGGCCAGAGAGGTCACCTGGGCGCGCGGGGAAAAGGGGGTGAGGACGGAGCATGAGCATCAGTGAGGGGCCAGCCCGTGCATGGTCATTAGCACGTGAGCCAGGAAGGCGGTGCCCGTGAGACGGGAGTCAGGGCCAGCAGCTGAGGACACCTTAGTCAGCAGAGTGGGAGCTGGACTAGCATCCAGGTCTGGGGCCTAGTCCGAATACTACACCCACCCCGGCCGAGACAGGCATTCGGACCCGGCTCCGTCTGACCCAGAGCCGGACTCTGTCCGGGGGCAGCCCCGCAGGCACACGGTGCCTCTGGACGCAGCGCTGCGCCGGGGCTGCCCCGGCCGAGCCCGGCTCAGGGGACCTGGAATTCTCCGGCCACACAGGCGCGGGTCTGCGCTGCAGGCTCCCACAAGGACCAAGGCCAAGGGTAGGGAGAAGGCCGTGTTGCCCGGTATGGACGCCAGCTGCAGTGACAGCCTCTCACTGCCCCTATTGGCAAGAAATTGGCTACCTGCCCTTTACCATCCTGACCGGCCGGTGGAGGCAGGGTGAGGACTGCCAGCCCCTTTTGAGAGCCGAGGGCACCACCGCCAAGCGATGAGAGCCACTTTCCCCCTTGCTCAAGGACAGGGCCGATGTCTAGTTCTAAGACCACCCTCTCCATTCAAGACAGGACAGCTAGCCCTCACCGGTGTGGCTCAGCGGATAAAGTAACAGCCTGCCGACTGAAGGGTCCCAGGTTCGATTCCAGTCAAGGGACATAGCCAGGTGGCGGGCTCGATCCCTGGTAGGGCGTGCAGGAGGCCGCCGATCAATAATTCTCTCATCACTGACATTTCTCCCCCCCCCCCCACCCCGCTCCCTTCCTTTCTGAAATTTAAAAAAAATAAAAATAAAAGATAAGATAGCTACGTGGCACTCTAGGGTCAGAGGGCATGGTTCAGTTCCCGTGCCAGCACTTGCTGCACGACCTCAGGCAAAAACCCCACCTCCCTGAGCTCAGCTCATCTGTGCAAAGGGGTAACCAGTACCCACCCCCTGGGACTATAGGCGGCACCAAAGGACTCGCAGTGAGGACCTGGCAAAAGCTGGCCTGGGCCAGTCCAGGGCCACTCCAACCGGAAAGCAGCTCACCTGGGAGCTGGAATGAGACGGGGCCTGTGTGGCACCCAGCTCGGCCCCTGGCACCCAGGACACTTCCACGCTCAGGGCTCTGCTCGCCCAGCAGTTGGGAGAACCCAGCGTGGGAAATGGCCCACACCACCAGCCTGGCCTCACACAAGCAGCATGGAAGGTGCCCACACAGGGCAGAGCCCAGACTCAGGCTGAAGAAATGGCATACACCCGGCCTCACCCACACCTACCCGAGGCGGGGCTGCCACGGGCCAGCTGGGTGACGCGGCGGGGTGAGCCTTCCCCTTCCTGGACCCGTCACTTCAGCCACAAGCAGCCTGGCCGATGCCAGCCCTGACATTCTGGGTCTCTCAGCCGCCCAGCCCAGAGCACCTGCCGTGAGGACAGGGAGGAGCTGATGTCCCCAGACCTCTGGCCAGCTCCATGACCTGTCCCGCACCAGCACCAACCTTCCTGCAGATGCGTGGCTCTGGATGCAGATGCCTCCACTCTGCTCCAAGCCCCTCCATGGCTCCCTCTGCCTTCGGGACAAGTCCCACTTCAGCCCAGCTCACTGGGCCGCCCTAGCCCTGCTCCGCTCCAGTTCCCTGAGCACACCGCGCACTGTCCTACTTCGCGGTTTCCCACCTGGGACGCTGCTGGGTTAACGCACACGCACTGAGCTCCCACCACAGGGGCAGGATCCGTCCCGCCCCAGCGGAGCCTCCGGCTGGCGGGGAGCAGGAATAGGTAACCGTGCGCCATGCCCGGCGTGCCTGTCGGTGTAGCTATCAGGCTGTCCGTCTCTCCCGCGGCCGGTCCCATAAGGGCAGGGACAGGGTCTCTTTACACAACACACAACCCCCGAGCCCCGAACAGCACCTGGCACTAACCGAGGCTCAAAAGTAACGGCGAGTGAATGGGGACTGGATACAGGAAGCAAGGATCAGAGTGATGAGGGGTACAGAGAAGGATAGGGGGCCACAGGAGAGTTAGCGGGGGGCTAGACATTGTGGGGTTCCCCCCGGCTCAGCCAGTTCCCTCCTCGGGCACCCACAGTCCTGCACTGGGTCCCCATCACGGCCTGCACCATGCTGCTCCCAGCGGCCCGGCCCGCTTCCTGGTCCTGGCTCGTAGAAATGTGAGCACTCAGAGAAGCCATGACGGTGCCGCGGCCTTAGCCAGGTCCCTGCCCCTCCCCGGGCCACAGTCTCCCTCCTGGAAAATGGTTTTTTTCTCAGCCCAGGATGCAGGGTCTTATCCGCCTGGTCACCATCCTAAACCCAGAGCTGGACCAGGGCCTGGCACTCAGGAGGCGCTCGATGGGTGCTGGCTGAGTGAATGGATGGGTGGCAGGGCAGGCAGGCTGTAGGGCCCAGCACCTGGCAGGGCCACCCTAGCCCCAGTCTAGGCCAGAACACCCAGGGTCAAAGTTCTCTGGCGGCCAGCCCAAGGGCCCTCATCAGGGCCGTTCTCACATCTCCGCCCAAAAGAGCAACATTTGAGCAGGTCCTTCCTGGGACAGCCAGGGCTCCCGGAGGGGGTGGGATGGGCTGAGAGGGTCCGGGAAGGTGGGCTGATGTGAACTGCGGTTACTGACTGATACTTCCTGTGGCCAGCACCCTCCTCAGCATTCCTCGCGCCCCCTGTTATTTGGTTCTCACGCCACCAGAGGGGCGGCCCGGTGATGATCCCACTTCAGAGAGGAAGTAAGTGGGTTCGCAGACAGGTGAAGTCGCTTGCACAAGGCCTGGCTCTGACCCCAAGGCCCACGCTCTGGCACCCGCTCCCAGCCGCCTCCAGAACTGGAGCTCCAGCACCTCCCGGCCGGGAAACCCTGTGCTTCTGGAGCAGTCTGATGGGAAAGCTCCAGAAGCCAGGATCCGGGGGCTCCCCGCTCAGGGCGTGGCACCCCACAAGCACTCTAACTACGAACAGCTGCCCGGCCTCGGCTGCACGCTGCCAGCGGCCCAGATGCGCCGTCTGAAGGCAGCGGGCACTCCCTGCACGCCGGGGAGGGGGCCCGGCCTCGGGCTCCGGGAAGGCGGGGACGAAGGGCCCAGGTCCAGGCCAGGGATCCTTTGCTCCTCACACAGACCCCACCCCACCCCACCCCACTGCAGCCCACCCGCGCCCCGGAACCCGAGGGAGCACCCCCGCCGCGCAGCCGCAGAGCGCAGAGCGAGCCTCAATTTCGCCCAGCTCATCGCCGCCCCACCGCGCGTGCGCGGCGCGCGCCGGCCGAGCCCCTCCGCGGCTCCCTGTTTGACAGTTCCCTCCCCGACATCCCGGCGGCCCCTCCGCGGGCTCCGCGGGCGCAGCGCCCGGCGCCGGGGGGCCGGCTCCGGGAGGGTGTCCTTAGAGCCGGGGCCGCCCTTTACCTGCAGGATATTCGACGTGGGTGAGGGTGACCGGCCGCCATGAAGCAGGGAGCGAGCACTGTCCGTCCGCTGCCATCTTACCCGGAGACCGGGCTTCGCCGAGCAGCCAATGGGGTGCCAGGGGGGCGGTGGTCCTGACCTATCACGCCAGGGAGGCGCCTCCCGTCCAATCGGAAGCCGGTACAGGTAGCGGCGCAGCCATTCAGCGTGCGGGCCGTGGGGCTGGTCCCAGCGGCGAATCAGAGAGCAGGGCCCCTCGGAGCTTGTGAGCCGACCCAGGCAGCTTCCAATCCGGGGCGAGCACAGGTAGGCTTCTGGCCAATCAGGGAAGAGGAGGGTTCCAGCACAAAACAGAGAGCAGACGAGCCAATCAGGAGGTGAAGCCGGCTCCCCAGTGTGGGCAGGACGGACCAATCGGGCCTTCGTTTGGGAGGCGCGTTGAACTTTGGTGGGAGCTTTGGTTTGGCCGGGCCTTGCGCCAGTGCAGGCTTCCCAGGTAACCCGAGCCCGCCCGGAGCCGCAGGGACGTGGGCGTCCGTCGGAGCACGTGCAGGAAGCGGGGGGCACTACGTCACGATAGGGTCTGGGTCCCCCGCCTTCTAGTTATGAGTAAACTGAAACCCAAGACCCCCGAGGGCACTCACTCTTTCCTTTTTCTTTTTTTTATATTTTATTGAGTTTTTACAGAGAGGAAGGGAGAGGGATAGAGAGAGAGAAACATCAATCAGCTGCCTCCTGCACAATCCCAACGGGGGATGTGCCCGCAACCAAGGTCCTTGGCCAGAATCGAACCTGGGACCCTTGAGTCCGCAGGATGACATTCTATCCACTGAGCCAAACCGGTCAGGACACTTACTCTTCTCTTAAGCCATACTAGGAGTGGAAGCTTCATTGAAGTTAAGAAAAGCTCCTCCCTTCTTTCATTCAGTTAACAAAGATTTATTGATTCAGTCACATTTATGCTGTAATCTTGAGAGCATTTAAACCAGAAGCCGGTTTTCCCAAAACATTCCTTTCAGTGGCCGCCAACAAGGCCCTGCGCGAACAGCCACAGCTTCGCACCCACCTTTCCCTCTCCTCCCGTCCTCCCCCTCCCCCCTAGCCTCACCCGCTCCTGTCTCCTAGCCTTTGCACATGCTGTTGCACTGCCTGGAAAGCATCGCCCCCTTCCCCCCCTTCGCCTTGCCAAGTCTCGCTCAAGTGTCAGTTCTCACTTGGAGGTTTCTGTGGCCAGGTGGGGGGCCTCCACTGCGCCCCTCTACCACCTGGGCACTCACCACACCGGACTGGAATTAGTTCCTTGTCTGTCTCTCCCAGTAAGCAATGGTTCTCTGACTTCATGGGCACCAAGGCCGGTTTATAGAAAATGCAGATTCCTGGGTCCCACTAGGGCAGTGGTTCTCAACCTTTCTAATGCCACGGCCCTTTAATCCAGTTCCTCATGTTGTGGTGACCCCCAACCATAAATTACTTTTGTTGCTACTTCACAACTGTAATTTTGCTACTGTTATTAATCTTAATGTAAACTTAATCTGTGTTTTCCGATGGTCTTAGGCGACCCTGTTAGCAGTTCTCAACGCTGCTGTAGAGCCTAAGACCATGGGTTACAGTCTGCATTCTTTTTTTTTTCCTAATATATTTTATTGATATTTTACAGAGAGGAAGAGAGAGGGATAGAGAGTTAGAAACATCAATGAGAAAGAATCATCAATCAGCTGCCTCTTGCACACCTCCTACTGGGGATGTGCCCGCAACCAAGATACATGCCCTTAACTGGAATCGAACCTGGGACCTTCCGGTCCGCATGCTGACGCTCTATCCACTGAGCCAAACCGGTTTCGGCACAGTCTGCATTCTTACGTGCTTTGGGTTCTAATACAAGTGATGTCAGCCATGCCTGGAGAAGCCCAGGGCAGACCTAGAACAGCAGCCTGATAAGTGACATCAATGCCTGTGAGAAGTGAAAATCCGGAATGGCGAGCTCTGCAAGACTGCAGGACAGACAGGTGAAGCCAGGACTGTGGCTCAGCGGAGCGGGCTGGGGGATGATGCTGACTCGAGTCCACCAGCAAGCCAGGAGGGCTCCCTTGGCCCCCCTTAACTGTGCTCAGCTCCCCACCAGGCCCAGCTGGGCTTGTCTGGGTCCACTGGCCCCATTTCCCTGTCACCTACCCTCAGATACCTCGGTCACTGTCATTATTATAATAGCTTCCGAGAAGCAGGAGGTGTGAGGAGAATGGCTGAGAGTTTCCTAGAATAGTCCCCTGAGACAGGGCAGCCCTCTCAGGTCTAGTGAGGTGCTGGGGGAGAGGGGAGTTCAGCAGGGGCTTGGCCCCAAAAACGTTGAAAACCACTATTAGTGGTGAGGATAGATGAGAGATGTGAAGAATGGGAGTGACGTTTGGTTTGGTTGTGCTTTTTTTTAAAAAATGTTTTTATTGATTTCAGAGAGGAAGGGAGAGGGAGAGAGAGAAACATCAATAATGAGAGAGAATCATTGACAGGCTGCCTCCTGCACACCTCATATTGGGGATCGAGCCCACAATCTGGGCATGTGCCCTGATCAGGAATCGAACCATGACCTCCTGGTTCATAAGTTGACGCTCAGCCACTGAGCCACGAGGGCTGGGCTGATTGTGTGTGTGTGGTTTTTTTTTTTTTAATAAAAAACTAAACATTCATACATGAAATTCCTGAAATTGAATGTGATGAAATTTCACAAACAAAACACACCTTGCCGAAACTGGTTTGGCTCAATGGATAGAGCGTCGGCCTGCGGACTGAAGGGTCCCGGGTTCGATTCCGGTCAAGGGCATGTACCTTGGTTGCGGGCACATCCCCAGTAGGGGTTGTGCAGGAGGCAGCTGATCGATGATTCTCTCTCATTAATGTTTCTAACTCTCTATCCCTCTCTCTTCCTCTCTGTAAAAAATCAATAATATATATTTTAAAAACATCTTTATAAGCAGCCCTAGATAAAAAATCAGGGCCCTAGTCCTAATCGGTTTAGCTTAGTAGAGCATCAGCCTGCGGACTTTAGGGTCCCAGGTTTGATTCTGGTCAAGGGGGTGTGCAGGAGGCAGCTGACCGATGTTTCTAACTCTCTCTCTCCCTTCCTCTCTGTAAAAAATCAATATATTTTTAAAAAGGAATCAGGGGTCTAGAGGCCCCTGAACACCCATCTATTCATCCCAGGATGACCACCATCCCTACATCTAACACTATACATTTGATTGGTCTGAGTTTGAAACAGCATCCTACAGTATAGGGTGGGGCAAAAGTAGGTTTACACTTGTATTATTTATTGTACTAGAGGCCTGATGCACAGATTCGTGCATTGGTGGGGTCCCTGGGCTTGGCCTGTACCCTCTCACAATCCAGGACCCCTCAGGGGGTGTCCGAGAGCTGGTTTTAGCCCAATCCCCACAGGCCAGGCCAGGGGACTCCACATGAATCCATGCACCAGATCTCTAGTGTACATGCAAGATTTTTTATTAATCTTTTCCTGCCCTCCCCCCTGCCCTCTGAGATTCATCAGTCTGGTCCAAGTTTCTATGCCTGTGGTTTCCGCTCCAGCATTGAGTCTCTGCCCCCTGGTGGTCAGTGCATGTCATCGCTACCAGCCGGTCAGCCAGTTACGTAGGCTTTTATATAGATTATTTTCCAGACGAACTACTGTAAACCTACTTTTGCCCCACCCGTATGTACTGTGTGTGGTTGCTTTTACTAGCATTGTTTGTGAGATGTATCCATGCTGTTCACTCTCATTGCCATATCATATTCTACAGTGCAAACATACCATTTATTTTCCATTTGACTCTTTAAAAATGTTTTCTCTTTATGTGCCTGCAACCAAGGTACATGCCCTTGACCGGAATCAAACCCAGGACCCTTCAGTCTGCAGGCCGACACTCTATCCACTGAGCCAAACCGGTTTCGGCCCTAAGTATCCTCTTACTCGCCTGAGATCTAGGCTTTTCCAGATGCCCAGTTATCCCAGGTATGGCTGGCCTTTCACTCCGGCCTCTCCCCTGGCAGGGAGTTCAGACAGGGCAGCCCTGAAATCAGAGGCGCTGGTTTATGCGCCAACTCTTTTGCTCTCTGGGCCTATTTCCCCAAAACGTAACAGCTGCTGCCCTCTGTAAAGGTTCATTCACTCACTCCAGTACTTCTGTGTTTGAATTCCCAGGCAATCAGAAGTGGGCCAGGGTCCCCAAATGGCTCCCCAACTCTGGTCTCTGGGACTCTGGCTTCTGGGGACATCACGTCATGTAGAGATGAAGTCCTCGGAGACTGATGGGGACGGGAAGGGGTGTGCGTGCATCAAACGGACCCAGGAACCAGCTCAGAGGGGCTCTCGCTGGCCAATGGGAGCATCAGAAGAATGCTTGTCACTGTACATATCAAATAAAAACCCATGAGTCCATAGTGGTATTCAAAAAACAGAAAAACTCTTGTTGAAAGCTAGTCAGCATCAGAAGTAAGTTACTGGCACATGCCATCAAATGGACAAATCTGAAACATCCTTAGAAACCAAGCACAAAGGTCACAGACTGCAGGATTCCGTTTACAGAAATGTCCAGGAAGGGCAAATCAAGAGAGAGAGCAGATTGGTGGTGGCGGGGGCCAGGGGACTTACGACAAAGGGACACGGGTCTTTCTGTGGCGGTGGGAATATTCTAAAAATACACAGTGGGAACAGCTGCACACACTGTGAATTTACTAAAAATCATTAAAGCAGATGAATTTTATGGCACACGTTATACCTCAATAAAGCTGTTTGATCCAACAAAACGACTTGCTAGCCTCAGAGGTGACCAATCGGCTGGCGTCTCTAACACCCGTACAGGAGAGCCAGGCACTGTCCTTTCTGGGGGAACGAGGCCATCCCCACCCAGCTGATTGGAAAACACACTTTTCAGATATTCGAGAATCAGATATTCGAGAATCGGCGATACCCTCCCCAGGTGTGGTTACGGTGCCTTGGCCATGCCCGGGAACTACCTCCTCACTTTAAGACCTGCTTGGCCAGGTGGTGAGGGATGAAGAACATGTCTGGAACTTACTCTAAAAATGTTTTTAAAGAAATGGTGAGATGTTATTACTGACTTGCGGTGTTGGTTTTATGGATAGTCTTTATTATGGTTTTCTTTTTAACTCTTTGGTACATCTGGAACTTTTCAAAGTGACTTTTTTTTTTTTTTTTTTTTAATACCCTTCCCATAAACCCTGCAATGCCCAACTGCCCATGGATACACCCGAACATCCAGCAGCTCAGATCCGCTCTGCTCCCACCTGTCCCCGCCCCTCAGCCTGGCTCTCACCAGCGCAGGCTCAGTGACTGAGCCCGACATACACTCCTGCCTCTTCCAACACCCGCCTCGTGCAGAAGTGAACAGAGGCTCAGACAGAAGCCTCACCTAGAAGCTGCCCGAGCTGACCCACACCCAGGCCGCCCACCCACCCCGTGCCCTCCAGCATTTCACTGCCCCCCCAGGCTGTCCTTGACCCTTGCCCTCCCAACACCTCCACTAACTGCACCCCAAGAGGGGTCCCCAGCTGCGGTCCAGGAAGCAGCTGGCCACACATGTACCCAGCAGCATGGCAGCGTGGAAGGAAATCCTTTAGATCATTTATTGGACTCGATGTCGGTGCGCAGAGCTCACCACACAGAAGTTAGAAGCTGCGACAGATGAGGTGCCGGGGGCAGAGCACGGATGTGTAAACAAAGAAAATGAAAATGCCACTTGTGTGTGATTTGGGAGTAAATCAGTGCGGGCGGGCCCAGGCCCGGGATTACATTCACAGCCGGGAAAGTGTCAGTGAGCGGAATGTTGGGATGCGAGAGGGCACCCTGGGTCCTGACCTCCCGGAGGCCGCAGGTGGGTTTGGGGCCAGAGCCCGGGTCAGTGCCCACCCCTCCGGCCCGGGGAAGCATGGGAAGGGGAAGGGGTGCAGAGGGATGGGGTTTCAGGAGGGAAGTGGGCTCACATCTCCCTTGCCCATCCCCTCTCTCTCCCCACCCAAATGGGCAAGATCACCCTTCCCTGAACCCCTCTGCCATTCAGGGAGGGGTCCGGCCTGAGGAGCCAATCCAGGGAGTGGAGAGCAGGGAGAGTGTTATTTCTCTCACAGGCCTCCCAAATAGGACGGGCAGAACCTCAAAATAAAGTGTTAAGGCAATAAATAAAACATCCCAGCTCCGGTGAGTCTGCGGGGCTGAGAGAACCTGTGACGGGGACAGATGGCGGGGACAGGGCTGCCTCCATCTGCAGGACCAGCGGGAGGCGGCCCTGCGCGGACTCAGACGTGTGCGTCCCATGCGGGGCCGGTCCCTGTCCTGGTGAGGGCTGGGGGCTGGGCCAGCGTCCGCCTCCTGACCTCCCCCGTGTGGTCCCTGGGCCCCGCTCCTGGGCCACCAGCCACGACAGCACAGGCGATGGGCCTGAACACTCCATCCAACCCCAGCACCACCAGAGTCCTGGGCTCAGGAGGGAGGAGGTGGGCCCAGGCCCCGCCCTGCCTGTCTTTGGGGAGGCCGAGCAGGAGATGACAGGCTTTGGCAGGGAAAACAATGTCCTGGGTGGTGCTTGGTCCTGACCAGAGCCCAGTCCCTGCCCAGATGGGAGCACAGGAGAGTCCCTCCTGCGTCCCCCTCCTGACGGCCACCTGGAGGCCCCGCCCTCACCGAGTTGCAAACGCTCTGGGTGGTGGTGGGGGTCGGGACTGGCCAGCAGGGGGCCTGGATTCCGAGAATCTCAGCCAGGTTCCTTCCAGCTCAGGACACGGAGGACCTTCCCCACAGAGCCCTTTCACCTTTCACCTTTCACCTCCTCCCTCCCAGCCCAGAGTGGTGGGAGCTTTTGGGGTCCCACACCCAGGGCACCCCAGCTCTGCCTGCCCCAATTCCCTTCACAACAACTTCCTCTCTCTCTCTTCCTACCGTCCTCTCCCTCAGGCCCCACTGGCCACTGGTCCAGCCGCCGCCTCCCCGGGGACAGCCGAGGGCAGCCAGGCCCCACGGGCTCCCTCCCTCTCAGGGAAGTTCTCGCCCCAGGCCTCGGGGACCCCCAGGTGACTGGGGGTGGGGCAAGGTCAGGGGCAACTGCCCTGGGCGCTCAGCCTGGGCTCTGTGCTGCTGATGGCACAGATGCCCGGCCCTTGGTTGTAGCCAAAGGAGGGAGGAGGCACCTCGGCTCTGCCATCACCACATGGACGAGGCCCAGCAGCCCTCCCAGCCAGCGGCTACAGCTCCGCCGGGGGGCCGCTGTCTCGGGGCAGCTCGCCGTTCAGGCCCACGCTGCCGGCCGCCGGCGCCCCCAGGTAGCCAAGCAGGATCTCGCTGCGGCGCCGGGACAGCTGCAGGATGTCGTCGGCCAGCGCCGGCACCGAGGTGTACCGCACCTTGTCCAGGTCGAACATGTCCCGCAGGTACTGCACGATCTGGTGCTGGGACAGGGCTGGCATGAGACCTGGGCCCCGGCCCCTGCCCACCTGATGGTCTCCAGACCCCCCAAGCCCTCCCCTGGCCTCTGGGACCCGGACCGAGTCTCGTGTCTCGGGTTCTGGCCCCAGACCCGCCGGGCCAGGCTCCCAGCGGGGGGCAGCACACGCTCTCCGGTGCCCACTGGCCTCCTGAGGACAGGCCGCCCCCTGCACTCCGGGCACCTCCAGCGCCCGCTCACCTTGAAGAAAGCGCAGACTTCGGCGAGCTGGGGCTTGGGTCCAAGGAAGCCAAAGGCCAAGACGGGGCTCACGTGCTCCGATACGGAGTAGAAATGGGAGATGAAGCCATCAGGCACCTGCGGGGAGCAAGGCTGAGCCTGGGACCCCGGGGTCCCCTTGAGGTCTGCTCTCAGAGGGAGGCCTGGCTCGGTCACATGCTGGCTGGGCGACCCTGGGCAGGAGACTCAGGAAGGCCGTGTTTCCACCTGACCTCGGGGCTGTGAGGGCTGCATGAGGAGGGCCTGGGGCCAGCGCAGGAAGTGCCCGGGCCTGTACTGGCAGCAGCTGGTATCAGCGGGGCAGCAGAGCCTGGCTGGCTGGAGGAACAATGGATTGCAGCCCCGATAGTGCAGCCAGCCGCTGCCTGGGAGCGCAGATAACAGCAGCCCGAAGGCTGGGAGGCGGCTCCGCCTGCCCCTGAGCATTCTGCCCCCCCAGGGCCTCCTCTGAGCCAGCCGCCACGCCTTGCCTGTGCCCTCCCTCCCCCACGGATGCCCCTCCCTCTCTGAGGCCTTCAGCATTTCCTGATGCTGATGCTGCTGGGCTCCAGGGTGAGACTGAGGTGCTCCTGGTCAAGGGGAGATGGTGGCAGGACAGTGGCCAGCACTATGACAGAGGCCGAAAGGGGCAGCCAGGCCTTGGGGCTCAGCAAGCACCCCTCACCGCCCCATTCTTCTCACACCCTGCCCTGTCCTGCCACAGCCAGGGACTAGCACGCCCTGATGGGAGGGTCAGCGGAGCGCCACACCCAGAGCCCCTACAGCACCCGCCAGGCCCCTCCAGGTCACTCACCATCAGCAGCCTCCTCTTGGCTTTGAGGACTGACCAGCATGCAGTGGCCAGGGCCTGCACCAGAGACAGACCAATGGGAGCTGAGTAATAGGCAAGGGGCAGCCCCTGCCCAACCCCCAGCCCAGACCCCACGCAGGAAGACAGGGCCTGGTGCCGAGCTCTGCTGTTTCCTCCCCTCAGGAATCAGATCCACCGAAGTCTGCTCGTGCCCCTGACGCTGAGCCCGGGGGCCTAGGCTAGCCACGGAACATCTCTGAGCCCGTTTCCTGACCTGCGGCACGGGCTCACTCAGTGGTGTGGGTCCATGGTGACCACCTGGACTGCCTGTGAAGACCACCCAGCCCTCTCCCGCCCCTGCCAGGTCAGGGCTTCCTGAGGGGCCCTGCAGGGGCCTCAGCTCAGTGCTCTCCTCAGTAGTTCCCCTCCTTCTCCGCAGTGAGCCTCATCATCAGCGGCAGCAGTAAGGAGCGCAGCACAGACGAGCAGATTAGTGAGCGCACAGTGCGGAAGGAAAGGCACAGGACAGCAAGGGGTCCCTGGGAAGCTTCTCCAGGGCCGAGGGGAGGGGAGCCTGCCCAGGGGGTGACCGCTGTCTGATGGTGGGGAGCCCAGCTTGGCGCCCACAGCCAGGGACGGAGGAGTCGGGTCCAGGCCAGCGGGCGGGGCGTGTGAACGTGCGGGAGCGGGGCGCCACCCACCGTCTCCTTGAAGCTGTCGGACAGCCAGCGGTTCCGCAGCACGGCCAGCACGGAGGACGGCGGGTTCTCCAGGTCCTCGAAGGCGTCCATGAGGATGAAGTCCAGCACGATGTCGTAGAAGCTCATGCACACCACCTGCGGGGCAGGCGGCGCTGAGGGCGGGCTGGGTGGGAAGACAGGCCGGAGGGCAGGGCAGTGTGGGCCCCGGGGCTGAGCAGACCCCTCCCTGCTCCACAGTGGGGTGCACTGGGGCCATCCCTCCCCGGCCTGGGCCTAGGACAGAGCGGACACTGGGGCTCCCAGCACCGATGGAGCCTTCCCAGACCCTCCGAACCAAGGCGGAGCTCGGCCAGGCACCCCCTCAGCTAAGGGCGCAGGGCCTTAGCACGAACCAACTCACCCCGCGGCCCTCCAGCTCCAGCCGCGTGGTGGCCCAGGTCTCCGGCCGCAGAGCGTAGCTCAGCATCTCCTCGTAGCTCTCCAGGAAGCCTTTGGGGCTCTGGGGAGAAGCACGTCCGCGCAGGTCGGGGATTAGTCCCTGGACCCCGCTTCAGCAGACCCATGGGGACAGGCTGGCCCACAGAGGGGACACGCCGATCCCCGAGCAGCAGCCACGGAGAAAACGAGCGAGAGGGTCCCCTACCCACCTCGGGGTGCCTCTGCAGAGGACAGGGCGTTTGCAAGACACACCCAACACCAGCACCTTCCTGAGCGCCCACCGCCTCCCAGGAGAGGCCGGTGCCACCGCAGGAGCGCACTTGGGAAGGATGGGTGAGGGCATGGGGAGGAGCCAGGCAGCCAGAGATCCAAATCTCTGTGACCCTGCGCCTCATGTGAAACGGGAGAAGCTACAGCCCCACACGCAGGGCCTTTCGGGGGGAGTCAACCAGCCACGCATGTAACACAATCAGCCGTGCCCGGACCTCAGCGATGAACAGTGCATGACTGCGGCCGCCGCCACCGAGGCTGCCGGCACTCAGGACAAGCTCTGCACTCCCCGGACCACGAGTTAGGGGGCACAGCCTGCAGTGTGGGTGCGAGTGTCCCGACACGGAAAGCTGGTATGTGCCGGGCACTGATCTAATAGAGATCAACTCATCCGATTCCTACGATTCTGGGAGGGACATTCTGGAATTAGTCCCACTTCACAGTTAGGAATACTGAGGTTCACCGAAACCGGTTTGGCTCAGTGGATAGAGCGTCGGCCTGCGAACTAAAAGGTCCCGGGTTCGATTCTGGTCAAGGGCATGTATCTTGGTTGTGGGGACATCCCCAGTAGGGGGTGTGCACAAGGCAGCTGGTCGATGATTCTCTCTCATCCATGTTTCTAACTCTCTATCCCTCTCCCTTCCACTCTGTAAAGAATCAGTAAAAATAAAAATAAATTTAAAAAAAAGAATCAATAAAAAATATTTTTTTAAAAAGAATACTGCCGAAACCGGTTTGGCTCAGTGGTAGAGTGTCAGTCTGTGGACTAAAGGGTCCCAGGTTCGATTCCGGTCAGGGGCATGTACGCTGGTTGCAGGCACATCCCCGGTAGGGGGTGTGCAGGAGGCAGCTGGTTGATGTTTCTCTCTCATCGACGTTTCTAGCTCTCTATATCTCTCCTTTCCTCTCTGTAAGAAAAATAAATAAAATATATATTTTAAAAAAAACAAACAATACTGAGGTTCTGTGAGATCAATGACATGCCCGAGAACCAGGCGGGACGGAGCTGGCACAGAGCAGCATGGACAGGCCGATGCCATTTACACAGAACCACGTGCAGCGAGGCACTGGGCCAGTGCTTGCTAAAATGTGACGGGGTGGGGTAGGCGCTCACTGAGGAATGAGGGAACAAGGCAGCCTACAGGCCGGATATGGAGCGATGCAGGAGGCAGCTGATCAACGGTGCTCTCATCATGATGTTTCTCTCTCCCTTTCTGAAATCAATTAAAAGTGTCATAGTTAAATAAATAAATTTAAAAACCAGAATAAAACAAGGTGGGGGGTGAAGAAAACCTGAAAGAAGATCCCCCTCCACGCCCCCCCCCTCCCAGCCCAGTACCTTCTCAGCCTTGGTCATCAGGCCCGTCACCATCTGGCGGCCCACCTCCCCGAAGAAGAGCCGGTGAGTCTGGTCCTCCAGGAGGCCCTGAGGAAGGGGCGGGTCAGCTGCCCACAGGCTGTCCCCACAGCCGTGAGGAGGGGGACACTGTGCTGAGTGAGTGAGGGGGACACTGTGTTGAGTGTGCACAGAGGGCCCGTGAGGGAGCAGGCCCCCAGGAGGCCTGCCTGGCCGCCCGCCCCGACTGCCCCTCCGCGGGCGCCGGCGGCACACCCACCTCGAACGCCTGCCGCACGCAGTGCAGCTTGGCCAGGAAGTCGTGGTCGCTGTAGCAGCCCAGCAGCTCTGTCCTGAGGGGAGGCACACACTGTCAGGCCGCCTGGGCCCCTCAGCGACGCCTCCGTGTGGCTCTGAGTGGAGCCCGAGCTGGCCCTGCCTTGGCTTGTCAGCGTGACCTCGGGCAGGTGTCTGCCCCCCTCTAGGCCTCCGTCCCCCCAAACCAAAGGACGCGGCTGGCTGGCTGCTCTCTGAGGACGTGGCAGGTCTGGTCCCTGGGGGTCGGGCTGACCTTGGCCTCCTCCAGGCCCCCATTAGCCAAGGACAGAAATGGCCAATGCTGCCAGGTGGCAGGACGCCAGGCGGGGGCTGCTGCCCATGGGGTCTGCCTCCCCTTGACCCAGTCCCCAGGCCTTCAGCTTCAGCTTCCAACCATTTCAGTCAGCGAACTTGAAACATAATTTAAATGTGAGTCATGACCAAAAGCCAAGTTCTGAGAAAAATTCATGTAGAAGGAGTTAAGATGCCGACAATACCACAGAAAGGGGCACAGGACTGAGGATCGGCCCCCTGTGCTTCTGGGCTGGGCCCTCCGAGCACTTGGGTCAAACACGGTACTGGGACCCTCCCAGACCCTCCGTGATGGGGCAGGAGCTGGAGCGGCCCATCGGGGCCCTCAGTGAGCCTGGCCCAGCCGAGTCCTCACCAGGGCCTCCCGCCCCCCTGCTCCCTGCTCACCTGAGGGTCCGGCAGAGCACCTTCCCCTCCTTCACCAGCTGCAGCGCCTCCTCGTAGGCGGCCGCGGGCCTGGAGAGCGGGATCAGGTAGTCGTCCACCTGCAGGGACTCAAAGAGCTGGGAGGGTGCGGGGGAGAGCCACGTCAGAGCCTGTGTCCACGGCGGCCCGGTGAGGCCCACGCCCAGGGGACACCCTCGGGGCGGCCTCTCAGAGGAGATGTCAGGAGGACGCAGAAGCCCGGGTTCAAGCCCAGCTCCGGCCTCAGTGTCCCCCTCTCCAGGGGCTCTTCCCCAGGGGACCGTACACTGGGCCTGAGCCCGTCCTCCCGCCAGGCCCGGACAGCTGGCCGGCACACACGGCCGCGGCAGCATACCGATGCCAAGTGATGGGCATGCGGCATAGGGAAGGGAGAGGTCATCCTGGGACCCTGCCCTCACCCCTAGGACCCGGGACCCCTGGCTTCTGAGGCCTCCAACCCCCAGCCGCTGCACGAGTCCCCGGAGAGCAGCAGTGGCGGCTGCCAACTGCTCCGGAGGAGGAAGCGGCTGCACTTTCCCACGACCTGCTCCTCGCCTGTCCTCCATGTCCCCCTCCCGCTCTCCTCGGTCTCCCCCCTCCCCCCCCCGCACCTCGGGGGGTGTGTGTGTGTGTGTGTCCGCTCACCTCGGGGGGTGTGTGTGTGTGTGTGTGTCCGCTCACCTCGGGGGGTGTGTGTGTGTGTGTGTGTCCGCTCACCTCGGGGGGTGTGTGTGTGTGTGTGTGTCCGCTCACCTCGGGGGTGTGTGTGTGTGTGTGTCCGCTCACCTCGGGGTGTGTGTGTGTGTGTGTGTGTCCGCTCACCTCGGGGTGTGTGTGTGTGTGTGTGTGTCCGCTCACCTCGGGGTGTGTGTGTGTGTGTGTGTCCGCTCACCTCGGGGTGTGTGTGTGTGTGTCCGCTCACCTCGGGGTGTGTGTGTGTGTGTGTGTGTCCGCTCTCCTCGGTGTCTCACCTCGGGGTGTGTGTGTCCCCGCTCACCTTGGGGGGTGTGTGTGTGTGTGTGTGTGTGTCCGCTCACCTCAGTGTGTGTGTGTGTGTGTGTATGTGTGTGTGTCCGCTCACCTCGGGGGGTGTGTGTGTGTGTGTGTGTGTCCCTGCTCACCTCGGGGAGTATGTGTGTGTGTGTGTGTGTGTGTCCGCTCACCTCGGTGTGTGTGTGTGTGTGTGTGTGTGTGTGTGTGTGTCTGCTCACCTCGGTGTGTGTGTGTGTGTGTCCGCTCACCTCGGGGTGTGTGTGTGTGTGTGTGTCCGCTCACCTCGGGGGGTGTGTGTGTGTGTGTGTGTCTGCTCACCCCGGGGGGGTGTGTGTGTGTGTGTGTGTGTGTGTGTCTGCTCACCTCGGGGTGTGTGTGTGTGTGTGTGTGTGTGTGTGTCCGCTCACCTCGGGGTGTGTATGTGTGCGTGTGTGTGTCTGCTCACCTCGGGGTGTGTGTGTGTGTGTGTCCGCTCACCTCGGGGTATGTGTGTGTGTGCGTGTGTGTGTCCGCTCACCTGGGGGGGGGGGTGTCCGCTCACCTCGGGGGGGGTGTGTGTGTGTGTGTGTGTGTGTGTGTGTCCGCTCACCTCGGTGTGTGTGTGTGTGTGTCCGTGTCCGCTCACCTCGGGGTGTGTGTGTGTGTGTGTGTGTGTGTCCGCTCACCTCGGGGTGTGTGTGTGTGTGTGTGTGTGTCCGCTCACCTCGGTATCTCACCTCGGGGTGTGTGTGTGTGTGTGTGTGTGTCCGTCCGCTCACCTCGGTGTGTGTGTGTGTGTCCGTGTCCGCTCACCTCGGGGTGTGTGTGTGTGTGTGTGTGTGTCCGCTCACCTCGGTGGCAGAGAAAAAGGACTCGTCGGAGGCCAGGCTGTCCACATCGTCCACCCGCAGGCGCAGCGAGCCCTGGGCCAGGGGCAGCATGAGGGTCCGCTCTGGAAGAGCAGGGCGGAGGGCTGAGCGGGGACTCCGGGCCCGGAGCTGACGTGCGGACTCAGAGCCCAGAACACCTGACTCTGGCGGACGAGGCTGACGAGCACAAAGCTCCTATTACTGAGCACTTGTGCGTGAAGCCCGGGCTCCGTGCTCAAACGAGTGGCCTCCTCCAGTCCTGAGACACCGTGGAGGTGGGCACCGTGAGGGTGGGAACAGGCTGTGCAGGAACCTGCCCACAGCCACACAGCCGCACCCGAGACCTGGAGGCCCCGAGATCTTCAGGGGAAGTCGCTCCCCTCTGACAGGCTGAACTGAGCCAATGACAGATACCAAAGGGCTCCTGCCCACCGTGTATCGGGGAACGCCTCTGCCCCTCCCGCAGCCTCAGTTTCCCCATCTGTGCAAAAGATTGGAGGAGGTCTGACGGCCCTGGGGATTCTGTCTGCCTCATGCACTGAGGGGGTCACACCCCAGCTCTCTAACCGCCTCCGCCTCCAGCCTGCCCCAGCCACTGCAGCCTGTGGGGGCCGCTCACCCAGGTCCAGCAGCAGGCTGTCGGACGGGAAGGTGGACCCAAACTCCTCCTGCAGGTGGTAGGCCCGGTGCAGCAGGGACTCCAGCTTCTCTGCAGACTCCCTCCGCTGGGATTCTGGCTGCGGGTGAAACAGCGACCATCGACCCAGGCCCTCCAGCGCCCATGCCAACAGCCCCCCCTCAGCAACAATGGCGCCCGGCATCTGGGGAGAAGAGCCGGCCTGGGGCCCCACGGTGAGAGCACAGATCTGGACCTGAGCTGCCCAATCCAGGAGCCACTACCACACGTGGACAGAGAGCCCTGAAGTGGCCAGTCCCAACTGGGATGTGCCCAAAGTATAATCCACTCTGGGTTTCAAAGACTTAGTACCAAGCAAGTAAATAAACAATCTCGGTGACTGTCCACCACACGTTGAAATGGTAACATTCGGGATACATTAGCTTGTATAAAATACATGGTTAACTCATCATTTCCCTTTTACTTTTTTCTTTTAATATATATTTTATTGATTTTTTTACAGAGAGGATGGGAGAGGGATAGAGAGCCAGAAACATCGATAAGAGAGAAACATCGACCAGCCACCTCCTGCACACCCCCTACCAGGGATGTGCCCGCAACCAAGGTACATGCCCTTGACCGGAATCGAACCTGGGAACCTTGAGTCCGCAGACCGACGCTCTATCCACTGAGCCACACCGGTTTCGGCAGCAGCAGTGTCATTCTTAAAGGCCACAAAGTGGAAACAACACAAATGCCGATCGAATGGGAGCAGGTGAGCAGAATGTGGAGCAGCCACATAACGGAACCGAAACAAGGCAGCCAACCACGTGGCAACAAGGATGAGCCTTGAAAACACTGTTATGTGAGAGGGGCAAGTCACAAAGGCCACATAAGACTAACTCCATTTGAAGAAACATCCAGAACGGGCAAACCTACCGAGACATGAAGTAGATAGTGGTTGCCTAGAGAGGATGGGGGCGGGGCCCGAGGCATAGGAGGGGAGGTGTGACTGCTAAGAATATGGGATTTCTTTTAGGGGTGATGAAAATGTTCTGAAATTGAGATTGTGTGATATATTCATAGACTCTGTGAATATACTAAAAGCCATCTACGCCTAAACCAGTTTGGCTCAGTGGATAGAGCATTAGCCTGCGGACTGAAGGGTCCCGGGTTCGATTCCGGTAAGGGCACATCCCCAGTGGGGAGTTTGCAGGAGGCGGCTAATCGATGATTTTCTCTCATCGATGTTTCTAACTCTCTATCCCTCTTTCTTCCTCTCTGTAAAAAAATCAATAAAATAGATATTTTTTTAAAAGATAAAAGCCATTGACAATTTATATCGGTGAATTTTATGGTTTGAGAATTATGTTTCAAGAAACTTGTTAAAAAATGTTCAGCATAGAAAAATACCCAGAAGGACACCAAGCGGTTGTGTTTGGATGAAGGTTCTGGGCATCAGTAACACCGATGACAAAGAGCATCAGGATCATTTTCTGAGCACCTACTATGGGCCAGGGCCACGCGGGTGGCACTGACGTCCCACCAAGGGCACCAGGGAGGGCAAGGGCCTTTACCAAGATCAGAGTCTGAGCTCTTATTTTCCCACGCTTTTCTGCCTCTGCATTTTCACTGTTTTGTAAGGAGTGCTTCAATGCTTTCACAATCAGAAGAACAATGGAAGTTCTAGGATGTTACAATGTAGCATTAGCAGTAAGTATAATTTGGGACATTGAGCTCCTCCCTCCACCTCCCTGCCCTATTCCCCACCCACCCCCGCCCCCCGCCTGCCCACACGCAGAGGGGCCCAAAGCAGCTGCCTCCTAGGGCACCGACGGCTTGCGCCACAGGCGTTTCCCAACCTTTGTGTCCACAACCAGGTGCCATGCCTGTGTGACAGCCTCTGTCTGAGGGAACGCCCCCAGCGGGGGCAGAGGGCCCGTCACCCACTGGTTACAGGCTGTGCCAGGCATGTCTCCATCCTGTTGCTACAAACTCTGATTCCCAGACTTCTGGCCAACAGGCACAGGAGGAGCAAAGCAGGGGGCGGGGAGGAAGACAAAGAAACTCTTCCCTCCTCCTCCTCCTGCCTCCCACCACACCCCTGCCCCACCCTACCAAAGTGGGGTCAGCCCCATACAAATGACACTGCTGTGGATATTGGTATGTAATATCTAGGTGCTGGCTTCCAGGGCACGGCCTTGGCACCTGAGCCCCGGGCACACCCCTCCAGCCCTGGGACAACCCAGCTCCTCCCTCCCCTGTGCACCCAATCCCCGGGCGGAATAACCGCCCTCCCGTTTCAACAACTGAGGTTGCTCCCATTTCCCGGCTAACACCGGACTGACGGGACAGATGTGCCAGACTGCTCCCCAGAGACGCCTCTCCCCGTGTGGCCTCGCCCCAGCAGAGCACCGGAGCTCATAAAGACTTAGTTTTTGATACAGAGAAGTGCCAGGAATAAAGCAGCCCTAGCCAGTTGGGCTCAGTGGACAGTGTCGGCCTGTGGACTGAAAGGTTCCAGGTTCAATTCTGGTCAAGGGCACATGCCTAGGTTGTGGGCTTGGTCCCCAGTAGCGGGTGTGCAGGAGGCAGCCAATCCAATGATTTTCTTACCATTGGTATTTCTATCTCTTTCTCCCTCCCCTTTCCTCTATGAATTAAAATAAAAATCTATTTAAAAGAATAAAAGAATAAGAAAAAAAAAAAATAAAATAAAATAAATAAATAGAAAAATAAATGAAAAAAAAAAAGATTTAAACATTTTAGACCCCACTTTAAATGAAAATAAACTTGCTTTAATCACTTTTGAAAAAAAAAAAAAAAAGAATAAAAGAATAAAACAGAAATGGCCCACAAGCTCACCATGTATACAAGCCCCGCCCACAGGCATGTGCTCAACATGAGAAAAGTCCACCAGACAGGAAGGTGCTGAAAAGTGCAGGGAGGTACGATACAAGCCTTTCCACCTCTCCCTGCAGACCCGCTCCCACAGGTCATTGCTAACCATTTCCCGGGCCCTGTATCTGTCACGGAAAGGAAGACTGCACGCATGTACCAGCAGCTACCAGGAAGTGCACAGATGCACGGATGTCTTTTAAAAACGCACACCTAGCAGAAACCAGTTTGGCTCAGTGGATAGAGCGTCGGCCTGTGGACTGAAAGGTCCCAGGTTCGATTCCAGTCAAGGGCATGTACCTTGGTTGCGGGTACATCCCCAGTAGGTGGTGTGCAGGAGGAGCTGATCGATGTTTCTCTCTCATCGATGTTCCTAACTCTCTATCCCTCTCCCTACCTCTCTGTAAAAAAATCAATAAAATATATTAAAAAATGAGTAAAATAAAAATGCAGACCTGCATCATTTTATACACATTCTACATCTTGCTTTTCTCACTTGCTATATCGTGGAGATAGCAACCTTACAGCCCACATAACTTCCCTCAGCCTTTTTTTTTTTTAGTTTATTTATTTATTTATTTATTTATTTATTAAATATATTTTATTGATATTTTACAGAGAGGAAGAGAGAGGGATAGAGAGTTAGAAACATCAATGAGAGAGAATCATTGATCATCTGCCTCTTGCACACCCCCCACTGGGGATGTGCCCGCAACCAAGGTACATGCCCTTGACCGGAATCGAACCCGGGACCTTTCAGTCCACAGGCTGACGCTCTATCCACTGAGCCAAACCGGTTTTGGTGTTTGTTTGTTTTTTTAATATGTTTTTATTCATTTCAGAGAGGAAGGGAAAGGGATAGACGCATCAATGATAACAGAGAATCATCGATTGGCTGCCTCCTGCACATCCCCTACTGGGAATCAAGCCAGAAACCTGGGCCTGTGCACTGACCGGGAATGGAACCATGACCTCCTGGTTCATAGGTTGATGCTCAACCACCAAGCCATGCTGGTCAGCCATCCCTTGGCCTTATAACAGCTGCGCAGTATCACACACCCTACTGATAGTTCCCAGTTTTTCAACTATTATCAAATAATGCTTCAGTGAACATCCTCCCTCGGACATACATTTGGCGTGCTCTTCACACACATGTTTTATTTTAGCTTCTTCACTGAGTCTCTCCTGACACTGAAATGAAGGTGAACTGTAGAAAACTTACACAATGCCCCCCAAAAAGTCCAGGACAAAGGCCATGTGATCCGCTCCCCTAGGGACAGAGGCTATTTCCACCAGTCCCGCAGGAACGCAAGGCCGGGGTCAGGGTGTGAGCATCTCTGTGGGTTACTGCATACTTACCGAGCGCCAGGCATGTGCTCGGCACATTACTAGTTGGACTGACGGACTGACAACCTGACCAAGGGGAAAACTCCATCCAAGGGGATGAGTGACTGGTAGACAGGAGGCAGGGCTGCTAGGCTGCCTCCCAAAGTCTGGCTGCCCACTGGCCTCTCCAGGTCAGGGTTGGGACCACCTACCTCAGAAAGCACCTCGGAAGTGGTCTCGGGGTTCCGGTCTCGGGGTTCCCCCGGTGTGGGGGTGCTGCCGCTGTCTCCCCTCTGCCCCACGCTCAGCGCCTGCTCCCATTTCTGCAGCGCCTCCTCAAATAACTCCATGCCTGGGCACGGGCGGAAAAGGGAGAGTCAGGCCCAGCAGGGGAGCAGCCGGGCCCTGCACAGCGTCACCTAAGAGGGCCCCGAAGGGCAAGAAGGAGCAGGACCGTGTGGGCTGGGTCCTGATCAGTTTTTATTTATTTATTTTTTTAAATATGTTTTATTGATTTTTTTTTTTTACAGAGGGGAAGGGAGAGGGATAGAGAGCTAGAAACACCGATGAGAGAGAAACATCGACCAGCTGCCTCCTGCACACCCCCCACCAGCAATGTGCCTGCAACAAAGGCACACGCTCTTGACTGGAATTGAACCTGGGACCTTTCAGTCCGCAGGCTGACGCTCTATCCACTGAGCCACACCGGTTTCGGCTTGATCACTTTTTAAAGATGCTAAGTGTATAGGCCTTATTTAGATCTGATTTGTTCCCACACTGTCCCCTGACCAGAAGTGGCAGGGAGTGAGGGTTTGGGGGCAGGGAGGGGGAAGTGGGTTGCAAAGCAGCCCCTGGAGAAGTGCCCTGGGCCATTCCCGCTGGCCTGTCCCACCCCGGGGAGCTCCAGGCCACCTCCCCGCCTGTACCTTGCATGTAGAGGCTCTCGGCATTGCCATCGCTGGTCATCACAGACTCCTCCATCCCTCTGGCATCCCATGTTCCCGAGCCCGCAGCTGTGGGGCTGGATGTGTTCACCGCCACCATCTAGACCCAAAGACCCAGGGAAGGGGTGAGGCTTTCCCAGCCCCTCTGCAGGCCCCCAGCCGCCCCAGCGCCTGACCGTGTGCCTCACACTCTCTCCAGACGCCATCCCTGAAGCCAGCCCCTGAGTGCAGAGGCCCAGCCCTCAGCACAGCCTGGTCCTCCATCTGCGAGCACTGACCTCACAGAAACTGTCAAGGTGGGAGGACATATGGAGGCCCACAGCCAACCCAGGACTCAGCAGCCTCCTACGAAACCCGCCCTGGGCCCCTTCCCTGCTCTGAACTTCGCTGCCAGTCAGACAAGGAAGACTGAGGGAGCACCCAGCACATACGGCCAGTCAGAGCCCACTGGCTCCCACACAGGCAGCCACCTCCGTGACGGCTTTGGTTCCTCCAGGATAAGAGCTGTCCCTTGCTCACCCCTTGGTGCCCAGGGCAGGCCCCGTGCAGAGCTGGGGCTCAGTCCTGACTGAGTGAATGAATAGCCAGATGAGTGAATGAGCCAGAGTCACTCCCCAAGTGACCATAACCTCTCTTTGTCTTATTTACTTCTTTTTTTAAAAATATATTTTATTGATTTTTAACAGAGAGAAAGGGAGAGAGATAGAGAGCTAGAAACATCGATGAGATAGAAACATTGACCAGCTGCCTCTTGCACACCCCCTACCGGGGATATGCCCGCAACCAAGGTATTATACATGCCCTTGACCGGAATCGAACCTGGGACCTTTCAGTCCGCAGACCGACGCTCTACCACTGAGCCAAACCAGCTTCGGCTGTCTTATTTACTTCTGTATCCTCAGCACCAAGAGTCCCTGGCACAAAGCAGATGTTCACTCAACATCTAATGAATGAATGAGTGAATGAATGAACTTTCATAGATAAGTATCACCCCCAACAGCCATGAGCTTCTCTTCTGCACCTATCCATGTTTCCCCACCCATGCCTGGCACTCAGTGAGCGACCAATGACCATCTCTAATAGCCTGCATGGATGGATGGATGATGAGTGAACAAATGCATGCATGCATGCATGAATGAATGAGTGAAAGACTAAATGAAATCTCTACACCCATCTCCCTACCACTCCACAGCCCCGAGGGCAGAGACTGGACCTGACTCAGTAGCTGGGGGCTGAGCCTAAGGCTGTGGCAGGCACCGGCACCCTCCCGTCCTCACCGAGGCCAAGCTGTGGGAGGAGCCCGAGCGCTTGCTGGGCTCAATGGACGAGATGCCGCTCAGCGTGTCGTTGCTCTTGCTACTGGGGCTCTGCACCCTCCGGCTGGAGTAGCCTGTGAGGACAGGAAAGATGGGGTCACGCAGGCTTCCATCGGCCTTTGGACGGGTCGTTCCCCCCTCCCCTCCTCTGGAGTCTATCCTGTCCTCCTGACTCCGGTGCCGGCAGAGCACCCAGAGCTGTGCATCTGGCAGAGCCCCTGCCACTGGCTACTGTATCCCCGTCCCCAGCGCCCGAGGCCCCCACTCCCCGCCCCTCCTTCCTGCGCCCCCGCTGCTGGGCGAGGGGCTGATTTGGAATTCTCCTTCCAAAAAGGATTCAAGGTAACATTTTGAAGATATACCAAGGACAGAGGCTGGTGCCAAAGTGGCTCCCGGTTTCCCAGGGGCCAATGCAAACCAGAAGCCCAGCGAACCAGCGTTTCTTGGGTCTAAACAAATCTAAAGGCTCCTTTTCCCGCGGCGAAGATAAAACTTCCTTTTGCGATGGTAATTCACAATGAAAGCTCATTTTCACACAAGGACCCAGATTGTCCCAAGGCCCCCGATAATGAGAACAGCCGCTACCTCCTGGACACGGGTCAGGCCCCATCACCCCCCACGTCCTTCCGTGACTCGGGAAAGGGGTTCCACTGTGACCCCCGCTTCCCAGGTGAGCGGAGCTTGCGGACAGGATGTCACTGGCCCAGGAGCCCACAGTTAACGGGGGCTCACACCTCACACCTACCTTTCTTCACCGACGGGGTCTTCTTGGCCATGAGGATGGGGAGGGGCACCGTGCCCAGATGCTCACCTCCCATCTCAGGGCCGACCTGCTTCTTCCTCCGCCTCCGCCTCTTCAGCTGGTGGGCGGCCAGGGCCAAGGCCACGGTCCCCAGGGCGGTGGCAAACAGGACCTTCCGCAGACCTGGTGTCAGCCGCAGCTGCGAGAATGCAGACTGCAGGGAAAGAGGGGCAGCTGCTACATCTCCCCGGAGAGCAGGGAGCGTACCGGGCCCTGGGGATACCTGCAGACCAGGGGGGCGGCCACCTCAAGAGAGGGGACCTGGCCAGCCGCTCTGAAGTGTGGACACACAGGTGTAAAGAGAGGGCTGGGGATGGCAAAATGACGGTGCCAAGGAGATCAGCCTGGGCCCAGCGGGTCATGGCTAGCAGCTGAGTGACTGGGTGCCTGCCGTCAGGCGCTGCCCCAGGACTTCCCCAGCGTTCCCTGTCTGATCCTGTCCTCCCGGTGAAGAATCTGAGGCCACACTGTTGTTGAGACCCATGCTCAAGGTGGCAGAGAGACAGACACTGAGCCCAGGTCTGCCAGCTCCATTCCTCAATGGCTTCTTGAAGACGATGACATTCACTCCACCCAACCGTCCCATCTGTCCGCATCCCTCCTCCATTCTCACTCTGCCTGCTGGACTGGGGGCCCCTCTGGGGGCGCTGCACCCCACGGGGCAGAGCTTTAGAGGTGTCAGGGGGCCTGGTCAACACAGGTGAAGGCCAGGCGAGGGGCCCTGGACGCCTGAGCAGCAATGACCAAGGCCCGGCTCTCCGGATGGCCAGCACTTCAGGGATTAGAGCGGTTAAGGGAGGACCATGAGCCACCCACTCCTCACCTGTCCCAGCGTCGTGTACAGGAACACAGGGATCTCGGCCACCGTCATGGCCAGGGCCTGGATCATGGACATGCCCTCCGTCCTCCGGAACGCCATGGCAGGACCGGCACCCAGGCCAGAGCCGCGGCGGGGAGGGTGTCCTGGGAGAGCGCCTTCAGCTGGCTGCCGGCCGGGTCCCAGGAGCCATGCACGGCCCCAAGAGACAGGAATGTGCACACCGGAGGGTCCCTCCGCAGAGCTGAGGGACAGACCACGTCAGACACAAGGACAAGTGCGCAGGAGCTCGGAGAAATTCACACAAGTGCCTGGGCATCTGGAGGGCAGAGCCTCCCCCGGAATGCCAGGGCGGGCAGGAAGGCGGCCACGGCCCCACAGACCCTCTGCCCGCCATGAGCCCGGGGGCAGAGGCGGTGTCGCTGGCATGCTGGCCCCAGAGCAGCCCCAGGGAGGGAGAGGGAGAGGTCACTCAGACGCCCCGGCCTTTTCTGCTGAACAAGAACCTCAGGCCTTTAAAGGGCCAGGCCCCTGAGAATCATTACAATGTGTTCAGCTCCCACAAAGCAAAGAATGCTGTACTTCCTGTGGACTGGTATGCAAACAGCAGGCTATTTCCTCCCATCATAATAATGACAGCTTTACACCTCTGTGTATAGTTGGTGCTGAGTTCTTCATCTATATTATTTCACTGACCCATGGCAATTCTGTATATAGATGCCCTCTACCTGTGCCCCCAACCATGCCAACTGCCAATGAGGAAACTGAGGCTCACAGAGGCGGCCAGGAGTCCCAACTTACACAGAGCTGGTGTGAGGCAGGGGCAAAGCTGGGATAAGGTCTCCCGACCTCAGTCTGTGCTCAATTCCACGTGGAGCAGGAAGTGGCAAGCCCCAGAGACAACAGACCACGAGGGCAACTTTCCCCTGGGGTCTTCCGGGACCCTCCCAGGGCACCCGCTGCCCATTCCAAACGGCGAGAAAGCGGCTTAACCACAGAGAACCGCCGGGTCCCCTCACACCACCCCCGAGGCCAGGATGCCTTCTAGGACTCCGGGAAGCTCAGGCAGAAGGAATGTGCAGGCCACACAGACCCTGTCTCCTTGGGCGGGAGGCCAAATTCACTGGACCAGCACAAGAAACAGCGTATTCCCGGTGAGTGGGAAGGAAGGACAGCGCTATCAGCCCAGATCTAGGGCTGGGCTGGGTGAGGGGGCTGGCTGGGAAAATGTCCTGGGGCTGAGGGAACCGTCATGGCGAGGGCAGGAGCCCTCCTGCCGGGAGGCTGCAAATCCAGCTATGGAGTGGCCAGTGGTCAGGGCCGGGGTCCATATCGTAAGCCACCTCTCTCACTCTCTTCAGCAGCTGTTTCCCAAGCACTGTCTGCAGGCCAGGCCGGAACAGGCTCTCCACAGAGGGCCTGGGTCACTCACAGAACTCTCGTGACCACTGCGTGCAACGGGGAAACTGAGGCTCTGAGAGGTAAGCGGCCTGACTGAAGTCCCCGAGTCCATGGCCAACCAGGGATGTGACCTCAGCTGCCTGCTGCAACTGCCACCTCTCCATGCCACACCTGAGGCCTTCTGGGTCCCCAGGAAAGACGCCCATATGCAGCACTAAGGCTGAGTCTGGCCACACGCTCCAGGCGGGAGACAGGGCTGGGAGGCCTGGCCTGTGTCTGCAGGGAGGTCAAGAGCAGCCCCTGAGCCTGCTTCACTCCAAGGACGGATCCAGATCCAGCCCAACCGCGCTCTCCAGCCCCCGGCTCTATCCAGGGAAAAGCCTCCGTGATGGTAAGCCCATGGCCCTGTCCCCACAGACACTTCTAATGCCATCGCCCCCCCACCCCCCGCCCGGCAGTCCCGGGCACCTGCTCACTCCATCCTCCCCACAGCACTTACAACACCCTCAGCCTGGATGCCCACACTCTCCACCCCCTCGCCCTGGCCGCTCCCATGAACGGTTCTGGCCTTAGCAGGCTCCCTTTCCGCCTCGACCTCAGCAACGACCCTGACCCAGGCGCTCCCTCGAACCACCCTCTGCCCAGTCTCACTCACTCAGTTCATTTCACCCTGGACCCCTCACCAGTCCGACCGGGCAGGGAGCTGGGCAGTACACCCTGGCCCTCAGCAATCTCCCCGCCTTCACAATCTTTTCACCCCATCCATCCCGACCCCTCCCGGAGCAGCCGGGTCAGGCCCCGCCCCTCCGGCCCCGGACCTCGGGGTATCTCCGAGGGTCTGCCAGGTGCCCTCAGTCGCCGCCACGGCCGGCGCACCGCTCCTTCCATCCCGGGTGCCTTCCCGGCCCCGCTCCGACCTCCACCGCGTTCCAGGCCCGAGCATCCCCCCGCGGGCCGGGTGCCTTCCGTTCCAGCTCTCGCGCCGCCCACGGCCAGGCACCTGCTCATTCCAACCCGGGCCCTTCGAGGCCGGCTGAGCCCGGACACCTGCGCCCTCCCCGGGCCCCGCGCAGGCCCGGCTCCCGCGGCTGCAAGCCTCCGCCCCGGGCCCTGCCGCGCCGCCGGGCCGCCCGGCGGGCTCAGCCCGGGCCGCCACTCACCCGGGATCCCATCGCTGCGAAAGGGCAGCGTCTCCTTCCCCGGCGGCCGCGCAACCAACCTCTCAGCCGCGGGGGCGTGGCCTCACGCACGGCCAAGGCCCCTCTTGGCCAATGAGCGTCTCTGAAGCATGCCGCGCCGCTCGGACTTCTGGTCCAGGGGGCGTGTCTCCTTCCGCCCCGCCTCCTAAGTGCGGTTGAGGCAGGAAAGGGATCTTTCCTGCCCTTTGATTGGCCCGAGGGCTGACGTAATTGACACGGAGGCTGGTTGAGTGAGGCGCCGCAGCTCTTAAAGGGGAAGCCATCAGATTCGGAAGGGGCTGTATGGAAGGAAGCTGCGGCCCGGTGCGCACACGTGTTTGGCTCCGGCACCCCTTTGGGTCCCCACAGACAAGTCCTTCCCGCCCTCCAAGCGTCCATTTTCAAATGTCAGCGCCTCTGACTTCCCACTGTATCCTCTTCAACCTTTGCCACTGGCCACCTTCTCCTGGAGCTCTTGGCAAAAGTGCTGTCCCTGCTGGAGCCCAGTGGTTCCGTTCTGGTTCGGACCGTGCCGTTGGGCCTTGTGACAAACACTGGGTTTGGGATCAGTTCTACCACCTCAGCTCTCTGGAGGCGATTCTGCGCCCCCCTCCGTAAACATGGGGATACCATTCCTGCCTCCCAGCGCTGTGGTCGGGCTTGGAAGAAAACAGGGTGAAGAGCTGGGCACAACGAAGTTTCTTAAAAAATGATTTTCTGTAAGGTCACATTCTTTCATTCATTCAACAACTATTTCTGGTTGCCAGCCCTTTGCCAGAGTGGTGGACAAGATACATGCAATTAAGCCCTAACCGGTTTGGCTCAGCGGATAGAGCCTTGGTCTGCGGACTGAAGGGTCCCAGGTTCCATTCCGGTCAAGGGCATGTACCTTGGTTGTGGGCACATCCCCAGTAGGAGGTGTGCAGGAGGCAGCTGATTGATGTTTCTCTCTCATTGATGTTTCTAACTCTCTATCCCTCTCCCTTTCTCTCTGCAAAAAGATCAATAAAATGTATTTTTTTAAAAGACACATATAATTAAGATACTTAAATACACCTTCAGGGACCTGGCGAGCATGTGTGTGTGTGTGTGGGGGGGGAGGATGGAGGAGCGCAATCAGCTGTTCCCAGGGGTGGAAGGAGAGCCCAGCCGGCCTTTCCCCGGCTCGGTTGTCCTAGGTGCCAAGGTCAAGGGCAAAGGGAGGGTGCTGGAGAGGTCAAGGTGGTGTGGGGAGCGGCGCAGAGACTCAAGGCCACGGGTGCGGGCAGAGGGGGATGCGCAGGGACAGAGCGCGATGGGAGGCACCGATGGAGCGGGGCCCCGCGAGGAGGAAGCCCGGGGCCGCCAGGCGGCGCGAGAGGCCGCGGGGACAGAGCCCGCAGCGCCCGCCGCCCCGCCCCGCGGCCCAGGCTCCACCCGGGCCGCCCCGCCCTGCGCTCGGGCTCGGCGGCGGCGGCGGCGGCGGGCAGAGGGCTCCCGGGGGCGAGGCGGGCGCCGGCAGCAGGTGGGCGGGGTGCGGGCGGCGGGGGCGCCGGGCTGCGGGGCCGCGGCCCTCGGAGCGCCATGGACTTCAACATGAAGAAGCTGGCGTCGGACGCGGGCATCTTCTTCACCCGGGCGGTGCAGGTGAGGCCGGGCCGGATCCCCGGGGGTGGGGGGTGGGGGCCGCCAAGGGCTCCCCTGCAGCCGAGCCAGAGCCCGGGGCGCGCGGAGAGGCCCCGGAGGCCGCGCCCCCACCCTGCGCGCCCCCCGGCCCCCCGCATCCCGCTCCTGCTGCCCGGAGAGCTCCGGCGCCGGCCGCACCCTCCCTCGACGTGGCCGGGCGGGGAGCTGAGCCGGCCGGCCCCGCTGGCTGCCGGGGAGGTATCGGGGCGCAGCCGGTGACCCCGCTGCCCGGGCCCCCGCCCAGGGCCCGGTGGGAGCTCCGCTGCAGAGGGGAGAGGCCCCCAGCCGCGCCTGCTCCCGTCCTGGTCCAGCAGTGACTCCGGCTCCTCTGGCTCCTGGCAGGCCTCGGCAGGCCGGAGCCCCGGGCCAGGGATTCGTGCACCCCACTTCCCCACAAGACCCGGCTCCGAGCCTCAGTCTGCGCCCCCGCGCAATGGGCGGGCGGTCCGGGATTCCCGCAGGTCCCTTCACACGCCTGGATAGTCAGTCCGGAAGCCCAGGGCCTGGGTAACTTCCTATCCGCTCCAGGGGAGGCCTGTTTCCTCTTACTCCCCAGGCCTGGGGGAGGGGGGAGAGGGGCGTCCAGCGGGGGACCTCGGGGAACTGCCTGTCTGTCCCGGCCAGTGATGCTGGGACTCCAGTCCTCTCCACTGGGAGGCAGGCAGCGAAGGGGATGGTAGAGCTGGGCCAGCTGAGGGTGTGGGGTGCTCCCTGGGGAAGGGGCGTCATGCTCTGGGCATCAGTTTCTCCATCTGAAACCTGGGGACCGCTCTCCCTCCGTCCCGGCGCAGCTGGTATGGATCCTGGCAAAGCCTGGCAGGTGGTGCTCACCACAGGCAGGCTCCCTGTGGTGCGGACGCTGCACCTGTGCAGCCGGTGACCCTGGGAAGTCGCTCCCGTGGCCTCCAGTCCCGTCCCGCGGAGCCGGACCTGGTGGAACTGGTCTGTGCTGGGCCTGCGGTCCGGTCTGGTGTCCGTCCTTGGCCTGTTGTTTGTTCTCTGGAGGAGCCCAGCCCGTCTCTGGGAAGCCATGTGGCCATGTTTACTAGAAAGCACAGCGGCCCGGGGACGGCTCGCTGGGCCCTTGAGGCTGGTGTTCCGAGCCCTGCAGGTGACTCCAGCCCGGTGGGGATGCCGGACCCCGAGCCTCTGGGGCAGCACCCTCTCTGGCAGGTGGGGAGTCCTCCCCAGGCTGGAGTAGCAGGCATGTATCTCTCACATCTGGGAAGAACTGATCCGGTTTCCTCTGCCAGGACCCGCTGAGCTGGGCGCAGAGAGGCTTGGGGCCCTCGGCCTGCCTTCGCCTGGTGGGCCAGGCCCACGGGGGACCCGCACCAGAGGGGGAGGCAGTGCCCAGGCCCAACCTCCTGGGTGGAGGAGGGAGCTGGGAACTTTATAAATAGAGGCTTTCTCTGGCTTCGCACGCCCACCCCCTGCTGCTGCCATGTTGCAGGGAGCAGCCTGGACTGCAGGCTGCAGCTTCTGAAGCGCGGGCCCTTCCCCTCGCAGGGTCGGGGCAGGATTGGGGCAGGATTGGGGCAGGATCGGGGGGGGGGGAGGGCAGGACAGCGGAGGGAGGGCCTGAATTGTGAGCTGAGCAGGAGAGGACACTCGGGACCTGCCAGGCCAGGCTATCCGGGAGAGGAGTCCGCCAGGAGAGCTGCGAGGGGTGTGTGTGTGACAATGTCCCAGCAGCGCCTCTGCAGGTCGCGGGGCGAGCTGGGGAAGCGCTCGGCTCTTCCATGTACCAGGGCCTCATCTGTTAGGAGCAGGACCTGGGCTGAGGGGGACAGGGGAGAGAATCCGGAGGGCAGGACCCCTTTGGTATGGGCGATCCTGGGGTGGCCTCCTAGCCCCTGAACTGTGCCTTGAACGTCAGGAGGGGTTTGTGATGTGCATCCAGGGGGTGAGAAGGGCCCAGTAAGGGCAGCGAGGCAGGAAAACCTGAGGGACGCCTGGAGAGGGTGCTGTGGGGGCAGGGCGGGCTATACAGGTGATAGAACTAATATTGATACTGTCAGTGGTGATTACAGTAAGAGTAATAGCAGGAGCAGGAATGATAAAAGCCAGGGAGGTGGTAGCGTCGTCATGATCTGAGCAGGCAGCCGTGGACACGGGGTGGATGCCCAAGAAGTGGGGGGCGAGCCTGGCAGGACTTTGAACCTGGGTGGACATGGGGTGGCCGCGAGCTGGGTGGGGAGGGGAGCTGGGGACCTTGGTAAGGCAGGCGTGTGTCACCCAGACACGGCGACTCGTACCGCTGGGCTAAGGGTCCCTCGGTAGCTCCCGAGAGCCGGAGAGAGACCCTTTTGTGAGTGCTGGCGACAGCAGCTAACATTCCTCAGACACTCAGCAGCTGTTCTGAGATAAGTCCTGCCACCCCCTTTCTCCAGCGGGAAACGGAGGCCTGGAAAGGTGCCAGCGCCTCTGAGCCCGGGTTTCCCCACCAGGAAAACGTGGTGGAGTCAGGGCCTGGGAGGCCCGAGGGGCAGAGGTCAGAGGAGGCCGGAGCAGCTGGTCTCAGGTGGGGAGCTGCGGCTGTAACCCTGGCCTGCGGGGCCCTCGGGAGAGAGAAACCCAAGCCCTGTTGCATAATTGATGGCTGCCGGGCAGCCTCCGCTCCCGCAGCTGGAGCTGGCCTGGTCTCTGGATAATGTATCAGCCAAATGGTCCGAGAAGGGCCTCCAGACCCCTGGGCCATGTGACCTGGATCCCTGCACAGTCTGCTCCTTGCTGGGCCTCAGTGAAATCATCTGTGAAATGGGAAACTTGACCCGCCTTGAGGGGCCGTTAGCGTGCGGATGGGCCGTCAGCATAAAGCCCTCAGCACAGGGTTTGGCCACGGGACGCCAACGGGAGCTGTTATTACCAATCCCATTCCTGCATGTTCATTCTTCTGCTGATTAGCTGTGACCTTGAGCCACGCTCTTTCCTCCTGCTGGAGAAGGCCTTCCGGTCCCTGTTTGGAAAACGGGGACCTACATCCAAGGGCCTTTCTGGGGCAGAGGGGCCAGGACGTGGGCTGGGTTCTGGCTGTTTCTGGTGGCCCACCCGGCTTCTGATCGCTCTGATGGGCGGAGCGGTGTGACATCCTGGCCCCGCCTGGCCCCGGTGTGCAGCTGCCAAGTGTTCTGGGCCCTGGGTGCGCTCAGGGTTGGCTCTGAGGGGCTGGTGGTGCCCCGTCCACCCACCCGGTGACCAGAGGCCGGCCGTGTGGCCTCCTCCCGCGCAGCCCTGCCTCCCCAGCGCCTCTCCGCCCAGCGGCTCCCGGCAGCAGCAGCACCTTGCACTCAACACCGACTCCCGCCAGACGCTGACCCGCCCGCACGTCTTACCCACCTCTCCCTTCCTTCGTGCTCACAGCCGGGGGAGGGGGACTGTGGAAGGGATAGTACTCACAGCCTGGGAGGCGGTGCTGCTACTTACCCTCATTTTCAGCTCAGGAGACTGGTGCGTAGAGAGGCAAAGCCATTGCCGAGGTCACACAGCACATCGGTAGTGGAACTGAGACTGGAGTCAGGTCCCTGTGACCTGCAACCCCTGACTCCCCTGGCTCCCCCTCCCCCAGTGCTCCCAGCCCCCCCGCGGAGCCCCCTGAGCTTGCGTTGAGCCCTGTGTGTCCGTCCCATGAGCACCTTCTACCAAATTCCTTCTCGCAGAGCTAGGCCCAGAGGACCCTCTGTGGCGGGTTCCCAAGCTTTTCTTACCCTCGGAGCTGTGTGCCAGGTTCTGCACAAACGTGCTTTTGGGGGTGGGGCTGCCACAGTGTTCACCGGATTTCCAAAGAGGCCATGACCCCGAACTCTGGTCCAACGGCCTCACTTCACAGAGGGGCCCACTGAGGCCCGGGGCAGGGTCCTGATGGGTCAGAGTTGCAGAGCAGGTTGGGCAGAGCCAGTTTCTTGTCCTGGGGGCCTGGGTTTCAGCTGGTGGGGAGGGGTAGTGGGGGGTCAGTCCTCCCTCCTTCCCTCTGAACCCTCCCTCATCCCTGGGCCTCATCCCTTCTCCACCCACAGTTCACAGAGGAGAAATTCGGCCAGGCCGAGAAGACTGAGCTCGATGCCAACTTTGAGAACCTGCTGGCCAGGGCAGACAGCACCAAGAACTGGACGGAGAAGATCCTGAGGCAGACAGAGGTGCTGCTGCAGCCGAACCCCAGTGAGTGTGGGGCTGGGCCTGGGGGGCTGGGCCTGGGGGGACTGGGCCTGGGGCGAGGGCCGAGGCTGGTGGCTGAGGGAGGCGGGAGGTGGGATTGGTGGGTGGGAGAGATCTGGGGTGTGGGGAGTCCCAGGAAAGACAACAGCGCAGTGGGTGCTGGGCTCTGAGAAGCGCTCTCGGGGCTGTGGAGATGGTGGGGTTAGCACCGAGGCCTGGGGCTGCCTGGGAACTGAGACCTTGAGAGAAGAGGCAGGAGAAGGATCGTCTGAGAGCCGGCGGCGAGGCCCAGTGATGGCAGAGGGCTTGCCCAGGCACCCACAGCACGGAGCAGGCAGACTCAAGCTCAGGAGAGCCCGGGGTGCAGGGGTGTGGGGTGGAGTGGCTGGTCTGTCTGCACGGCCGCTGTGGGCAGGCCGGGGTGACTCATACGTGCACCGCGTTCTGTATGTGCACATTGCTACGAGGAGACATGGCGGGCCCCACTCGGGGCCTGGGGCAGGCATTGCACGTCTGAGCCGTGGCTTCCTCCTCCTCTCTAGTGTGAAGGCCAGTCTCACAGGAGTGGGCATCTGCCAGGGAACAGTCTGGAAGTCCCAAGGCTGCTGTGGGCAGGCCCTGCTCCGGGCTGTTCGGTCACCAGGCCTCTCATCCTGGGGGTGGGGAGAGCCCTGTGACTCGGCGTGTCTCCCGCAGGTGCCCGTGTGGAGGAGTTCCTGTACGAGAAGCTGGACAGGAAGGTGCCCTCGCGGGTCACCAACGGGGAGCTGCTGGCTCAGTACATGGCGGAGGCGGCCAGCGAGCTGGGGCCCACCACGCCCTACGGTGAGCCGGGCCCAGGGGGTGGGCGCCGCGGTCCCTCGCTCTAATTTCCTCCCTCCCCGCACCAGACCCTAGGTTCGATTCCAGTCAAGGGCATGTACCTTGGTTGTGGGCACATCCCTGGTGGGGGGTGTGCAGGAGGCAGCTGGTCGATGTTTCTCTCTCATTGATGTTTCTGGCTCTCTGGCTCTCTCCCTTCCTCTCTGTAGAAAATCAATAATATATATATATATTTTTAAACCAGACTTTTTTTCTTTTTGCTTAATCCTCATCCAAGGATATTTCTTTTATTATATATTTTTATTGATTTTAGAGAGGAAGGGAGATGGAGAGATAGAAACATCAGTGATGAGAGAATCATTGATCGGCTGTCTCCTGCATGCCCCCACTGGGGACCAACCTGGGACCCCTTCAGTCTGCAGGCCAACGCTCTGTCCACTGAGCCAAACCAGCCTGCGCTGTTCTTCAACCTAGCTTTTAAACTTGGCAATTCACTCTAGATACCTGTGCACAGGAGCTCCTGTAGGGCCACCTGAGTATTTTCTCATCTGTGAAAAGTGTTATTCAGGTATAACTTATATATTATACCATAAAATGCACCCGTCTTAAGTATGTAATTCAGTGATTTTTAGTCAATTTTGAGTTCGATTTAAAGAACATTTCTATCATCTGAAAAAAAAATCCTTTATGTCTACTTATATCAATCTTTACTGTCCACCCCCAGCCAACCACTAATGTGCTTTGTGGTCCTATTAATTTGCTTGGTCTAAACATCTATAATAATAAAAGGGTAATATGTTAATCAAACCAACATCCTTCCGGTTCTGGGACTAAGCCGGGCCGGAGTGAAGCCCGGGTCCCTGGTGCCTGCGGGGGAGGGGGGGGGAGGCCTACTCTTGCATAAATTTTCGCACAATAGGCCTCTAGTTTCCTATAAATGGAGCCATGCCGTGTATTGTTTTTTGTATCTGGCTTCTTCACTTAGTGTAATGTCTTTGAGGTTCGTCCCTGTTCATTGTGCTTTAGGATTCCAGTCCTTTTTCTTGCTGACTAGTATTTCATTGTGTGGATCCGCCACCACATTTCCCTTATCCGCTCACCGTTTGATAGACATTTGGGCTGTTTCCCTGTAAACACTTTCAGACCAACCTTTGTGAGTTCAGATGGTTTCCCTTCTCCCGGGTATAGACCCAGAAGTGAACTTGCTGGGTCACGTGGCACATTTAACGTTTCACTTTTCAACCAATCACCAAGCTCTTCCCCAGAGGGGCTGTGTGATCCTACATTCCCGCCCGCAGTATGGCGTTGGACTTTCAGACAGTTGTGGATTTTCTGAGTGTGCTTCTGGTGTTGATTTCTGGTTTAACTGCACGTTGGCCAGAGAACATACTTTGTGTGATTTTAATGCTTTTAAATTTACTAAGACTTATTTATGGCCTAGAATCTGGTCTCTCCTGGAGACCGCTCCGTCTTCTCTTGAGAAGGTCACACGCTGTGTTGGTGGTGGATGTCAGCGGGGCAGATTGGTTGATAGTGGTCAGGTCTCCTGGCTCCTGGCTGATTTTCTGTCGTTGTCTGCTTCTGTCCTAACTGTCAGTGTTCGCTTCGTGTGTGTGGGAACTCTTTTGTCGGGTCTGCATGTTGATGTTGTATATTTTCCCGATGAGTTGACTCATTTTTGTAACACTGCTCTTTGTGTCTAGTAACTTTTTAAAAATAATTTCATCTCTTTTTTTAATATATATATATAATTGATTTTTTTACAGAGAAGAAGGGAGAGGGAAAGAGGGAGAGAGAGTCAGAAACATCGGGATGGGAGAGAAACATCATCTGTCTCCTGCACACCCCATACTGAGGATGTGCCCGCAACCAAGGTACATGCCCTTGACCAGAATCAAACCTGGGACTCTTGCGTCCGCAGGCCGACGCTTTATCTACTGAGCCAAACTGGTTAGGGCTATAATTTTATCTCTTTATTGGTGTTCTTTATTTGATGAGTCATTTGTCACATTTGCTTTTAATTCTTTAAACACATTTGTGATAGCTGCTTCGAAGTCTCTGCTAAGTCTACCATCTGGGCCTCCTTGGAGACAGTGACTGCTGATGACTTATTTTCCCATTTCCTATTACTTACCTGTTCCCTTGCATGTTTCATAATATTTTGATGACTCTGGACGTTTTACGTAACGCAGCAGCTTGGGATTCTGTCCCCCGCAGGGGTCTTGATTGCTGTTTGTTTGTTGAGAGACTTTGCCTGAGTCCATTGTGTAGCGTCTGTGTCCCCTGCACCATGCAGCTAGCGCTGTCTCTGCCTTTTCAAAAGAATCACTCGTTTTCTTTGTCAGCCCAGCAGCTCCCGGGGACTGCTCCCGGGCAGCGTGTGTTCTGGTCAGCCGGTGATTGGCCTGAGCTTGTGCTTAACAGCGCCATGGAGGCTTTGCTGACGCATTTGCGAGTGGCCGGGGACACATTCGAAGCCATTTACAAGTCTGCCCAGCATCCCCCATGTCCCCTCTGTGGGTCTGCAGAGCATCTTGCTCAGCCAGAGTGGCCGGCCAGCGGGGTCTCCAGCCCCCACCACGTGTGCTGCACAGGTGTCGCTTCCGGCCAACAGAGGTGGCTGGCAGCTGCCCAGGGCCCCCATGTGGCCTTGTTTCTCGGTCTCTGGTTTTCATTCCTCGGGATGGATCCGGGAACTCATTGGGGCCACTGTTAGATGGGCCTGAGCAAACACTCCATTGTTTACCATAAACTCCTGTTTTCATGACAGACAGACAGTCAGACTTTGGGGTCTCTAGGAGTCAGCGTAAATTTAGAAACAGTGTCCAGTATTCCCTGAGAATCTGATCATTTCCTTGTATCTCAAGGACAGTCATCCCGATAAAGGGGCTCCTGGTCAACTCCTGACGGGTCTGTTGCTTGTTCAGAAACGTGATTCCAGCTTCAGATCAGCCATCATGTTGGCCTTTCCTGATTACTTCCCACTGAGATCACTGTGGGGTTTTTTCTGTTTGCTTCTCTCCTTTAATTCTTCGATTTTAGAGTGGGGGCCGTTGGTTGCCTCCCCTACGATGCCCCAACTTACTGAGCCACCCGGCCAGGGCAGACGCCAGCCTCCAGAGCTTCTCTGAGCTCCATCAGCACAGTCCCTGGCCGCAGGGCTTATCCCTCGTGGCAGAGCCGCAACCACACTGAGCTGGAGGGGGTGGGTGCACCCCAGGACACGCAGGCGCAGGCTCCCACCGTCCTTCCGAAGGCGCAGGAGTTCCAGAACAAATGCTTTTTGATTTCTCCTTTGCCTTCTGTCCATTTCTGGAGTCCGGAAATGATGTTTTTGACGACTCTGTCCAGTGTCAGTATTGCTCTTCCTCTGCCATCCCAGAAGTGCCCCCTCCCCATCTCTTTCATGGCAGTGGAATGTCCCACTTTTTTATTATCCCACTATTTTGTTGTCAGTCCCCGATGGATGGATGTGTGGATCGCACCCACGTGTTTCCAGGCCAGGCATTCTGAACAGGGCATCCTTGCGGCTGCCTCTCTAAGGTGACCAGACACCCCGCTTTTGGCGGGACAGTCCTGATTTTTAACAATTTGTCCTGCATCGCATTTGCCGTGGGATGCAGGACAAATTGTTAAAAATCAGGACTGTCAATTTAAAATGCCGCAGGATGCGGGACAAATTGTTAAAATCAGGACTGTCCCACCAAAAGCGGGACGTCTGGTCACCTTATCTTTTTTTTACTTTTTAAAAAAAAATGCATTTTAATAATTTTTTACAGAGAGGAAGGGAGAGGGATACAGAGTTAGAAACATCAATGAGAGAGAAACACTGATCAGCCGCCTCTTGCACACCCCCCACTAGGGATGTGCCCGTAACCAAGGCACATGCCCCTGACCGGAATCGAACCCGGGACCCTTCAATCCGCAGGCTGACGCTCTATCCACTGAGCCAAACCCGTTTCGGCTGGTCACCTTAACTATGACAAGCCTCTTTCCGAGCTCCCCGCTACTTCCTGGGGCCAGAACAGCCTGAGCCTGGCCCTCCTTCTCACCTTCGGCTCCGTGTTCCCAGGGAAGACCCTCATCAAGGTGTCGGAAGCCGAGAAGCGCCTGGGAGCCGCCGAGCGGGACTTCATCCACGCAGCCTCCATCAACTTCCTCACGCCGCTGCGCAACTTCCTGGAAGGGGACTGGAAGACCATCTCGGTGAGGGGCCTGGGACCATGGCAGCCCTCTCCCCAGCCAGCGAGCAAAGCTCTCCTCCCCCTTGGTGGGAACCCGGGCCTCCAGGGGCCTCCCCAGACGAGACTCCCGCGGACCGTCACTCAGAGCGGATGACTTTCCTTCTGCCGGCCTCAGTTTCCCTGTCTTGACCAGATGGGCCCTGAGGCCAGTCCTGCCACGGCCCAGGGTCTCCCCGGGCAGCCCAGAGCCTCACTGTCCCTGTTCCACCCGCAGAAGGAGCGGCGGCTCCTCCAGAACCGGCGTCTGGACTTGGACGTCTGCAAAGCGCGGCTGAAGAAGGCCAAGGCCGCGGAAGCCAAAGCCGCGGTAGGTGCCCCTGCCGGCCTCCCACCCCGGCTCTGGGGGGAGCTACGGAGGGGGCTGAAGGACCTGGTTTGGCATGACCTCCCTCCCCTGTCCTCGCCCGGAGAGGCCTGGCCGGGGTGCTGGTCTGGACCGGTCACTTCAAGTCACACCTCTTTGCCCCGCCCCGCCCCCAGGGGAACCCTGACAGCCCAGAGCTCAGGGTCCCAGGGCCAATGTGTACAGGGTGGGCTGGCCACAACGCCCCAACCCGGGCTCCGGGCCCCCTACAGCCTCCCCAGACAGACACAGTGGAGTTTCTGCACGCCCTTGCCCGCCCTTCCTGGTTGCTCAGCTCTGTTCCCAGCTCTGCCAGGCATGGCTCCCCTTACTAATCCACACCCACTGCTCCAGCGCTGGTCCCAGGCAGCCCAAGCGACTGGCTAGGGGCTCCCCTCTCTCTGCTCCCTGAGGCCTGCTCAGCCTGGTGGCAATGGCGTGCAGCGGGGACCGCTGGATCAGGGCTAGGCCAGGCTGGGGAGAACTGGGCCCGGGGCTGAGCATGCTCTCGGGACGCCAGGCTGCTGGGGGTGTGGTGGGGGGTGGGAGTGTAAGGTCCTAAAGGCCACTTCACCTTGGGGAGGGAATGCCCAGGTCCAGGCCTTGCCGGGGAAACCCGTGCTCTCAGCCGAGAAGGTCGGACCCAGCCTAGGCTCCCCACCACTGCTCCTCAGAGTTCTGGCCCTGAACCCTCCGTGCATGCCCCTCACAGCGTGGCCACCTGGGGCCGTGGAGCTGGGGCCTGCACTGCCGCTGGCAAGAGCCATGGCCGGGCTCCCAGCTCATCGGGGTGTGTGGGGTCCCGAGGGGAGGCAGGGGCTCAGCCACTGGAGTCCTGTTGGGGTTGGGGAGGGTGACTAGGGCTATTGGGGTGACCTTACTGAGCCCCCTGGACAGGACAATCTCCCTGTCACTCAGGGATGGACAGCCTCTCAAGAATAGCTTGGCCAGAATAAGCTTTCCCTCTGTCAGCCAGGCCAGGGGACCCTCCTTTAGTCCCTGGAGTGGCGGGATCTCTTCTCCAGGTGGTTGGCCTGGGCAGCCTCAGGCCTCTGGGTTAGTCCAGGCTGCCCTCTCCAGAGCCAGCTGCCAACTCCCAGAAAACTCGCGCCCAGCAGCTCCCTCCTCCCCACCCTCCTAACCGCTCACACACACACCCCCAGACACTCCAGAGGGCGGGCTGCGTGTGTCCATCTGCCTGTCCGCCTCGCGTCCCTCCCGCTGGGGCCGGGGGCCTGCTCCCGCCTGTGCTGTGGACTCACTAACTCTTTTGTTTTTGTTCCTTTCCGTTCTGCTTTGGGTAACTTGGCTCAGTGTGAGGGAGATGTGAGTATACCTGTCCCACGTGCTGTGCTGCTTCTGGTGTGCCATCTGGCCTGGCGCCCGCGGTGCCATGGCCAGCCCAGGGCACATCCCCTGGGCCTTTTGCAAGCAGCTGGTCTCCCCATCAGAGCCTCTCCCAGGAGTAGCCTCTGTTTTGGGGGGACGCCAGGCACTGGAGCCTGGGAGTCAGCTTTTTGCAAATGTTAAGAGCCCATCACTCTGTCCATCCCATGCATCCATTTGTCCACCTCGGTCGTGGGGGAGGGGCCTGGCCCTTCCTGCAGGAGCGAGAGATGTGTGCAGAGGTTCTGGGATGGAGGACGCGGGGGGCGGGGTTTGTTGGGAAGACTGGCGGTCCAGCGAGCAGAGGGCTTTGACCCTTGGGCCGGGGCTGCAAAGTCTGGCTTGCCCAGAGGCAAAGGCTGTGACCACAGCCACCAGCTGTCTCCTTGTCACCTCTGCTCTCCTGGCCTCCCAGGGGCCCACCCACTTGGTCTCTGTCTTCATGCTCCGGGTCTCCAAGCCCGCCTCCTCTCCGGGCGGCGGGTATGGGGAGAGGGTCAGTGTTGTGTTTGTCTGTGGCCCCCCGTCCCCGGGGCCAGGGGCTCCTGGTGCTGCTCTGCGGGACACTCTGGGGCGGCCTCCTGGCCCCAGCCCAGCCCCGGCTCACGGTGACGCCCTCCCCCCATGAACTCTGTTCCCACTAGACGGTGCCTGACTTTCAGGAGACTAGACCTCGTAATTACATTCTCTCCGCCAGCGCCTCCGCGGTAAGCGCTCCCACCCTACCCGCCCCTGTCCTCTCCGGTCCCCCCACACCTCGGGGTCTGCTGCACAGGAGACAGGAAACAGAGGGCAAGGCAGGGGCACCGGGTGGACCAATCCTGAAGCTCTGTCCACCTGCCCGTCCCTGGGCTGTGACCACGTGGCTGGCCTCGCTTGTCCCCGGGAAATGCCGAAGGTGGAGACCGGACCAGCTGCCCTGAAAGTCTGCCTGCCCCCACCCCCCCCGACACAACCCTGCCCCCCCAAAGCAGGCACTGCCCCCCACCCCCCTCCCCATCCCTGTCCCTACTCGGTCCCGTGGAGACACAAGGCCTGGGTCTGGCCTGCCATGAAGTCGCAGGCCCCTGAAGACAGGGGACAAGGATGGCGCTGGCTGGCCAGCTGCCTTGCAGCCCAGCGGCCGGGTGTCCTGGGGTGAGGAGCCCTGAGAATGAGCAGGCGGGGAAGGAGCAGGGGAGTGGGAGGAGCAGCCCAGAGGCTTGGGAACAGGGTGTGTCCTGAGAACGGAAGCTGGGCGTGGGGGGGTGGGGCCAGAAGACTTTGACTGTCTCGTATGTTTTTTCTCTCCAGCGTTATGGGGCTATTTGGCATTTACTGTTTAGTCTGGGAGCTAGGCCAGTCTCACGTGTCCCATCCTGCCTGTCACAACCATGCTGTGCCTCCTGCCTCTTCTCTGTCCTCCCGTCTTCCCCTCGGGTGACGTCCTCCCGCACAGACCTCTGCTCTCCCTCCCCCCCCCCCCCCGTCACTAGCATGTTTCCGTGTGTTCGCGTGCAGCCATTCCGTGGCTGGGCCCTCGTCCCTCGGGGGCAGTTTAGTCTGCAGGCCCCGCCGATGGGCACCCGCGTCCGTACACGTGGAGGCGGCTCCCTCACCCGCTGGTGGGACCTCCGCCACCGGATGGCCGTGTTCTACTTGCGTGTCTCAGGTCACGGTCTCAGAGCAGCTTTCCTGCAGGCGTGGTGGGAGGAGGGGTCCGCTAGGCTCTGATCGCACCCCCTGCCCCTTCCTGGGCGGAGAGGAAGGAAAACTGTCCCGGAGAGCGGTGGGGGCTGCCGTTTTCCTTTGCTGCTGCTCCCGTGTGACTCGGGCCGAGGCTGCCTCCTCTGCTGAAGGACAGAAAGGTTCAGTGACGGGCCCAGGGCCCCAGCAGCCTTGGCCCAGGGTCAGGGTGGGGTGGGGACCCTCCGTCTCCCTGGAAACCCCAGTCAGTGCCTGGGGGTGTCCGCGGTAGGAGAAACCCAAGCAGGACTCTCCAGCTGGCTGTCCCCTCCCTGCATGCGGCATGTCGGACTGGTCTGAGTGACATGCTCCTCTCCCCAGGCCTCAGCCCAGCCTCAGCTCCGGGGTGGGTGGGGGAGGGAGTTGGGAGTGAATGGGTGGGGCGATGTTGGGATCTCAAGGAGCTGGGGCAGGGCCCTGGCTCTGGGGTTCAGCTGTCCTCCCCTGCCTGCTGCCCCCTGCTGACCGGTGCCCCTCCCTCCCCTGCTGACCGGCCCCGTTGTGGTCTCCGCAGCTCTGGAACGATGAGGTGGACAAGGTGAGTGGGGCCGCAGGGGCTGGGGAAGCGGCTTAGGGGGCAGAGGGTGGGAGCCCAGGCACAGCTGCTGCTGCAGGGCTCAGGGCTGTTCGAGTTCCGGGTCGGCCCCACGTGCCCACTGGGGCTGCTGTGGGGGTGTCGCTTCCCCTTGTGGGGAGACCACCTCCTCTGTAGGCCCCCCGGAGGTGACTGAGTGGGGTTTCCCCTGATGCGTGGCAATGTCTGTGACTGCTCTCAGGGACTGGACCCCAGGGTCTAGGCAGGGCTCCAGGCCTGAAGTGGGGAGGAAAGTGCACCCCCGCCCCTCGGATGTCTGTCTGCATCCCCAGGGGGAAGTGACGTTTGCCGGGGAGGGGAGGCGGCTGCTCCTGGGCGGACACTGGTGCAGGAGGTGATGGGAGGGAAGCTGGGGACGACTGGTACACTCACCATTCGCATCCTGCTCTTCCCAGTCTGAGCAGGAGCTCCGAGTGGCCCAGACAGAGTTTGACCGGCAGGCAGAGGTAACCCGTCTCCTGCTGGAGGGAATCAGCAGCACCCACGTGAGTGTTCCCACCTCCTTCATCACCCACTGTCTTGTCACCCGTATGTCGAGGCGTGAACGAACCTGAGCCGGTGGGGATGGCAGTGCTTGGGCGTGTGATCCTTAAAGGGGCAGCTTCGTCTTCAGAGAGCGAGTCCCAAAGGGCGACCTGTCCTCCCCGCGGGAGAGGTTGGGGCGGCAGCCGCTAGCATGCTGGGCCAGGGGCTGTCCTAAGACGGTGGGAGTGGAATGCTTCGTCCCGAGACACCTCCCATCGTCACACCGGCCTCTCCCCGACAGGTGAACCACCTCCGCTGCCTCCACGAGTTCGTGGAGTCTCAGACGACGTACTATGCGCAGTGCTACCGCCACATGCTGGACTTACAGAAGCAGCTGGGCAGGTGCCTGCTGGGGTCCCCTGGGCAGCCCCACCTCGCTGGGCGAGAGCCTTCTCCTCAGCTCAGGAAGCCCCACGGGACACAGGGCGGGTGGAGGGCTGCCGGAGCCCTCTGGTGGACCATCACGCTCACTCTCCGATGACAGTGGGGGCACTGGTCTTGGGACTGGGTGGGCTCCTGAGAGTGGGTGGCAGGTGGGAGGTGGCAGGGAGCGTCTCACTTTTCCCTTGCTTCGTTTTCCCCTTCATGCTGCCAGCTCCCAGGGAGCCATGTAAGTAGCCAGGTCTCCTCCTCTGCAGTGGGCGCAGCTGGTGTTCTGAGGCACGTGGGACTGGGTATGGCTCTCAGCTACTGAGATGTGCCCCCCCCCCCCCCCCCGTGCTCCTCTCCAGATTTCCGGGCACCTTCGTGGGCACCACAGAGCCCGCCTCCCCGCCCCTCAGCAGCACCTCGCCCACCACCACGGCGGCCACCATGCCTATGGAGCCCTCCGTGGCCGGCCAGGCCCCTCCGGGGGAGGCTGCGCTCTGCCTGGAGGAGGTGGCTCCGCCCGCCAGCGGGACCCGCAAGGCCCGGGTTCTCTACGACTACGAGGCCGCGGACAGCAGCGAGCTGGCCCTGCTGGCCGACGAGGTGGGTCCGTGCCACAAGGGATGGCGAGAAAGGGCTGGCTTAGGCTCCCCGGGAACTGGATCTGGGAGCACTGGGCCTGCAGACCCTACACCAGTCTTCCTCGCTGGTGGCTAAGACCTGGGGGTTCCTCTGGGCAACTCGTCTGTGGAGCAGGGGAGGTGAATGGCCTCCTCTGGAGGTGTAGGTGCCATGCATCATGGTGGTGGGGGTGGGGAATAGGAGGGTATCACAGCGCTGTCCCCATTTAGTCCTGGGCCAGTTTGGAGGTATAGGTGCCCTGTATTACGGTAGGGTGGGGGGGGTGGGGGGTGGGGGGGGTACCACAGCACTGTCCCCATTTAGTCCTGGGCCCGTTTGGAGGTATAGGTGCCCTGTATTATGGTGGTGGTGGGGGGGGGGGGGATGGAGGGGGTACCACAGCACTGTCCCCATTTAGTCCTGGGCCAGTTTGGCCCTAACCACCCAGGCTGTGACCTTCCCTCTCTGCTGCCCCCCTCTTCAGCTCATCACGGTCTACAGCCTGCCTGGCATGGACCCTGACTGGCTCATTGGCGAGAGAGGCAACAAGAAGGGCAAGGTCCCTGTCACCTACCTGGAACTGCTCAGCTAAGCAGCCGCCCCCCAGCCCCTGCTTGTCCTGGCCTGAGCAGGATGGTGCAGCCCTGCCTTTTGTCTTGTCTGTTGGTGACCTTGCTGCTCAGGGTGGGGATTAGACTAACCCCTTCCTGTCCCTGCCCCTGGTCATCAGCTGTGAGGGGCCCCTCCCCCAGCCCTGCTTCTGGAGCCCCCATCTGCCTGTGTCCCCTGAGCACCCCAGACTCCTGGCTCCTCTAAGGAGGGAGGGGCTGGCTGGAGCCACCTCACTCAGTCCTCAGCCTGTGGGGGGTCAGCAGAGAGGGCTTGAGGAGGCCCTGGGGTTCATCTTTGGCAAGAGCACCTTTTAGTTGCCAAAAGCAGCGAGGGGGGAGGGCAGGCGGTCTGTGGCAGGCCAGGGCTGGGCGTTGTCCCTCTGGATGAACTGGAGCAGAGGGGAGCCGGCCGGAGGCAGGGCTGGGCCATGGAGCAGCATCTCCCTGGTGCTACCCTCCCCGTCGTACCCTAGAGCTCAAGCCAAGTATGGTGGCTGCAGCCTGCGCCTCTCCCCACTTTTTAACTGATCTTTTTACTCTGCCTGTCTGCTTTGCTCTCTAGCCAGCGGTGAATAAACCATTCTTCGTGTGCACGGTGACGCGGCTCCTGTCCGGGTGGGGTCGCGGAGCTCCCGGGGCTGGACTGCGTGGGAAAGGGAAGACTTCACATTTGCCCCATTCCTCCTCCTGGGTGGGGAGTGAGGCACAAATGCCGCTGGCCCTCCTCCCGGAAGTACTAGGGCAGAGGGAAAGTTCTCCAGGGCACCACTTACAGCCTCCCTTCCCCCACAGGGCCTGTGCTCTCAGATATGAAGCTGCATGACAGACATTTTATTCCCGGGAAGAATTTCCTAAATTTGGGCAGCCTGGAATGGACTGTAGCCGGGGATGGTTAAGCTCCAGTAATGGGCAGCTGTCAGGGTTTCGTACAGGCCAGGCACGGAGCCAAGTGTGTTCATGTGTATCCTGGTCCTCAGATGAGAGCAGACCAGAAAGACAGTCACCTCCTCAAGGTTCCGTACTGGCACGTAGTCACACAGGGACTCGCCCAGCAAAGTCTGATTCTAGAAACTTCAAATGGTGCGTTTGGGCTACAAGCCAGGCTTTAGATTAAGGCCCTTAGCCAGGCCAGCCCATGAGGAGGCCTGGGAGAAGGCAGGGGCCCCGCTATAAATAGGAAGGAGCTGATTCAAGAAAGGCTACACCCAGTGATAAGCTCAGCCAGCTGAGAGCTGGAAGTGAGCGTGGCAGGGTGCGGGGACAGGACCAGGCAGGCCACGGAAGGGAAAGTGAGTGTCCACACTGCACCCCTCCCCCTTGAACATTAATGGAGGGATGTCAGCGAGTCAACCACTCAACTCGCCTTCCCAAGCCTCCACGCCGCCCCGGGGCCCCTGTTCCGTGCATTCACTCCTGGGCTTCGAAGGCACACATTACACAGCTGTCTATAAACAGTATTTTAATATTTGTATAAATAGACCACAGTATTACCAAAAACTGCAACAAGAGAGCATGGAAAACATTTTAAAACCCGTGCAGACAGCCCTTCCTGGCTACACATGACATCAGCTCCTGTCTCCTTGGGCTGGGGAATGCTTGAAGGGAAGGAATACACCTCTGGGGTACTGGAAGGTGAGGGTGAGCACAGCAGACTGGCTCCCTCCCCCTGCTGCTGACCTCCATCTGTTATAAAAATAATGCCAGTGTGTAGGTGGTTGGAGTTGTGGCTACTCTGGGGAGAGGGTGACAGGAGCAGCTCAGTCCCAGAGGGTGCCGTCAGGCTGCTGTGCAGGTCGGTGGCGAATGGCAGGCAGCGCCATGCCACTGCCCTATCTCTGCACGTGCCGGACAAAGGCCTGCACTAGCTGGATCAGAGGCTCCTGGCTCTCAGGGCTGGCCTTGGAGAGAGAGGTGGACTTGCCCTGAGGCGAGAGGAGGCGGCCAGCAGCAGGGGAGCTCGGGGCTCCCCTGCGGAAGTAGCGCGAGAGGCTGGAAAGCAGCGTGCTCTACGAGAGAAAAAGGAGCCTGATGAGGCCACAGCCCCCACCCTCGGGCTGGATTTTCCCCACCAGCTCCACCCCCTCCAGTCAGGACCCTCGATCTCTTCTTACCAACTCTGAGCTGAGCTCCTGCTTCATCCGCTGTTTGTCCCGGGAGTGCACAGCTGGGTCCCTAAGGTAACGCATCGCCTGGGAGATGAGCAGGTAGAAGCAGTTCTCCATGGTAAACATCAGGAGGGACCTGGGACAGGGCAGGGTCGACACCGTGTAGAGGGCTAAGTTGGCAGGTGCTAGATGGGCCACTGCCCTAAGAGAATAGCCAGCCCATGTCTGCCCCAACCCAGACCAAATTCTAGAAGGGCTTTCTTACTTCAGTGTCCTGGTCCCTTCTGCCTGTGTGCTGAGCCCCACAGCCTGAGTGAGGGGCTCCTTTTTCTTATCCAGCTGGAGGAAGAGAAACAAGAGTTAAATACCACCAGGGAACAGTGACAGCTTCAACTCTGGGAGCTTCCTGTTTGGCAGGTCCTACCATCTTATCAGTTACGATAATGCTCAACAGAGTTAGGTTCCATCGTACTTCTTCCATGCCGAGGAACTAGCTTGGAAGGGGAAGGCCAGGAAAACGTGCCCAAGTCAAGGGTAGGAAGTGGTAAACTGGGAGGAAGAGGGGTGAAGGGGCCAGACAGCACCAAACTCACCTCTCCGAGCATGTTTAGGGCCACATTCACCGTGGCCAGAAGGGTTCCAAAAGAGGGGGCCACCTCAGAGTCAAAGGTGGGAGTGGTGAAGCTCAGGGCAAACAGGAAGTTGTATTCAGCAAGGTCCAGGGACTGCAAGGCAAGACCAGAGCATTCTAGGGCCCAGCTAGGAGCTCAGACAGCTCTCAAGAGAGCAGGGCACAGCCAAGCTTTCAGATCACTGTGGGAGGCTATGGGGCAGCACAGATGGTGCCGGTACCTGATCCAACAGGATCTGGCAGACGTCCGGGGTGAAGTGACGCAGGGCCGCCAAGGTCCTGCTGAGGATCTTGAGGAGGCCATACTGCACCACATGTAAGGCTCGCTGCTCCGAAGCCTCTGTGTCAGCAGTGGGCTGCTTGGAGGAGGAGGAGGGGGCAGCAGGGGCAGCTGTGGGTGGCCGCTGAACTCGGGGAGCAACAGCTGAGGGGACACCATCCCCATTTTTGTTCTGGAAGAGACAGAAGTGGAGGTGGAGCACAGAAGCTGGGGTGAGGCACTCCGGGCAGCCAAGTGGGTGGGGAGGGTACCTGCAGGCAGTGCTGCAGCATCTTCCGGCTGTGCAGGAGGGAGGTGCAGGCCTGGCACAGGTAACCCAGGTTGACCTGTGGCAAACATGGGAGGCTGAGGGGCTTCTCCTGGCAGCAGCCCCAGCCAACTGACTAGGTCAACCACACAGGTCTCTACAGACAACTGAGCTCCCGACTCCCTGAGCACCTGCACCTGCACCCAGGCCCTCTCGCAGGGATGGTTTCCCAGGGACCTAGCTGAAGACCTGGCCCAGTGTCAGTCCTCGGTCAGTAAATAAGGTGGGGATTATTCCCCTTTTATAAAAGCAGAAAAAGGCTGAGAGGTGAAGGGAGTTGGCCAAGGTCACAACCAGCGAAGACAGACGCCTGCCTGTCAGCTCCAGAGTCTGTTCTTTCCCTGCCGTGCTCTCGGGCTGCGTCCCAGCTTCAGGCCTGTTTCTAAAGGGTCTGACCGAGAAGCCCAGGCTTTTACCTTACAAGACTGCCATATGCCGGGAGGGAAACATTTAGCTCCAGAGAAAGCAACATGACACCAAATGTTGTGCTCCCTAAGCCAACAGGCGCAGGCGCCCCAGAGTGCCCATCACACCCTGTCCCCAGGCACTTCCCAGGCTCCTCCCAGAGCCCGGGCCTGAGCCCACCTGCACGTCCCGCAGGAGCTGAGGCAGGTGGAAGTGCCACTCCTTCATGAAGCTGGAGAGCTGCAGAATGAAGCCCACCGTGTGGTCTGCCTCCTCCAAGCACGCCAGACTCTGCACCGTCCTCACCGCGTTGAGGCACTGGGAGGGGAGAGAAGGGAAGGATGGGGTAAGGCCGGGACCGGACACACCTGCCCTGCCCTCCTGTGAGGAGGACGATTCTGGGCACACAAACTGAAATGGCAGTACAGCAGGTGGTTTGGTGTTCCAACAAGAGGTTCTGTCTGAGCTGATCCCAAACTGTTTGCTTCACTGGCAGAGCAGCTACATGAGTTGGCCAATCAGCCAGCAATTCTTAGAGCATAGAAATGGGGGCAATGGCCCAGCCCATGGTGGCTCAGTGGTTGAGTATTGACCTATGAACCAGGAGGTCATGGTTCATTCCTGGTTGCAGATTCCATCCCCAGTGGGGCAGCATACGGGAGGCAACGGATCAATGTTTATCTCTCCTTGATGTTCCTATTCCTCTCCCTCTTTCTAATAAAAGTCAATAAAAACTTTTTTTTTTTTTTTTAAGAATGGGGAAATGACTCCCTTTAATTACCAAGCTTCGAGCCCTGAATGGCCCAGACCCCTGTAAGCCCCAAACCCCATGCCTGGCAGCTCCTCACTTGTAAGGTCCGCTCCTGGTGTACACCCATGAAGTCCAGAGCCTCGGTCAAGAAGTTGTAACGCAGGGTTTTGAGGAGCCGTTCCATCAAAGACATAGACAGGCGATAGACCCCTGGCCAAGAGGGGGCATCGAGGGATTTCCGAGAGGTGCTGGGTGTCTGAGACACAAATGAAAGACAAAATCAGGACATGGCACCAAGGAATCTGACTGACAGGTACAGCAGGGCCTCAATGCAGCATATACTAAGGCAGTCTGGTTTCTTAGGAAAGGAAACCTCTGGAATGGGCATGGTCACTGCCAGGCGACCAGCAGGCCCAGAGTCTGAGGCCAGAAGTGACAAAGAGCACTAGGCAGAAATACAAGAATCCTGGGTCCTAGACTCGGGTCTGCCACTAACTAGCTG